ATTTTCAATTTCAAGCTCGGCTAATGAGCAAAAACTGGTCTTTGAATTGATATAAATTACACTAATTGGCTAGCTGTGTTTGCTTAAGCAGGATGCACCACACCTGCCAGCTGCCAAGAGAAATATATAGTAAACTAGTTTAAAAGCGAAACAAGAACGCCATTCTGGCAACAAGTTAGCGACTGGAGAGCATCCAAGAGCTGCTGTCCTGCTGGTAATTATCGGACTACGTACACGTCCTGTTGCACCACGACACAGTGGTGTCTCTTGCTAACGCCACTTGTGCCACTTCCATCGCCACTCGCCCATTGTGCGTCAAATTAACAACTTCCGCATGAGGCCACACGAGCCACTTGCACCCAAATGCGTCATTTTCTGGGCTGCGTTGTCTTTTGTCTGCCAAGCTATATTGTCAGCGCTTGGCCAACTGCCAGAGTCTGGCTAAGAACTGACGCGACCGGAGCCGACAGGGCCTATTATTGTGCTTTAATGGCAGCTAAACTGGCGGGCTATTTAGCCAGAAGACACGCCTCTGATGGCGCCCTAATTAATGGCATTCTTAAAGTTTACCCTTTTTGGGGTTAAGGGGTTTTTGGTCCGCCCCTCCGCCCCCCGGAGAGAACTTTTCCATGAAAAGCATTTGGCAATTGTTTGCCAACTATTCAATACTCAATTTCCAGCATTTAAGTGCCATGTTTCCGCTTGGCTCAATGTCCCTAGGGAATCCGAGCCCGATCGATAGGCAATATCCCGGCTCTCGAGTCGAATGGACCAAAATGGCAAGCATCCGCCGTAAAAGTTGTGAAAAATCTGTGCGCATCAAGAATGCTTCAAACGTATCATTTGAATCTGGCCAAAAGGGGAAAAATGCTCAGACATTTATTTTATTATTTTTTCTACTTGGCTTTTTTTCGGACGGGAAAACTCATAACCGAAGCGGGTGAGGAAAAACTTTTGGACTTTTACACGGAGCAAACTAAGTGGCTGGTACTTGAAACTAAAAGTTTCAAAGAAAACAGGCTATTAACAATAGAAATGTTTGAGTTGAAATGGTAAAAGCTGCATCAACTATTCTAGACTTAAGTAAACGTGTTATTTTTTATTCAAGATCTTGATCTTCTTAAATGTTCGGCTTTAACTTCAGTTAATTTCAATTAAATTCTAAGCCAGCTCTTTTTTACAAGCTTAAAGATTACAAAACTTAAACTCTTGGCTATTAAAACTACAATAATTAAAATCTTTTAAGAACAATTTATTGAGATTACACTATATAGATTATCACCCAAAACGGGTTTATTCTTTTTGCTGTGCATCAAAGTGAAAAAGCCTGCGCAAAGTTTTTCATTGAAAGACATAAAATATTTGCTCTATATGGCTTTTTGTGCTCGTGGCCGCGTCCAAGGCGATTTTCTTAGCTTTAGCTGCAGCATCCAGAGCATTGAACCGGCAGCTCCTGCATTTGTTGGCAGCCAATTCCCGGAGGACTTGACTAGCTGAAGGGCTCTGCGGAAAATGGGGTTAGACTGGGCCCAGCCAACCATTTTTAATTCCTTTTATTCCGACCCGCTTTTGTCATTGGCCTGCAAATGATTTGTTTCATACTTTTGTTTTCGTTGCCTTTGCTAAATGCCAAGTTTATGCTAAATTTGTGGGTCGAACATGGCAGGGAAAGAAAAAAAGGAGACTGGTCGACAACTGGGGACCCAAATTAACTAATGATGAAAAATGCCGTCCCTTTGCGAGGGCTTTTGTGCTGCCCACTAATTTACAGCGGAGGTCAGCATTATGGTTTATGGGCCGCCTGCCCGGTTGGCCCAAATGAAGTTGTCGCTCGGACGGACTGAAAGGCCACAGAGCCAAAGGCCCGTCAGGCATATATAGCCACAAACAGATATTAAGTATACGCCCCCCGAGACCATTTCCTTTTGCTGCTGGTAGACGGTAGCCGGTAGTGTAAATGTAAATGTAATGCTAATGCGTTTCACACAAGCGCACACAGAGAGGCCAACACACACACTGACACACAGACACACCGATATGCCGATGGAATGCATTGCTCATACGCCCTGTTGAACACTGGAGAGCAATCAGGCGCTTGTAAATATTTCATTTATGCACTCGGAACTTAATTTCAGGCTAAACTATATCTCAATTGTAAATGAAATCATACTTACCAGGACACAACTTATGCGCATATATGCACACAGTTTGGTTAGTTCGTTTTGGTTGTTTCACAGTTTATATATGGTGGATATACCATATACAAACCGCAATCGAAAGAATTGTTATTAAAATATTAATCATGTTGCACTCACCGAGTCTACGTACTACAGATGGAGAGATGTGAGAGAGAAGCGTTTGGTTGGTTTGGTTGGTTGATTTTGGTTGGTTGATTTTGGTTAGTTAGTTGGATTTTGATGAGGCATTTTTCGTTATTTGATATTGGTAATGCAATTTTGTACAGATTGAGAGCGTTCCAAATTCGTCGAATTTGTTGGGCAAGCATCATGAAATGAATTTACGTTTAATATATAATTTAAAGGAAAGAAACTGGTTAGTCGACGAATTTACAAAATTGCACAAGTGTGTATATGTGGCAGTTATTTATATATATATATATATATATTTATATAGTGTGTGTGTTAAAGAGTGTGTCGAAATGACGATTGCAGCTACGCTTGGCTTAAATCTAGGCTAAGAGTAAGGCGCAGCGTGTGTGTGTGTGAGTGAGTGTGAGTGTGTGTGTGTGTGAGCATGCAGGGGCGCAGATGCGGAGGGGGATGCAAAACGGTTAAGCGAAATGTGAAACGCTATTTATTTGCCCCTCCTGCGGGGGGTTTATGGGGGTGGGTACGGGTAGGGTATGTGGGAATTAAACTAAGTATGTCAACTGCAAAGCCAGTAGGTCAGGGATAGTGGTCCTGCCAGTTTTGTTACCTCTCAGTGTGATTGGATTGAGGGTTTTCGGTGGGGTTTTCGGTAGGGGGTTTCTCTGTTTTTGGCTGCCTCACGACACACTTACTTTTCATGATCCGATTCCTGTACTCATCATCGCGCTGCATGGCCACGCTGCCACCGCCGTTGGAGACCATCGAGCTCACTTGTTCCATGGGCACAATATCCTGCAAGCAGCGGAAAAACACAAACATCAATGCAAAACTCCCATCAATCATACACGCCCGCCATATGTTTGCCCTCTGCTTATTGGCAGAAGTCATGACCCTCGCAAAAAAAAAAAAAAAAAAAATACGGCAAACGGGAAACAGAAAAATCTCTGTGGAAACCTAATTAGGAAAGGCGAAAAAATTGCATTTATTTCGGCCTGTCCGGCGGCCAAATGAATTTCATAAATTTCCTTCACGTTTTTAATTGTATGTGCAGCGGTTGTACCCAAAAATGAACTAGATAAATTGTGGTTTTTTCCCTGCGCTTTTGTTGAAGTGCCAACAAAGGCATTCCATCTTTTTTTGTGCTTTTTGTATTCGCCACTTTGACTGGTTCCAGCTGCCCGGATAGGAAAAACCGAGTGGAGCAGCTGCTCCTGCCCAGCCATCCGTGATATATTCGCCAGGATATATGTATGTATCTGTATTGTGTGCAGCCAGCGGACTGTGCCAAAGGGGGGGACTTCAAGGGGGCGTGGATTGAGTAAAATGGATTATGCTCGGCTCGTTCGCCGACATTTATTAATGAATTTACAGGATTAGCGTGGTAATAAACGCATTTGATCCGTCGGTTAGCTGCTGCTTCCTCGGATTAGCTGCTGAAATGTTTTGTGTGAGTGGTTCTCAATGCACTCGAACAGTAGGCAATGAAAGCATGTATAATACATACAATATTTTACCACGACTGCCATGGTTTTAAATGGAAAAAGATACCGAGGGAAAGCGGATGAAGTTGAACAAGCATTAGTTTTCCCTATCTGGATGAACTGCAAACTTTGATTTTTCCTCTTCGCTGACTGCTCCTCTTCTTTTCTCACTTTAAACAATAGTTAGTTTAAGTTGAAAAGGTCTGGAATGTGTAGGAGAAAACCACTTGCAAAAAGAAATAAAAATTAAACTCAATATAAAATGCATACTTCAAAATAATTGCGTGGCTTTTCAGCGGAATGTAATTCCACATAACATTATAATTTCACATGGGAAGCCTAGATTTTATTTCAGTAAATAACTGTTTGATTAATGGCACAGAAAAAAAATTAAAATACCTTTTAGCGCAAACACAATTAAAGCCATTATAATAATAATGTTTCAAGCTTTAATGAAAATTCAATAGGAGATAGGGAAAATGTTACTAAAGATGTATTTTAGTCAAAAAGAAAAATGGTAAAACAAGAAAGGAAGCTTCGGCAAGCCGAAGCTTATATACCCTTGCAGTCATTAAATATTATATATCTAATAAAATACAAAAAGGCTAAACAGCATCGAATCTATGACCATTTTTCTATTCATTTTTCATATTGTTTTAATTTGTAACTCAAGACTCATTAGGAAACTTTACATTCCAAAAATCATGATTGTCTGATGAGAAACAACGAGGTAATAATTTTTATTCTATGGAAGCTATATGATATAGTACTCCGATTTTTATGAAATTTTTTTCTCGATTTGTTTAATCGTATTTAAAAAACTTGATGTTCCAAAAATCATCCTCGTGGATCCGACCTATATACTGCGTGCAACAACTACACAACTTTTGGGAAAGTTTTACCCAGATAGCTTTAAATCACTTCGCGGTCGGTTTCGGACCACTACTTTTGAGTACGACCAAAAAGTGGAGTTTTATATTTGCCTGAATATCTAACTCTTCAAAGCACCTACGCACTTACTAATCAATTAGATGTATAGTAAACTGATCCCTCTACATAGTAAATTTTTGAACTGAACTGAAAAATTGATTTTTCTCACCTTTATCGCCTTTGCCATTTAGGGGGTCGGTATCGGGCCACCCTCCCCTAAGTATAATTTTAATATAAATTGAAGTCAGAGATTTTTGCAGTTTTATTTATTTTTTATTACGGATAGATATTGGACCCAGAGGAAAAGAAATTTATACACTGACGTAAATTTGATTCTTGTTGTAAGAACAAGTTTGAAATTATTGCAATTCCGTTGCCCCATATTGGTTGATACCTAAGAGAAGGTAAAACCAATTTAGTCGTCACCGAGCACATAACGCTTGTAGGCTTTAGTGAGCTGATCGAAAAATATGCCCGCAAACACAATGTGCAGACCTCTACGTAACAGGTGGGGTGTGAAGCCCTTCCACAGAGCAAAAATACCCTCGCTCTTGGACACCTTCATCAGGACATCGAAGGTGTCCTTGTACTCGCCCGTCATCTGCTGCTGGATTCTCGTTTTGGCCATATCGAGGGGCATTGAGGCCATGGTGGTCACCACGCTGGTCAACATCGCGGACGAAATTTGCCGCGGCAGTCGACCAGAGAAGTATTCGGAGCTTACGCGCCATGACTTGGAGTAGACACCGAATTGCAACATGTAGACCACCATGGAACGACCCATGTTTGGCATGCATCCTCGCCAGAGGACGAGCACTCCCTCTTCCTTTACGATCCTAGCAAAAGCATCAACTACATTTTTATAGTTGCGCCTCTCCTCCAGCGGCAACCGATTATCGGACATCATCCGGATCATGGCCACCTCCGCCGGGTTTGCGATCATGGCTCCAAAAGCTGAGCCTAAACCTATTATTCCCATACGTTCCCAATGAGTCGGACCAGCGTTGTACTGCTTGCGGTAATAATGGATCCACATGTCAGCAAATCCATTTCGAGCCGTCGGGTACGTCACCTGTCGCATCAATCCGGCACTTAATCCTTTGTACAAGGCCCGGATTCCTTCGTTTTTGACCACCTTCGTCAGACAATCTCGGGAGCTCTTGTACTCGCCCTTGATAGCCAGCTGCATTTGGGTCTTTATGAAGTCCAGCGGCTGCAAAATGACTGTGGCCATCATTCCGCCTAACCCATGCTTGATGGGCTTCACATAGTACGGAATATGCTTCTTATCAACATTGACAGTCATAGCGGAAATATGCACAAAAACAATAAGCCAAAAAAAAAAAAATAATAAATTTTGAAACAGACAAACAGCCAAAACGAATTTTTTGATAGGTTTTAGGTTTTAATAGGTTGACAACGACGCTATGACAAAAAAGAACTGGGTGGTGGGGCGTAAGTCAACTTTCATTGGAAATTCCTTTGTGTAATAATTGCGATTCCCTAACACCATATTGCCAACTTTGATAGCACTCCTCGCCAGAGTGCGAGCACTCCCTCATACTTTACGATTCATATCGTGATGCTGATTCAAAATGGGGTCTGAGGGGTCTCCTTTACTGCGTCGCAAACCTCTGACTGAAATTATAATACCCTTTGCTTTGCAAGGGTATAAAAAGCAAAGAACTAAAGTCGTATAAATATCAATTTAAATTTATCTCAATAAGCTGCCATCTTTGTTCTATTTAGCTGGATGATGATTTGTGTGGTGCCAGAGTGCTGAAGTTTATAATATATTTCAGCAAATAATAGTTTGATTGATGGCCGAGGAGGAAATCAAAAAAGATTTAAAGCGAAAATCTGGGAAAAACAAACAATTTCCCCGCGGCTGAGGGAAATCAAACCAGTCACTCACACTCGTTGGCAAACAGAAAACAGGAGTCATTTGGACAATGCAGTGGAAATGTGATCCCTTCGGCGGGTCAAAGGGCACGTGGGGAATGCGGAATGCGGCTGAGCACGTCACGTATTCGACATGTAAAATGCGCAATTCAATTTTGATCTAAACACGCATTATGCAGCATATTACGCATACGCCATGTGCCCATACTCAGCCCATAAAACAGAAGCAATTTAAATGCATGGCTCCTCTGCGGAGTTCCGCCTGCCCACCGACTTTGCCGACTTCCCCGACTTCCCCGACTTTTCCGACTGTCATATTAACGGCCTTTGCATATTGAAAATGTTTTGCCTGCAAAATGTGACAAACTTTCGACGATGTCGTTGCGAGTTTTCCTTTTCGGCGCTGTTGACTGGCTGGCTGGATGGTTGGATGACTGTATGGCTGGCTCCCTGCCAGCAGATATATATCTGCCGTGTGCGGATGTGAGGGACTATAGCCAGGAGTGTGTGTTTCCCCGGATAACGGACGGCAACTGAGCACTAAGCCACCAGGTGAGTGGGCTTGAACAGGTGTGCCGGTGGCAGGAAAAGGCGGAGCGACAGGTTCGGGCTTCAATTAAAATGTTGCCGAAATTGCTTTTTGTTTTGCAAATAAACTAAACCTGAACAGAATATCAATGGTGGTGCTCATGAATATGGCAAAATGTGGTGTAAACAAAGCGCACTGAAGTTCAAATGCTGGTTTAAAAGGTGAAAGGCAGAAGCTGAATGAAATTATATTCGCACTTAAAAGCAGAGAAATAAAAATGCATTTGCCATTTGTGAGCCATAAAAATCCATTGCATAAATTCCTTACTGAAAGTGGAAAATAAATGAAAAAAAGCTTTTTGAATAAAATTTAATGCAGCATATAAAAATGTCAAAATAAAAAAAAAGTTGGAAAGGAAAAACTTTTTGTTTAGGTAATAAATGTAAATAAAATTGAACGTATAGAATTTATGAATTGTAAAATTATTTCAAATCAAAATATATAAAACTAAAGTAATAACTAAAAATTTCTTTACACAGCTTCTTGCAAATTTCCGCATGACTACTTTTGCCAGATTAGGTTTTATTTCACCCCAAAGTTGCCACAGGGACTTGTGTGCAATTTGCATAAACCACGTGCTGAGGTCCTGAGAACCCAAATGAGCTTTCAAACTTTCGATAAGAAGCCGTGAGCACATTTCACCTTAGCCACCTTTTCAAATTTCCCCCGCTCATGTGTCACCAAAACTTTGGCATCGATTTCAATTTGAAAATTGTCGGTTTCACTGCTCGGATTTAATTAAATGCAATTGCGCTAGCAAGGACACAGAGGATGAATTTCGATGTCCAGCCTGAATGGAATTTTTTAATCCCAACTGCCCATCTGCCCCCTCTCTATCGCGGTTTTTTCGTTTTCATTTGAGTAGCCCGAGCAAATTTAAACATTTTCATTTACTTTTCTGTCGGTGGCCTGTTCGTTGAAAACCGTTTTCCCCGCCGCTTTTCCAACAGAGGCCTGCTACTTTGTCATGTAAATTAACGGGTATATTGTTGCGACATCGCGACCAAAAGCCACAGCTGTAAGTCACACAGAGAAAGGTCCTCTCGCAGGATACCAGCACGCATGTGGGTACACTGAGAAAATAACTATTTTACTGGCCAAATTTAAAATACTGAAATTTCATATTTAATTTCGAATCAGAACAAATTAAAATGGGTAAGATAAACAAGATTGAAATATTAGTAAATGCATTTTAAATTAATATTTTTTAAGTTGTAATGGGAATAATATATTTCCAAAGCAAGGACTTTCTGAGTTTCCTCTATCTTTTGAAATGTATTCGGGGGAGGTACTATATGTGCTGGTCATAAATAAGCCATCGGCGGGATTAGTGCGAGCGAAAGTTGATGGCCTGTACTTTACCGCATATGCATGTATGCTGAATAATTAATTTTTATTGATCGCGATTGCGTACTGACAACCGGCCGCGTCTGCTGTTGTTTATTAGTTTTCTGAGGCTTTGTCTCTGCCCCGTTTTGTGGGGCATAAAGGGCTTACGAGGGTCGGGCGCCATTGTTCCCGATGTGCCGCATAATTATCAGCACACACTGTTGATACACTGAGTTTGCGAGTGTGTTTGCGAGTGTGTTTCTGTGTGTGTGTGTGTGGGCGCACTTGCCGCTGTTTACCCAATTGTATCGCGCTAATAAAGTTAATGTGCTCGCTAAACTGTTGGCCATGACTCGTCTTTGGCCCAGATGACCCCAGTCAGCCCAGTTAAGCCCGTGCGAGAAGTGCGCTAATTGCCTTTCAAGTTGTTGACTGAGCCATCCCAATGGCTTTCCCCCCCAGTGCGTGCTTCGTTCTTGGCCTGGCCGGAACAACTAAGCAGTGTAACGGCCAACTTTCAAGTGGCAAAGGAACTATTAGAGGAGCAAAGTTTGGGGGATGCCAGCTGAAGACATAATCGATGTGGCAACCAAAGTTACTTAAAGAGTTTGCGGTTAGAGGTTCCATATGAAATGGCCAAATAATTGTAGAGATTTTTTTATATTAAAGGTTTAAGTATGTATCTCTTTAAAAAGTTATCCGAAATTCATCATTCTATCTAACTAAACTCTGAGTAAATATAAACCAACCAAAAATAGGTCAAGAGCCACCACAAAGTTAAGGATACAAAACTCATATAAAACAAATTTACGGCTGTTAAATAAATAGAAAGAGCATGCAATGAAAGTAATTAAATGAATTATTAAAACTTTCATTTACCTCAAATTGCATCCCATAATGTTCTATCCTTGAAACTTTTATCTAAAACCCAATTGTTTTGCAAAACAAATATTTAAGTAAGAGCAAATAAAATTAGTTTAAATTTTAATCTGTTGACTTTTGAAGGGAAACATGTATTTGATTGCACTTGTTTGCCTTCTGTGATTATCCTCTTCCGTTTGCGGTATTGCCAGTGTGCATATTTAAATTCCGCTGAAAAAACAGGCGGAATGGCCTAGGGCAAATATGCAATCAACCTCTGCACTCACATCAGACTTAAATCCTCGTGTGTGCAGCCTAAACCCCCTTGACTTTCCCCCACTGATCTGGCTTTTGACCCCGAGCCACACTCAAGCCAAAGCCGTTGGCAAGTCGATGACAAACCAAATATTTGGAGGAAGCTTAGGGCACCGAAGACAAAGGATCCGAATCTGAATCTAAAGCTGAATATAAATCTGGATCTGGGCTAATGCCGGGCTGAGCTGCCTCAGGTGCAAGTTTAAGCCAAATATTCGCCGTAAAACAAATGCGAAATGTGAATTGCGAAATGCGAATTGCGACAGAGCTCTGGCCAAGTGCAGTGGGTAAATGCAGCACTCAACAGACGGAAGACAGCAGCGCACTGATTAAATATCCGGGCCGCAGTTGGCGGAACGGAACGGTTCAGAGTACGGATTCCCTGGCTCAGTTGTACACTCAGCATAATGCGAATCCATGTAGGGAAATGTAATTTGAACGCCAAAACAAACAGCGAACTGGGGAACCGTTTGAATGGCGGCCAGGAAGGCTGCCAGGAAGTTGGGCAGGTGCTTGGGCTGAAAAACAAAGGCCGCCGCTGGATATTTACCCACTGCCAGTGCAGCAAAAGCAGCAAAACCAGCAAAAGCGGCAAAAACGGTGGAAGCTGTGGCAACGGCAGCAGCTTTAGCGGCAGCTGAGGGAGCACAAAACAAAGCCTCGGTAAACAGCCGAGCAATGTGATTAAAAAATAAAGGAACACAGCACAACAATAGGAAATGGAGCACGGACCCAAGACGTACACGGCGGAAAGTACAGCAGAATTGGTCGTTTCAAAGCTAAGAGAATGGGTCACAAACACATTTCTTGTTTAAATAAAAATATTTAAAAACGTGTTCATAATTACAAGCTATAAACACAATATAGATTTAACCAGCAAAAATTTAATATTCAATCCAAAGTGAATTTCTATTACTATTATTCAAGTTTCCTAAAAAATTAAATATCAACAAATATTTTTTAAATACACCTTCCGTTTTAGAAAATACCAGGAATGTATTTAGCATATGTGGTTCCATTTAATATATAAAATATTCTAAAAGGGTTTCCGATTCAGGATGGTATATAGTGTATAGATAAGCAGACCTGTAGGTCAGGGACTCACCTCGTAGCGTGTGTCGATTTCTGGCAACTTCTCCAGGAACTCCTCAACCATCTTTCGTTGCACGTGCGCCGAGCAGAGCAATCACACGCATACACACTCCCCCCACGCACACACACACACTCGCACACGCACGCACCTCACACACACACACACGCACTCACGCAGGACTGCTATTAAATTGACACGCAGCAAATTAAAGTTTCTGCCTATCAATTATGGACAACTGCTAATTGCCGCCGAAGGGCTTAATTATTTTGTGGTCTTTGGTATTGACAAAAGTTAAAGCTGAAACACCTGTTGTTATTGTTATTTTTTCTTATAGTTTTTTTTGGATGTCACACACTGGAAATTCGTAGGTTGCTGTTCTTTATTTGTAAGAGTATTTACTGCCTATTTGGCGGCTGATCTAAGATAAATCTAAGTTTTTTGCACTTTCCGTTCTTTGTCTTTTGTGATTGTCTTGCCCCCTGGTCGACGATGGCTGGGGGGTTGTGTATATTTCTGGTCACTTGGCACTCGAATCGGGCGGTAGTTTTAGCCAACAACACACACAGGCGAACAACAAACGAAGACGCAAGGATACAATTTAGGAAGCGAGGAGAAAAACAAGCTGAAGCTGAAGCTGTAGCGGAACCAAAACATGTGCCAAAACTCCCTCGAAAGCCAACTCCTTGGGGCCCTCCGTGTGTGCGAGAGACCAACAACCAACAAGCGCTGTCCGTTCACTGCCGTTCAGCACTAACAACAAACTGCAGAAAAACAAAACATTTATAGCCAGGCCAGGCCAGGCAAGCCAGGCAGCCAGGCAGCAGCGAGGCAGCCAGCCAGCCAGCGACACACACGACGAGTCCTGCTCATCGGGACGGACCCATCGTATCGACGGCCCGAGCAGATGAGCAGATGATGTTCTAAAAACAGCCTAGCATCTCACTCAGGAGCCGTGGAGCCCCGAAAATTGACGCCAGCCGATGCTGGCCGATAATAAAAAGTGTGTGTGCGGCGGGGCTTTGGGCGCCGGCGCGAGCCAGCGCAAAAGGGGCAGCCGAGCTGAGAAATTTCCAATCCAAAGGAGCAAAGGAGCAGAGGAGCTGGCTCAGCTGGCTCCTCCGCTCCTGCGACTCTCCCGGTATGTATAAGGGATTCTGGGGGATTCCCCTCTCGCGCTGACTTGACACACATTCACGCGCCGAGCTTGCGGTCCAAACCAAAAGTGCAAAAGGAGCAGAGAGCAAATCCAAAAAAAAAAAAGAAAAACAGCATCCAGAGGAGCCGTGTGGATCGCTTGTGGAGTGCCGAGTACCGAGTACTGAGTGCCGAGTGGGGAGTTGCATGTTGCATGCTGCCGCTGTCCCTTTGTTTTGCCAGCACTTGTAAATAATTTGCAGCTAACGAAGGCGGCGCCCACTCAAAGACGTCTCACTCTGGAGGACCCTCCTTCCACTCTATCTGCCGCTCGATCTGCCGCTCTTCCTGCCACCGTTTGTTCCTATCCTAGTAAATCCGGCATCCTGGCGGAACCTGAATGTGTGCCCAAGTCGAGCGTTATCATTAATCTCGAGCACACGCTCTTAATCGATTGCTGTCAGAGGGCTGTGTTTGCCTAGCAATCACCACTGGAAAAACAACAATTAACCTCAGGGGAACCCGAGGACTGCCCCAGTAAGCCACTGCAATCAGTGACTCGCACAGGTTACCAAAGTAGCTTGTTGAAAAATCAGTACAGAGCTGGATATGGTACACAATAATTTCTATTACTTTCCGGTATGAAAAATGTTGTAAAGAATGTGATTTTATACCCTTGTACGGGTATTATATTTTTAGTCAGAAGATTGCAACTTAGTGAAGGAGAAATCTCAGACCCCATAAAGTAATAGATCTTCGTATTAATTTTTCATTTTGTAAAGGTACATTTTTTGGTGTCCGTTTATTTCAGACTTTTTAAAGATTCCTATAGTTTGCCAACTTACTGATCCCATAACTTTATCAATTTTAATCCGAATTTAAGCTGGCATAACTTTAAACTTTTCTGATCAAATTCCAAAACAATCTGCGTTTAAATTTTAATTTTGGTGAAGATCGATTTTTTTATCCCCTGAAGGTATTGCATCTCCACAGTTTCAATTTGGTTAAATTGTTTATAACCTTGTTTTAATATGACTTTAAAGTAACAATTAAAATAAATTCAGCCACTATCCATTAGGACATGTAATTTAAAATGCAATACACTTGCACTTAAGATGCTATCTAAGCACTTGAACAGGAAAGCCGTGAACTTGCTCTGCCATTATAAAGCAATCAACCATAGGTAACGCCCTGCAGTGGTTGGCTTATTGACTTGCTTGTTAGAACTCAGGCACTTACCGAACCCATTGCTGCCATGTCCTGTCCGTTCCAAAGTCAATATTGAATCCCAAAGTTAAACTATGACCGTACTCGCTGGACAGCCGAGCAACACTGAACGGAACTTGGCTAATCAGACCGAAATGGTTGCCGCGATAATGCAACAATTGGCTTCCCGCACACACGTCATCGAGGGTCCTTGCCACTTCCTTTGCCTCCTTTTTCCCTCCCTTCGCTTTCCTTTGCTATTTCCCCGTTCACACCAGAATGTCAAAGTCAATCGTTCAGCGTGGGAATAAAAACAATTACTTGTCTACGGTGCACACATTTGTACATACATTTATTTGTGCACCATGCCACTACTTTTCAAGCCGAAATAAGTGGCCAACGAAAAACTAATTCTCCGCATTTCGATTCTGTCATAAAACGTGGCGGTTTTAAAGTCCTTGAACGCAGCTGCTTAAATAGGTTTTTGGTTTCCAGACTCGCAATGCATTATTCACAAGGCAAACAGGTGAATTAGCACAAGTGCGGGCGTGTCCTGGTCAAGTGCAAATATGACAGAAGCACGTACGTATTGAAAAGCTTTAAATTATTCAGAAAAGTTTCAGTAGTGATTTTGGAATTACCCGCCAAAACTGAAAACGTAACACGAATGAAAATGCTTGCTGCGAAACTAATTTTGTTTGCATGGCTGTCTTGGTTTGCTTGCTATGAAACTCATAAAACTGCTTGCTTGGAAGTCAAACCAAAGTTGCTTGATATAAAATTTAAAGGGGTACTATAGCCATCTCTTTCTCGCAAATGTATGAACTGCTTCCAAACACTGCTTGCATTCAAACCCAATTTTCAAAAACAATTATTAAAACAACAATATACGATCGTAATTTATATTTGGAGATGATTTTCATATAATTTCTGACAAACTTGAACATTTAATTAATTTCATTACACATTTATAAATTTCATTTGTTACAATTTTCGTTCGTTTATCGTTTTCAGCGTTCTCGGACCGTACAATTTACTATTTCTGTTTTGATATTTCATGTTAACGTTCCTGGCGTTTCTGTTCCCACTTATTTTATATTCATTTCATCGAGTTTACTCGTATAAACGGATGCACATGCAGATTTTACTACTCCATCCAGTTGCATTGGCTTTACGTGAATACTAAGATCAAAACGATACAGAGAGATGAGTAGCTACAAAATACATACTGTTACAAAAAATAGTTAATTAGTATTTATAAGCACGGCTCGATCCGAATCTCCTCCGTCCCTACATATATATTTGAATAAATACTCGCGTCCGTTGTCATGCGGCCCACATCGAACTCCATATTTGGTTTGGTTATTCACTGACTTCTTCACTAGACACTTAAATCCTTTGTCTGCTTTGTATTCAGATTTTTTCTATATTTTTTTCGTTTATTAAGTACTATTGTAGTTTTCTTACGAGTTAAGAGTTGTGCTTAAGGTATTGCGCTCGTTTTACTGCTGATGCTGTTTGAGTTTGGTGTTCGTATTTGATTTTTTTCGGTTTTAGGTTTTCAGTTTTCGGTTTTCGGTTTCTTGTTGGTGAGCGACTCGCATTGGATGTACATGACTAACAGTAGAGTCCTTACGATTAGTTACGGTTCATATGATACGAATGATTGTAGGCAGGTGGTTGGTGGTTCACTTGACTTGCAATGCTGCGTTGCGTTGTGTTCGTCCCGACAAAAGATGCTACCTAACATTAATCAGTTTACATTGGGTATAACTACGAACTAAAACTAAAACTTAGGCTTAACGAAACCCTAAAACTGAACAGCCACAGAAACTAAAGGTAACACAATGAGTTGTGTGCCAGTCGACAAACTAGCTGAGGCCGGTGCTCGTCTGCGCCTCGGAGATGTTTTCACTTGGCACTGCCGGCGCGGACTTGGAAGCGGAGGATGCGGATGAGGAGGCGGGCTGGGTGAGCAGTGGCCTCTGGATCCTCTGGCGGTCCATCGCCAGCTGCCAAATGGCCATGCTCTCGTCCGGCTTTATGGCGTGGTTGGTGAACAGGAACGGCGGCTCCTCCAAGTCCGTCCTTCCGCTGACCAGCTCCCTAACGTCCTTCTGCTCGAGGTAATACTTTAGCGGGGTGATCCTGGTGCTCGTCTCCTCCGCCAGGATGCCCGTGATGAGCACGTCGTCCACCCAGAAGTACCGCGCCTTCTGCGCCGCCTCGAACAGCCGACGCACCACGTCCGGTGCGTAGACGATGGCCATTCCGGGGCAGTACTGCGGATAGAAGCGGTTCGGGTACTCCTTGTACGTCACGCGCCACTTGGACTGCAAGAAAGGTAATTCGGATCACTATCTTGGCAACTGCAAAGTGCTTCTATAAATACTTTGATTTTTCATTTTCATTTGGAATACTCTCAGATAAGATAATTTAAATTGTATTGTTATCGGTGTCACAGAGTTCTCAACTTACTTAACTCGCTTAATGGTAATTGTTTTTTAATTACAAACATAAACTGTTTAATGGGGAGCTTTGCAATAATGCTTTTATGTTGAACCTATCAACTTGATATTCTCGAAATGAAACAACAAAAATAAGGATATGATAACATTGATGGAACACAAATAAATTAAATCCATTTAACTATAATAACATGTTAAGAATCTTTAAGGTCCTACGTTAACTTTGAGTAATCATATTCAATAAAAAAAGAAATGAGTGAAAGTAATCAGAACTAATTAAAGAAAAAGGCGTAGAATCCCTTACCCGGTAGGAGCGCTTGACCCTCGACCGATCGACGGAGCGGCAGAGCAGGAGATCCGGCGAGAGGAGCATCGCGTGCTCCGGCAGCGAGGGATTGGCCAAGTACTTGACCAGCTGCGGCGTGTTCATGAACACGTCGTCGTCCACCTTCACCAGCAGCTGGGCGTGGGCGCAGTTCTCGTTGAACCACTTGAGGGCCATCACGTGCTTGTAGGTCATGTTGCGGTAGGCATCCTCGAAGTTGCCCTGGATGAGATCGCCGTGCAGTTGGTTCTCCCGGCCCAGGAACTGCTGCCACCTCTCGGCGTTCTCGCCCACGCCGCCGACCAGAAAGAGGACCCTCAGCGGCGTCTGGTCTATGTACGTGCGGTCCGCCCAGGTCTCCCGGATGATCCGCCGCTTCTCAATGTTCCTCACGGCCGAGTGGACCAGTATCAGAACCCTAACGTCCTTATCACAGGCGGGCTGGTCGATCAGATAGACGAAGTTGGGCAGGTCCATCAGGTGCATGCTGCTGCCCGGAGGGGCTGGTGTCTGCGACGCCGTCGGCGGGGGCGTGGCCAGTTGGCTATGGTCGAAGGTGTTGCTAACTAGGCTACTATCATTACTACTAAGTGTGCGACTAAATTGGAATATTTGGTTTGGTTTGCTCCGGTTCCCCCTGCTCCTCCGCAATCCATTGGCACTCGTTGGCGGCTGTGAGGTGCTGCTCCCGCTGCTGCTGCCGCCGCCGCCTCCACCGGAATCTGTCATCACTTCGGCCTCCAGCATCGGCGGCTGCTGCACACTGACCAGCCAGATGACCAGGCAGACGCAGATGAGCAGCAGGTACAGCGATCGCTTGTCCATCCTAGCGGCTTGCATTTTGATCCAATTCTATATCCGGACACCTCAGACGGAAGCGTTTTCTGCGTGCCTTGGCCATTTAACTCCAGATCCGAGTGGCTGCAACGGCAAAAGGTAAATGGAAACGGTTAGTAATCGCCACTTGAAGTGCGCTTTCCGCTAGCACTAATCGCGAATGCGATAATGGCCAGAGGCATTAGGGCAATTGGCTGATATGACATGTGGTCAACTTTCTAAGTGGCCATCAAACAGGTGTCAATGGGCGCACATAAATAAAGCGAAGAGCATTATTCCCCGTCTATTTTGGACAAGTTCACTGAACGCAACTCATTTCATCGATGGCACTAAAACGCACCTGCCATAATTCATTCAAGTCGGCAGCGTGACACCTGATGGATTCCCGGGGACTTCCGAAACCGAACTGAAATGAATGAATTCTCCCAAACACTTTCCTCGCTCTTGCCCAAAAATCGAAAATTAAAAACGCTTAGAGATAAGTTGAATTTATTGATTTATTGCTCGCGATTTCGATTGCTTTGTCAACGTCGATAAAGGAATTCCTCGAACTCGAGCACAACTTTTTTAGAAGTGCTCCACTGACAACGGAATCCATGACGTCCCATGACTGAAACCTTATCGAAACCGAGTCGTTAATAGTTATGGTCGTGCAAACATATTAATTGGCTGTACTAAACACGCTCGTGGCTCCTGGTGATTAGTCAGGTTCACATGCTCAAATTGATTTGCTATCAGCTCTGGGTGCTACGTACTTGGGAAGTCGCACAAAGTTTTGCACTCGCTAGTTACGCTTATCAAACTAACTAAACAAAAAAAGGGGAATTATCTTATTACCCTAAACAACCATTTATAGGGTCAGGTATTTGGGCTAGAGACTAAAATTGCTGAACAAACAGTGGCTTACAATAGGTTTCTTAAAAGATTACTTTGAAAAAAATCAAAGCAAGCAGCAACTAATTTCTTAACTGACAATTTAAGTTAGGTAGTTAGATTTATCTTATCGGCAATTAAGCGATAAATTTTAAAACTCTGATAACTTTGGCAAACAAAATGGTGTTTGAAGTATTTAAGTTGGCTTTGTGCCAGACAATAAAACATGCTCTTAATGTATCTTTAATACATATTTAATATTATTGGCTGTTGAAGAAGATTTAAAATACGATAATCAGAGGATGGACATTTAAAGTTAAATGCTTCTTGGCTTTATCTACACTGTTGCTTCTTTTGTGGCCGTGTATATTATATTTTATTATTTTTTAAGTTAACCGGAAGACTCACTCAAGCACATGTCCGGTGATACCGCGTCAGAAAAAAGAAGGAACTCAGACTCAAGTCTGTGTTCTGGTGTCACGTAGTCCGCCAAAGTCTGCACATGAGTTGCAGTATAATTCAAATACAATGTTGAGGGAAATATTAAAATGGTCTTGTGAGGGTTCTTGTGGCACTCAGCTGATTACCAGGCTGCGAAACTCTCCCAAGGGTGTTTCTCAAACAACTTCTAGGAGCGCTCTCGATTAGATTGCCAGCGGGTTTCCGATAAGATAACTATTCTAATGACAGATGGGCTGTGTTCCTTTTCCGCCCCATATTTCAAGCACTTTATATTAGATTATAAACAGCGAAAGCGTCACTTACTCGAGGCCGGAACGTCGTCTAACACGAAACGTTGAAAATTTTTATATTTATGCAAATTCCCCGCCGGAGTCAACGGTTCTTTATAGACACGGCTAATGAAAAAGGGCTGTACTGGCACTGGCTGGTTGTTAAAGGTTGATGTTAGCACGCAACGGTTGCCACGGAACAATTGCGTCCTTTGGCTTTGGGCCACGCTATCCAACCAGCACCCAGATCTGGTGAAATGTAACGAGGTTTGGGGCCTAACTGCCGGATGCGAGGCCCTCAAGATATGCAAAAACTAATTACAACTGAGCCTTTGACCTTTGCCAACTGTGCGGCAAAGCCTGTCTAAAAACGAACTGCAAGCCAGTTCTGCTTTTGGGCCCAAAACCAAGGCCAGAATGCAACTCAAAATAAAGTTTCGCTGCAGGCCTGATTTCGAGGGTGGTTTTATCACAAGTTGACTGCCAACAGTCACGAAATGTTGCTTGTCGGGGTTATTAAAAATATATACAAGTACTTTTTTTTAAATTTTTAATTGAAGTTGTTGGTTCCACACACAAATGACATTTCGAAGTTCTACAAATTGCGTTTTGTATATTTGTTCTATTGATTATTCGATTTTCACTCTGGATATCATCTTTCAATTACGCTAAATAACGAATCGATTTTTATATATGTATATACACTCCACTCTTCACTTTGCAGTTATTAATTAAGTTAACTATCTGATGGTCACAACGGAAGAGAAAACTTCATCAATTATCTGGCTGACCTGCGCAACGTGACATTCAGAGCATGATACGAATTCAATTAGGAAATTACTTCATTGCCCTTTGACCTAAGCCGGGAGTATCTTCGTTCGACAAGATAAAAAATGATGAAACCCTTATGATCGGTAGTCTCTTGTGTACAATTTTTTATCACATTGTAAAACCTTGCTGATCGTCTAGCAAATGTTTGTCGATGATATAAATGATAAAGAACAAACGCACTGAACCAATTTATATTTCCCGCCTCCTTGAGCAAACATTTCTCGCACACCTCACCTTTGTTTCCATTAAAGTGCTCACACCTCTCGTGAACTTCACACAAATAAGCCTAGACTCCGCCTGTAGAAGCAGAGGAGCTGGTTTTATACGGGGGGAGTGGCACAGGGCTGGGACGTCTGCCAAAGGCTGGCACTTTGCAGTCGATAAAATGCCAACAGCAACGCCGAATAACTTTTTCAAGTCGAAGGTTAAATTTTATCGTGGTCTGAATGGGCAACAAAAACATCAGCAGCGACAATAGACTCGCCTGCAGTTCAGACTAGGCGTCTTCTATTGTTTATCTGGTATCGTTTCGTGCTTTTGATTAGTTACCGACCGGCAGTTTTTCCCTCGGAGGAATTGTATTCATTGAATAGCAGCAGGTTGGCACTGCGAAAACTTGGCTGCTGCCCAAAAACACTTTGAATGCCTGTCAGGTTGTCCCTCAATTGTATACAATGCAACTTTCACGTGCAGCAAAGCCTTGTGGCAATTGCCACCAATAGGGAGTGCAATACTTTATACACAACAAATAAACAACTAAAATTATTTGGCCTTCAAAGCAACAAATTCCATTATTGAGACTCACTAGTCTGGACTGGTAATTAGAAACAAAGCGAATAGTAAGCAACTTTAAAATAAACCAACCTACAACGAAAAGTGCAGCAAACTGCAGTTAAAATAGTTACGTATACGCACCGGCATCCATTATGCAAGTGCCAATTGAAAGTGGAGAAAAAAGTGGTTAACGTTTTTCAAGTTCTGCTGAGCAGCTTAAGATTGTTTTTAAGCGAAATAAAGCTGAAAATGTGTGGATAATTTTAAACCGGTTTTCAAAGTTGGTGATTGCAATGCAAGTCACGTTTGCTTTGTCTGGTTTAAAAGCGTATTTCCCTTTTCCCAGTTAGAAACAACTTTAGTATTTCCCATCTGCACTTGTTTATTAAACTTGCTTGGAATTTGCTTCAATTGATGCGGCGCTATTGTTTACGCACCAGAGTGACGCAAGTTCTGGGTAAAGGAAGCGAGGGATGCGCGCAGCTGGAGATCGCATATATGCCACTGTAATCTGAAGACATCTCAAGAGGGAGAGAGCGTTGCATTCGCCACTTGGCATCCTGTCGCCGTCGCCAAATGGGAGTCCAGAGCTCAAGTATTAAACATTCAGCCAACGCCGCCGGCCAGACAAATGCCCCTCACATGTTGATGGCTCACAAATGTAGCCATCCATGTGCGCCTACAAACATTCGCACTGTGTACACATGCCACATGCAGACACACTCCGAAAAAACCAGTTGAAATTGATCAATTAGGAATGGGAAACAATTTGAATTCAATATGAATTTCAGTCCGGAGGACTAATAACTTTAACATACACTTCAATTAGATCGAATGCATTCACTTCGGTTCTATCAACTTTTATGTTTTCTGTCAAATTGTTTTTTATTCCTTTTTGCTCGAATATTTATTGTAATTTATTGTGGCACAATGAGGGTATTACTTTAAAATTCATTGTGTAGTAACAATTTTAATTGTCGTTTAAAATTGATTTTCTGAGTGCATACAACATGCTGAGAGCCAGGGAAAACTCGCCCTGTCCCAGATGTCGAAAAATGTGAGTCAGCGGCTTGAAGGAGTTTCGCAGACTGGTAGAAAAAAATTGTGGTGGGAGAAAAAAGGGAAAACCCCAACGTGTTTTCTGCAACTAACATGCGGCAATTACAACATGCTGAGGGAGTTTTCCCCTCTGTCGACAACAGCATTTTGCGGTGCGGTTTGTGGGTGAAACTGCATAGGCAGCAAACTTTTCCCATTTTCGTTCCCGTTTCCACGCCGAATGCACGCACACTCACTCACGTGGGCAAACAAATTGCTAGGCAATGCTAAATGACGATGCCAGACAGATATTTAGGCGAATGCAACTGAGTGGGCGTGTGGACGCCATGTGGCGGCGCAGCAATCGCAATGTTGGAAATAGCAGGCAGCGGATGCGGATGCAATCTGCCCGAGCCTCCGACGGTTTATCCGCCTCCTTTTCTGGATTTACGAGCCCGACTCGCCCAATTCCTGCGGCCACGACTTGGGCGTTGGCCTGCACTCACAGAACTTAGAAACGAATACATTTGCTTAAGTTTTGCTTTAAAGAGCCAGCTTTATCGCTTGTTTTATTCATAGTTTTGTTTTAAATAGTTTATAGAATTTACATATATAGACTTGCGATAAGAAATTCTGAACAAAAATTATAGAATTCCATTCTGGTATGAGCTTTGGAGCATTTCTTGCAGTTCATAGCCATAAAACCATAATATACTCATAAAGTCAGTCTGCAGCGTAGGAAATATTTTTATTATTCAGAACCCGGATGGCAGAGCTTCCTGTTGCCACATAAACTGCAAGCATTAGTCATAACCTCAAAAAAGGGATCATAAGAAGTGAATGGAACCCTCTGGGTGGTAGAAGGGCAGAGCGGCGACAAATGCATTTAGTTTGATTGAAGGACACAGCAGACTGAGGGACAGACCGGCGGACGCCGCAAATTGGCAATTAAAAAGCCAATGGGGAAAGGTGAGGTGAGGTGGCCCGTGAAAGAGAGAAGTAAAATGCAAAATAGAAGAACCGGACACGCCCAAGCCCAAGCCAAGGGGGAAGGAGAGGTCCTGCCTTCCTTATGGCCTTCCCTGCAGGGTTGGTCACTCTCTCGCACGCTAAATAATTTATGAATACATATTCCTTAGCTCTGTATGAAAATTTAATTACGCTCCTGTTGTTTACATTTTCACAAGCCAGCAGGCCAAAGTCCGTTTCGAAACGAGTTTTGTGCACGCACTCTTTTGGGCCAACGGACTCGATCAAAATACACAAAAGACGTTTGTGTTTCAATAGTCAAATAAGGAAAAAATAAAAAGACAAAGAGGAGAACCAAAAACGGCTCGGTCGATGACTCAGATTTCTTGGGGACTAAAAGTTCACATTTCTGTTAAATTTTACGCTTCAGTCTTTATAAGCAATTATGCAAATTTTTTTGTTAATCAACACTTTCGAGGAATTCAATGCAATTCTCTGTTGGTCTTGCAATATTTAAATGGAAATCGAATACACAGATGATTTCAAAGTAAACAAAACTCGAGTTTTATTAGAGACCGCTTCAATGCAAAAGTTTCCAAACATGTCTGGTTTTTATCCATTCACACGGCCAATAAATAAATTCCAAACACTCGCAATATTTATAGACATTTTCTATATGCGCAAATATGTGTGAGGAAGGTTACACCTCATTATCATAAAATTGTAAATGCCTTAATATATATAGACATTTTTCGAGCAATTTAAATGTATGCAAATAGTGAAGAAATAGAAAATTTATAAAATCGGACATCGAAATTCGTTTTTCGATAGGCGGCAATCCCGCACTAAATTAATTTTGAGCGGATTATGGGATTGATCAATCAAGTTGCCGCAATCAAGTATTAGCAGATTAGAAAATAAATTGCAATACCCACTCAATCCAGAAGAAATAATATAAGTTAATTATAACCTATAATCAAACCTTTGACCAGAAACATTCTTTGATTAATATAAGTGTGTATCAACCGATTATTTTTTTCTTTTTTTTTGTTTTGTTTTAAAAGTGTGTTCAGATATTCCTAAAACTCACGTGATCATAAATAATACAAAGTTCGCGAATTGTATATCAAAACGGGGATAGCGGCAAGCGGGAGTAAAAGAGAAAGCAAAAAGCTTAAACCTCTGACGTTGGCGGTGAATCTCGGGGTCACTGTACTGTAATAAAAAAGTAACGCCGCCAACTGTCTAACGCTTCTCACCGTCAGTTATCAGTGGGCCAGAAGGCGCAAGTGGGCGTAAAGTAGCAACGACGGCGGATACGCAAACAAACAAACAAAGCGAAGACAAGATTGTGATGGGACACTGAAAAAAATGTTTCATTTTGAATGACAAAGACAGATAATCGAGGGAGAGAGATATAGATAAATGAGAGTGAGAGCTTCACGCGGAAGCTGCCGCAATTAAAATTCAGAGCTTTGGATATGCCAGCGAGCATGTGATTGAAAATTTGGAGTGACACAACAAACATAATTTCTAATTTATTTTATATTAGAAAGCAAAAATGTACAAAAACTTAACAATTTAAGTTTGTCCAACATCAAGCTGATTAAATAAAAATTTATTTTATTTTTTTTTTTTTTTAAGAGTCTTAAAGAGTGAGCAGGAAAGGAACTTGAACTGTTACCAAGAGGCAGTGCAATTTATCGATTAAGATAACGCAACTAGCGGAGGTTTCACCGTAAGTGATTAAGTAAACACTCTCGCAATCTTGGGCAAACATTTGTGCGTCAGAGAGGGGGGATGCATGGAAAGGAAGGGAGACGGCACAGTGGTACGGGCCAAGGCCAAGGGCCCAAAACACGCGAAATGGATCAAAGGAGCCAAAACGGAGGCACACAAACAGGCATGCGAGCCACTGTGCCTGAACTTGTTCAAGGTCAGTCCTCAGTGACGGCGACATGCTAAAAAAAAAAGAAGAAAACTCAAGAAACAACAAAAAGACAACAGAAAAAGAAGAGCATACGAGCCAAAAGCAACACAATTCCGCTGGCCAAGTTAAAGGCGAATGAAGAGCGAAAACAACAACAACAAAATTCCAATCAGCACACACACATGAAAAGAGCGAGAGACAGATAGAGAGTGGGTGTCCGCCCTCGCAGCAACAACAATGGGCTCCTGTTCAATGATGCTGATAAGAAAAAAGACAACATAAGCCCTTAGGAGAGCAGAAAAAAAAGATAAAATCCAAGTGCTGGACTTAATTAACATCTAACACTTATTCATTTTATTATTTACCTGCTTGTTATTTTCCATCCATTTATCCTTCCCAAAGAGAGCAGCTTGGGTGCGTTTTTTAATTAATTTCCAAAGAAAACACACTCGCAAACGCACCCATCTTTAGGTAACAGTTAAAAAAACAGAGTCGGAGCAAAAGAGACAGCAGTTGGGAGTGCTAATTTAACACACACGCGCACACACTAGCGAATTTGTTATATACTTTTTGGCATCAATTTGTTGTTGGCAGCTCGATAAACTTATTTAAAACAATTTTCATGCACACACGCATCACCAATACACACGCGGCGAAAAGGAATGCAAAAGGAGAAGAAGAAGCTGAAGGATGCTGGGCCTGTATTTCCTTTTTCGCTGCGATTTTTAGGCGTTAAACGCTTATTTGATCACTTTAAATTTTCTTAATTATGTTGTTTTTTAATTTTTTTGTTATTTATTATTAACTTAAACAGAAAGAATCAGCGCCCCTAATCGAAAAAACCGCCGCGCGGCTATTTTTCACTAATCATCATACCATGATGTCAATTTTTATAAACGGATCTATTATCAGTATCAAGTAGCAAAAATTTTCAGAAAAATGTTGTGCGCCGCAAATGACAACGGATGCTTTTATTATTTGCAATTTATTTTATTAACTTTATAATAATTTTCTTAACGGGTCCGAACCCAAGCAGCGCGTTCGAGTGAAAATGTTTGTTGTTTTTCTAGAGCTGGAATATGAGAAGGGTTTACATTCGATAATATCGTACCCTGTAATTTTTTGTGATTTTTTAGGGCATGGGTACGGTCGCACTGGAGATTGTTATGTTAAATTTGACTGTTAACTGTAAACTGTTAAAATAATTCAAAATATTAAAAACAAACCATGTATTATTATTTAGTCCCTTGATGCTTCTGTTGTTAAATCGTTTTATTCAGTTTTTAGTTTTAGAAGTTAAAGGGAAACAAACAAACAATAAAGATTAATAAGGATAAAGATTTATTAAGATATATTAGCGTAATCGTTAACGACCCAGAAATTATTAACAGCGCGCCCTGCAATGTTAGCCATGAGCGAGAGAGAGAGAGAGAGAGAGAAAATATCGATATACATACGTTCGACTTTCCGGGTTACCATTTGACTGATAGACTTTTTAAATAAAAAAATAACAATAATACCTAGAACTTGCATATGCATTTTTATAAATTTTCAATTTGATTACCAAGGAGAGACTATTTGGTAAGAATGTACATATATTCTGAAGGGGCTTAAACAGCTTTTTTATACACCTTTGGATATCGATATTCTTCAATATTTGGGGTGACCAATACTGAATCTGACAAGACTGTTATCTGAGCTAGTTCTCATTAGAAAAATGTAACGGTCGGCTATTTGAACTATTGATAATGTACGAAACTAACGCAATATTTAAATAAAGTGTTTAAAATAAATTAGATTTCTTCAAACACTCGACTATCGATAAGCGCGTTGCGGCAACTTCCATCTACGATGTGCAACAAAGGAAAAACAAAATCGCAAAGCAACAACAACGCAACTGAGGGTTCGCAGCAATGAGCGCATCGAATAATAAAGAGGAATTCTTAGTTCCTACGGTCAGGGAAGTGCAGCAACTATTTGCGGAACTCCTAAGCCGTGGAGAAGATATAGTCTGGGACCTGTAAGTTGTAAACAAACTGGCAATATTAGAATTTATAACCCAAGGTAATCAGATCTTCACAGAACGATGAAGTTTTGAAAAGCAAGTTACTCCAGTTTAAAGACGACAATAATCGTTGGGATGATTCTGACAAACATGCGAATATGTTTAAATCTATCTGGAATACCAGTAAGAGTTATTTATAACTGGAAGTTGTTCAATGAAGTCAATAACTATTTTTCGACAGGAAAGTATACCAATGGGCAGGTGCTTGCGTCTTTATTTTTTGTTATGATTGTGGAAAATATCCGTGACTCGAAATTGGCAGAGCAAAGCAGATCCTGGCACTTGTACCCGGTTTTTCGTTGTCGACGATGCGTGGGTAAGTTAAATGTTTTCGATATTTGCTTAACAAAATAATGTTATATCTCCACACAACAGACAAAACTGGTCAATCCAGCAGTACCGACTGTTGCATGATGTACGTAACACATAATACGTCTTGTGAAAACTGGAAAACCTTTCTGATTCTACCGACTTTCCGTTCTGGTGTAATGGTGACCCCGCACCGAGGAGTCTACAAGCTGATTGATGGTCAGGTGGAACTGGAATCGCATTTCGTAGAGCAGCAGAGCTATCGTTTCCTCCCCCAAGAGCCCTCCATAACGCCCCAATCATTATTGAAAGCCGCAAAAACACCCATTAAAAGCGAAGAAACAAAACAAAAGGAAAAGCGGCTAGGTATTCGAGTATTATATTCTCCGAGTTTTTTCTCTTGTGAACGGATGCTAAGTTTTCTATTGGTAAGAATTTTTAACTAAACTATTTTCACATTTTTTTAATATTTTTGTTTTACTTAGAGTTTCGATAATAAACAGCAGGCTTGTGATGTGAAAGACCTCTCCGATTCCTTAATTTTATTTACGCATAATGTCAACAACTTTAATTTGGCTTTGGAAATGATTAAAGCAGACAACCCCCGCAGCATTCTAATAAACAGACTAAGAAGCGACTTCCTCAAAATATCCGAAGAATTTAAACGCCTGCAGGGCACAGTGGACCTTATACGCAGTGCTAACGGAGTGCCCACAAAACAAAACCTGGAAACGATTTTTAAATCCACAAAAAAGAAACCAAAGAAAGTAACTAAGAAGCCTGAAAATCCCAACGATATACCTGTTGATTGTCCAGAAACCACCACAACTAAAGCAAATGCAGAAATTATTCAACTTGAAGACTTTGGCACTTTTCTTAAAGAGCACGTTTTCAGCTTGGAGAGCTTTGAAGATCTGATAGCCAAAATGTCTGAACACTTTGAACCCGAAATGTCTAGGCTGATACTGCAACTAGCGCAAACTTTTCTGGAAACAGCGAGGGAAGAAATGTGCCAGCAGATAAAATTCTTCTTCTCCACGGAATTCGTTATTTATCATATCATTTTGTACATAACAAAACATTTTTCAAACTTGGACTACAAAGAAGTTGAAGAGCAATCATCAGATATTTTAAGGCATGTGCGATATTGCTTTGCCTCTTGGAACCCGAATTCCCGACCAGAGTTTCTCAAGAAGTGCGATAAATGTGTCGGGTACTACGATTTAAATAAAAGGATGTAAAATTCCCCTTTCTGTATTTTTTAACTTCCTGAAAAGACGCGAAATGGTTTAAAATTCTTTCAATGAAATTACTTAATCGTTTTTACAAAATTAATGGTAAATTGTTTGCCATATAGCTTAAGAAACTGCATTTACATATGTGTAAATTCCAGATTTATGTAAAGTCCAGTGCCTACACATCATTTAAAGATATATAAAAATGTTTAAATAAAGAAAGAATTTGTAAGTTTTATCAACAATTCTATATTCTATTTTGGGGACGGTAAAGTGTTTAAGTAAATACAATACATATAGTATAAGAGCTCGTCTACAACTAGGTGTTTAATAAGCTAAATAGGGTGGCCACCGATGTACAAAGTATTTTGATAAGCATATGTTTAACATTGACTAAACAAGACTAAGCCTACTGATTCGAATATGGTGAGTAGTTGTACATGAAAGCGATCACAATTGTCAGATGGAGGCGTGTGCGTTGACCCTAACGATCTAACTTAAGGCTAGCATCTTTAGGCACTTTTCGACTTGCCCTGCCGTCGGTTTAGCAGACTGGAAAGATTGCTAAAGGGCAGCTCGAAGGCCAGCGAGAAGATAATTGAGGCCAGATAGACGATGACTGCAAAGCCGCAGGTCACCACGCACTGAAATCGATAAGAATGTTAGTAAAAGCCATGCTAAATATATTATTTATGTGACTCACCAGCATGAAGGGATCTGCATGTGTACTGGCGTTGGTTAAACTGTAGAATAGTGCGATGACCAGCGGATTTAGGAGGTAAATGGCGTAGGACAGTCGACTGACGTGCTGGAAGCCCTTGGCCTCCAAGAGACGTGACCACCACACCCCCCGCCCAACGCAACTGCGCGCTATCATCCAGCATACACTCAGCGAAAAGAAGAGGCGACCCATTACAAACAGCGTGATGGCCATCAGAGGTCCCAGGTCCCTCTTGACGGTCGAGTAAATGCAGGCGAAGAACACCAACAAGGCGAAGTGCCAGCAGAATCGCTCCTTGGGTTCACTCATCTCCAACTGGGTTCGATTTTCCAGAAGCAACCAAGCTGTGGCTGCTCCCAGAATATAAGGAAGGACCCTTACGAAGGGCGATGTATAGATCTCGGTTCCGGTGGCAAAAGCAGAGTCGAATGACAACTGGAACTTGATGCTCACGCCGATGCTGTAGGACCAGGCCACAGTGGCCACGAAGGAAGAGGCCACCAGTGCTTTGACCACCTTGGGATATCTATTGAATAAAGGAAATATGAAATATTATAGTTTAAGATTTTAATAGGTATAACTTACTTCACATAGAGGAACAGCAAGGCATTGGCCAGGATGAAGAACTGCATTTCGCAGGCCAGAGACCAACTCCAATTCGCGCACATATCTCTATGATCGAAGAGGTTCTGAATAAACAGGAGATTTCGCCACCAATGGCGGGAGCACATCTCATCGAATCGCTCGTTGATGTGGTAGACTGAGACATCGCCAATATAGGCGTAAACCAAGTCCACCGTGGCCATCACTACCAAGTAAAGTGGTCCAAGGCGCAAATACCGATGGAAGAGCAGTTTGCCGAAGAGCTTCAGATTTTCACCGAAGCTATTTCCACGTACTGCCTCCAGTTGCTGGGAGTTCCGAAAAAAGTTAAAAGTTTGAAGGAAGCCACTGGAAGGGATGCAAAGAATTCATTTTTAAAAGAATATTGATATCAGCTTAGGTCTTTGTTTAAGTGTCTTATTGTATATTCAAAAATAGTTAAACTTCCGCCTGTATTTTAAAGCTTCATAAGGTTCGCATTTCTTTTGTTTAATACCCACCTGATGGTAAAGAAGACATCAACAAGTAGGGGCGCAGAGGAAACGTATTGGAAGAAGGCCTGTTCTGCATACGAAATCAGCACCGTCTTGTTGTGAACTGTGAAGTACATGAACCACACCACGTGGAACACCATTATCCATATGGCGCACACAGATCGCAGACCGTTCATCAGGGGAATTTCATTGGGAGAGTTCTCCCTTACGGCAAAGATCTTCGACCAGTTTGTAGGTACATCCCAACAGGGTATATACTTCTGAAGTTTCTCGAATTGAAGCAGCGAGTTGAGTCCACGCCAAACTTCCGATTCCGCGGGAGCTAATCTAGGATCGGGTTCCTCAGTTGAAGATTCCAGCTTTTTGGTGGCCGCCAGTTGTTGGGCACAGAGCACCAGAGCTCCAGTGACCAAAACACAAGCTACTAACAGTCGAAAGCTGGCTCTCTCGAAGAATTCCTCCTTCAGCTGCAGATCCTTCATATAAACCACTTCCGGTCGAATGTCGAAGATGTCGTTTTCGGTGAACATTCCCCCAGCTACGTAACTCCGGGCCAGACTTTTAACCTCCTCCGAATCGCAGGCACTTGGAAGGCATAAACCTATGTGGATAATCTGCTCGGACATCAGCTTTATTTCCACCTGCCACGGGGAACTGTGGCTCAGGTATAGAACCCTGTAGTCCATGTCAAAGGGCGCCTTCTGGGTGATAATTCCATAGTGCATCACACGATCGAAGTTTTTCGACAGGGTTATGCCCACGGGTCTTTGGACTCCGCGACAAGCTTCCCGACTTCCCAGCCAGTAGTTCTGGCCATATACAAAGCCCGAGGGTTTTGTACCCGACGCATCCAGAACTGTGGGAAAATTTAATCAAATTCCAATTGATAGTGATTATTGGTAGAACATATGTACGAAGCCACTAAAAGCCGCTAACTTTAAAGTGAACCTTTTGTAGGCAAAGGTTCAAGTTGTTTTAGACTACTTTGCATCTATTAACTAACCACTGTTGGTTTATCATTGGCATTTTTTGGTGAATCATGTAGGTTTTCAGAACAACTGAAGGGTCTAAATGTACTATGTTTACTATTTAAATTCGTAGAGTAAGGAGCTCCTAAGTACAGACTTCAAAATGTATTATTCTACAAAAAAACCTTTTAATGAATCATTTTTGAATCGTTTTTCCGTTAATGTTTTGTATGGTTAACTTGTAGTCAAAACTCTCGTAAGGTGCGAGTTATAATAGAAAAAGCTGATATTGTGAATCATTTGTTTATCTGTTCGTGTAGTTTGAAAATAATTAGCGTTTAAGTTTGTGTAAGAGCTGTGGTCCAAATAAAGCTGTCTTCCCTTAACATGATTTCAACATATTTATTTTATAATTTAAATCTGCTGTTATGATTGTTGATTAGCAAAGACTTTTGCAATATGCACACAAATATTTTATAAAAAAGTAATATGTAGATTTGTGAGTAACTACGACAAAGTAAGTGAACAAATAATGCTTTTAATTTTGATTAAACATTGTTGTTATGTATCTAATCTCTGTACTATTGAAAATAATTATTTTTTTTTATTATTTTTTAATATCTATAACAGTATTAATAATATTTTTAAAATATTTTTACTCACCCTTCATGGCCCATGGCTGCTTGCCGAGAATGCCGCGCTGCACTTGCTTCAGTTGCGTGTGGCACTTCTGGCTCACGCTGCTCTCGTTGGCCACTTTTGTTAGCCCGAAGATGACGGAGGTGCGAGTCAAATGGGTTTCATGGGGCGAACTGACAATGGCTGAAGTGTTGTCCAAAATCTCGAGTTCCTCTGGCGGCGACTGCGATTGATTGAGCTGACTTTGATATCGCTGCTGGTGCTGCCAGGTTTGTGAGGCGGTCTGGTTGCTGGCGCCCTTGGCCAAAACCGAACCCAGCCAAAGGCCGAGCAGCATCGGCACAACCCATAGATATGGGCGAGAGGTGCGCCTGATCTCCATGCTGCGGCGGTACTTAGTCACCTTGGCTTATTTATATTTATTTGTTGTTAATACGAGAGCGCGCAGTGTGCCGAGATATTTGGACCGCGCTTGTTTGGCTATCTCAAATGGCTTGTTTGATTGCTGTTTGCCGCCGCCGTTCGCCGAAGGTCACCGCACTACGATTCACCTCGCCTGGCCACGCCTCTCCTCTTCTCGCCCCTCCCGGATCCAGCTACCTGCGGTATTGATATTGGTTAATGCCTGCCAATTGATGGGGAGAAACTTTCGTCGGCCATCGACGGCCAATAAGCACGTTTTTCAAACGCATTGTGGTGATTTCCCACTGACACACATTGCACACCGAGCACCGAGCGAACCTCATCTTTGGTTTTGCCGATTGCATTAGAATATTACGCATACGCCGAGTATGACGGCTGCCGGTTAACCAACATTCGCTTGCGGTGCAAGCCAAAAAAACGAGAGCGATTTTTAAGCAATAATTAACATTTAATGTCTTTTTTACTTTATGAGTGAATTGCAATTTTTCTTTGGCTTATGGCTAAGACCCAAAAAAAGGTTTGGCAAGGCACTCAGATACAAGCTCCAAAATGGGTCAGCACTTAATTTTTTTGTCCGTTTTATTTTTGTATTTTAGGCAATTAAAGGTGTGAAATAACTTTTTCAAATTCAATAGTTACCAAATTAAATGTTTTTATTGTTTTATGCGTTTGATGTTTGTTTAATTTATACTTTTTAAAGATTTGGCAAGAAATTGATGTTGAGTGAAATTGGATTGAGTTTAACAAGTTCTTTTCTACGTGTATAAAGGTAAACAAACTGTGCAAAACACGCAACAGAAGCACTTTTATATACATTGTCTATAATCGATTTAATTAGAATATTACGCATACGGCGTGTAGGCCCAATTACCGTTTAAACAATCGGCGAAAGACAAAAACCGAGGCGAGGGAAAATTATGTAATAATTAACATTTAACACAGGCGTTAATAATTTTGCGTTTTATTTTGATTGTATTGGATCTCCGGCCACAAACAAACGGCGAGGGGAGTAAAAGTTTTTGAAACGCAGCAAAAAGATAAACAAAAAGCGAAAAACGAGACGAGTCTCAACCCAATTCCGCGGGGAGTGCGACTCAAATGGAGACTAAGGTTCAATTGATTGCCTTCGTTGCCCGGCGACGGCTTTGAGTTTTTGGCCGAGTGTATCTGCTTGAGCTTCGATTTGAGTTGTTATTTATTTGGAGTGAACTCTGCGCATGTGTAAAGGCAGCGTCGCCGGCAGCGGTACTTCCATTGATTTGGGCTCGGACCCAACTCGAAGCCGCTGCTGCTGACCACACACAATCGACGGCTTGTTGTTGCTGGCCTTTCGTTTTCGCTTTGACACACTCACACACAATCGCAGCGCACTCATACGTAATAATTCGCAGGTTATTGTTTATTATGACTAAAGGTGCGCGTAATCAAAATTAACAGGCGAATTGCGGTTAAAGAATTATGTAGCGAACTCGATTTGTGGGTAAAGAAAAACTACCTAGATTGCATTTATTACAATTGCATTACAAATTGGGAAAATTGGAGAATTGGATTTAATTTAATGTAAAAAATAGAAACAAAATAAATCTATTTGAAACGTTGGTAACTATAATAAAAAAAAACAAAATTGCAAAAAAAAAACTCTTTTGTAAATTTGAAAAGCAAATAGGATTTTTTTATGTATGATTCCGATTGAAATAAACAACCAATTTCATAATCAGAAAGGAAAATCTATTAACTTGTGCATTTGAAAGTACACTGCCATATAATTTTTGTTTTGTTAAAATGAAAAGTAAGACTTTCTATACATAACTTCGCTACAAAAACCATTATATTTTCTTACGTTTGTTTTTTTTTATATTAGTGACAGCGACACTTAAGAACTTTGATTGCTCATTGCTGATCACTTTTTCTCCCGGTGCATAGTTAACGCTTTTTGCTCGTTTTCTCGCTTTTCTATGCGATCTTTTTGTTAGTTTTGCATAATTTAGCCGCCGCTTCTTTTGTGGCAGGCGCAACCCGAGACGCCCAACGAGACGTTCATATATTTTTATGCATGCGGACTTCGCCTATTGGGGAATTTCGAAATATGTTTGATCTGCATTTACATAACAGTCCCGAACTCGCGGAATTGGTGTGCGACGCGAGGTGAGGGAGAGAGTGCGATGCGGATCCATCCACACTAATGGGCTGTTTATTGGACACTGTTTGGGGGTCTGTTGATCAGAACCCAATTAACAAGTCCTATTTGCACAGAGCACAGAACCAGCTGGAATTCCCACTCAACTTACTTAGATCTTCTGCGTTTGATTTGTTGCTTTGTTTGTTGCTTTTCGAAACTCGTTGAGCGCTTTTATTTTCACTTTTTCCTACATTCCGGCGGTAGTTAAGATTACTTTTATTGAGACATTACCGAGATGCGATCCGCGTGCCTCTTGATTTTCGTTGTACCTCCAAGATTTTAAGCCCGGACTTGGACCGACTTTCGTTTTCGTTTCTTTCGCTGGCTGATAAAACGCACTGCACAACAGATTAGCTGGCTATATGGGTATTGCTCACTCTTTCTTCTTGGGCTCTTGCCTCTCTTTCTCGGTTTGCTCTGGCCCTGCAACTTGTTTGGGTTTTTTTTGCCTTTTGTCAGCTTCTGTTGACGTTAACCGAATTTCGTTTTCATTTTCGCTTAACTTTTGATGAGGGCCACGACGCGTGCAACGTTTTGGTAACAACTGTGCGCCGCTGCATTTTGGCTCAAAGTTTTATAAACTTGGTCGCTGGTCAAACCGAGTGGACTGCGCAGCGGCAGCGCAGCAGCCGAGAGATAAATCAACAATTGGGATTTCAGTCTCAAGATCAACAAAAGACGACCGACTGCCGACTCCCTTACGCGCCCGAGTCCGAGTTTTCAGTTTTCAGTCCGGATTTGTCAGTGGTCAGTAGTCGTTAGTTTTGGCTCGACTTCGGCTTTTCGCTCGTCAATTGCACGCACATTAAAATCTCTCTCTCTTTCATTGGCTCTTTCCCTGTCTCTTTCTCGGACGGTCCAGACGGTCCCTTCAATCAACCCAAAGCTTCAATCAAAACGCGCTCATTGAGTGACATTAAAATGGGTAAACTAATGACCCTTTTTTACAGTCGTATATAATAATAAAAATACATACCTTCTTCTGCTAAAATTACAAAACATTGTCGTTTTACTTTTATTTGCTACAATTAAACCCAATTAAAATTTCTGAGACTGCGTACATTTAACCTTTAATTAATTATATAAATACAGGATCTGCAGGTTTACAAGATGCTTCAAAAATACATTTTAATTGAATTTATGTTACTTATTTTAATCTCTGAGGACAACAGGTTTTTACGAATATAGCCGAAAAATGTAAAAGTAGTTTTTTCAGATGTGGCGAGGGAAAAGGGTTGATACTTAAAAAAGGGTGAAGATATATAACAAAATATTTCTGATCGTTTCTATAAAAACGGTACAAAGTTATTTTTTAAATAGTCATTTGTAAAACAGACAAAAACATTTATAAATGAAAACCTTTACATTTAATAACTTATTAAAAATGTAGACAGTATAGAAATATAATTCCATTTTTAATTTAAATTAGTAACGTTCAAAAATATGATATTGGTTACTCCAAAATGCCGCCAGATGTCGTTAGACCAAAAAGCTCCTCACTCACCTGTTTTGCTCACCTGCGAAAGCTCGGCTTTCGCTTTTAAGCTGTGCTCAGAGCTTCGCTCACGCGATCGCGCACTCTTGCTCAGTTGATTCGCGCAGCTTGAGGCCAACAGTTCGAATACGCGATACGCGCGCATGCGATTTACCGCCCGTCACGCCCACCACCCCCCGCCTCCTAAGCGAGTGCGAGCGAGAGGCAGATAGAGAAAACTACGCTCGCTGCTTGCCAAACTCAAGTCGTGGGTGCTGAAACGAAACCGAAAACCGAATAAGAAACGCACTAAATTCACGAAATCCGTGAAAATACGAGTATTTAACCAAAACCCGGGCGTCCGTGTGTTGGTGGTGTTGTGCGTGTGTTAAAGAATACTAAAAAGTCGACAAGTGCAGAATGAAAATCATAAACAAAACAACAAGACGGGCAACAAGTTTTTTTGCGTAGAATCCAGCGACGGGCGAAATTCCAAGTAAATAAGCCAACCTGCCGTGTGTGTTTTTTGCCGTACGAATATTGTTGCAACTCGTTTCGGTTGTTGTTTTCACAATTTGTATTGCTGTTGTTGTCAAAGCCACACAAAGCGGGTCAAATGCATAAATAAATGAATGAAGCGAAATGAAACGAGCGCAGATGAAATGCGAAATGTTGTTATTATCAATTGGCCTGAAGCGAAATTAATTACAGCGTGCATTGTCATTGTTGCGAATAAAATATCTGTATCTCAATCAGTGAAGTTTATGTAAAATCGCGAGCATCATCTGCTTTTTAACTCGGGCAGTATTGCCATCCCGCTCTCACCCGAAAAGCTCTCGAAAGAAATCGGTCTATATGCTAGATGCGTTTGCACCTGAGCACCTGCGGATCACCTCCACCAATGGCTGCTAAAGTGAGTTCGAAATGCCCCCCGAAAAATTCCCATTAGGAAAATAGCTATAAAAACTGACCATCTGCATGCTGCAAGTATCTTACCAATTCGGTTCTCACGACACAAAATCGTAGTACAAACATTGTGTACCGACACCTTTGAACTTTAAAACGGGAGAGTGCAAAATCAGGCAGGCAGCGTGTAACGGTGCCACAGCCGAAACTAAAGCCAAAAGCAAACAGACATCAATGAGCAATTGGAAAAAACATAACAAAACTTCACAGACCAAAAAAAAAAAGAAAAACTGAAAACACCAACAAAAAACAGACCGAAACCGGGCCCACAAAAAAGGTTCCAAGCAAAAACAACTGTTACAGCACCAGCACTGCTCGCGGTACTGTGGAGTGGAAAGCCCATAAATGGGTTTTAGAATTTCAAAAAATAGTTGGGAAATAATCAGTTGTCAGAAGATTGAAAAAAAGAAAATATGTCATACCTTTCGCCTTGAAAATGGGCTTATCAGTCTCTATTTACTTTGTTAAATGTTTTTGCAGACAATGTTAAGTTATCAGAGAATAAATTCTACAACATTGATTTTTCAAAATTAAACTAGATTGTTAAAATATTCTCTTTTATGTACAATGTTTCAAGTTGGTGGTAAACTGTTATAAAGATCATCCAAAGGTTTATACCCAGATTAAGGTAACATTTTTAAATGAAGTTTCCAAGAGAAATAAATATTCTAAACAATACATTTTGTATCATTAATCCATTTTAAATTTTTTCTTGTTTTTTTATTGTTTCCGTGATACCCCTGGGAATTTGAGATCAATAAATATAGATATTGCCCACTGTTATGGCAGACTGAAACTGCATTTAGTGCCCATGTCTCTAACTGTAATGGACATGGACAGTCGTGGACCATGGCGCACTTGTCGCGAAACAGGTTTAATCTGGCTGGTTCTGTAGTTCGCCGAGTTTTTTTTTCACTATATCGAATATATGAGTTTATTAATGGCCCGTGCATTTTTCCATATTTTCCTGCTGACCTCCGACGGTCTGCAGGGGCAAAACGGAATCACCTTGCCGTTCTAATTTGCCAACTGCCACCGCGAGTTGCAATAATTGGAGCGTGGCAAATGCGGGGACCAAAAAGGCCGGGGGTCGAGCTCATTAGCTGGGATCGCCGCAGATCAGGCGGCTAGCCTGCGGCCACGCCCCCTCCCCATATAGAGTATGCAGTATATCGCCCAAGGGAGTCGGGCTAGAACTTTGCCCGTCGCATTGTTGCCAGCTTGTTTAACATTTAAAAATAAACTTATCATAAATCGTGTAAACGCAAAGGCAAACAAACACAAATGGCGAGCTCGAAACTGTGTGAACATTTTGCCCGAGTGCAAATTGAAAAGTTGTTTGTCCGGCCGCAAAGTTGACCATAACCATAACCATAATACGGTGGCTATCCGAAGCGGATGGAAAGAGGAGACGCCACCGATCTGTCCACCGGTAAACACTGGAGCGGTAAAGCGACGATCTCGGTGATCGGTGATCGACGAGCGGTACGGTACGCTCGAAGCGGATCGAACCCAGCTGGTAACCGGACGCTGCACCGGTGCATCGCCACCTAATTGCATTCGAAATGGATGCTAACGGAGCCGTTAATGTGCCGCCAATGGAGCATTAAGCTGCTAGTTAGTCGCCACTTGTGGGTCTTCGTTATGCAACAGCAGCAGTGCTGCTGTGATTGTTGTTGGCCGCTGTTGCCGGCGGAGCTTTGGTGACTCAGTGCGGTTGGCGATATGGAAACAATTCGGGGAATGAGTTACTTTACCTAGGTTCAGATACAGCTGTCCCTCTGAATTGAGTTCTTGAAGACAAAGAATTTTTATTTAAGTTTTAACGATGAAACAAAGGTACGAAAAATAAGCTCTGGTTTAAAAGACCTAATATTTATCACAGGAAAATATAGCAATACATACAGAGATGTCTTCCATTTAATATGATTTACAAAATAGTGTATTTTTTACTTACCATGTGCCACAATTTTTCTAGATTTCTAATAGAAAAGCGGGTTAACAATCTTCATAGTAATTTTTAAAAAAGGTGGTTTAGTGGTTCAGTTCGAGTGATCACTGTCTGGGCTTAGGTTAAGCTCGAGTTTGGTCTATTTCGGCGCCGCTCCCCCAAGTACTTTGCATTAATTAGGAAATGGAGGGCAGCTCGCCGTCTGCAACTGTAATCAGTTTAATGGGCATTTTGCATTTAAGTACTGGTGCTTTTGCAACTGCGCACCGCACAGACTCCTACTCGATGACTCATGGGCGCGTCTAGAAATTCCTAACAAAATCGGTCACTGTATCAAAGCGATCAGATCCCCTGCACCTCCATTGCCACCTCTATCGAGTTAACTCCAATCCACCCACGCGTCTTTGGAGGCGGCACCTTAAAAGTGCACAATATGAGGTAAATAGAGTCGTACGAAAGCCTTGAGCTTGACAAAAGAATGAGCAAATTGCAACTTAGGTGGGGGAGAGCTTCAATCTTTGTGGGAAGTGCGGCGAAACACTCCCTGTTCCACTTGATCCCACTTAAAACTAGATGGGTTTAATGTCATATAATCCTGAGAAATTAATACCTAAAGATTTAAAATAACATATTTATTAAGTGTGTATTTAAATGACATAAAATATAATATTTGTTTGGTAAGGAAATTAAACTACCGATTAAGCACAACACTTTAGCTATCATGTACACTAATTTGTTTTCATTATTTTGAATGGTTTTGTTTCTGGAAATAGACTTCCTTTTACCTGGTCAGAGATTTAACCTGGTGTTGCGAATATATATTTACCTTAAAAATTATCAATAATTGCTGTAGCGGTTAGTGTGCCAAAAGGCAGGTTATCTAATCGGAGCCCCAATTGTCTCAACAGCAGTGTTGTTAACTGATTACACACACTTTTCGCAGCCACTTGCGCTTTTCTTTAGCCTTTGCATAATCACACACGCAAATCTGGCATCGCTATCCCCATCCAAGCTCAAGTCCCCCGATCCGATCCGATCCGAACACTCCATATTGCCTGACCGCAAACTGCAAATTTGCCTTAATGACTGCGCTGGCACGTTAACTGTCATTTTCAATCAAATCTCCCCGCTCCCTATATAGACGTATATCCGCCGGCCCCCTCCGCCAAACGCGATTTTAAGTGCAGCTCATTAATTTTCAGCGCTTTTTAAAAGTCTTGCACAAACGGAGATGCGGAATGAGTGTTACCAATAATCAAAATGTGCACCCCGGGGGGATTGTTAAGGCATTTCGATAAAATGCTCCAAGTGGGAGGGCACTTCTTGAAGTTTGCCGAACGTATTAGCTAATCACACTCGGTAAAAAACCCGAAAATAGCTGACAAATATTTGCGCACTTTGGCACATAAGAGGAATTTGTAGATACTGCCTGGTTCCGAGAACCAAACGTGTAAAAATCCGCCTGGTAAATGATTATAGTGAGTGGGCCAACAACAATGGGGCATTCTTACGTACGTGAGTTCGCAGAGCCATAAGTATATTGCTAGGTTCAGGGTTAATTATTCTATTGCACGCTCGGACTGAGCCTCAAAATCAGACTCGGATTGAAACTCGGAACTGGCTGAATGCTGTGCCAGCGTATGACTAAATTATGCATTATTTGTATTATTAAATTTGTCGGTTGTTATACAAACAGCACTCGGCGGGTACACACACCGAAAGCGTTAGTTACTTAATATTTATTCTACATAATTATTTCATTACCCAAAAGGAAGTTGACGACATCTACTGTCGATTTTGTCATGCGTGGCTTGGATTTTAAAAAACTTTTGAAGACGACTTCACCTTCATGGTTGACAAAGTACTCGAAATATGCATAGAAACTAAGCAAATTGGCGTCTAATTTTTAATGAGTTCATAAGCTTAATTTCTATATTTTTTCTAGGAACTTCAAAATTAATTTCACAAACCCAAATCTAATTTAAAATGTACTTCATTTGCCATATTTTAAGCCGTCACTAGATTTATTTTCCTGCAACAATAACTTAATCTTCTAACTGGTTAGACTGACCTTTGCCTGTGTTTTATTACATGTTATAATTAGCTAACTGTTAGATGGTTTCTAATTATTCCCCCTTCCAGTTTAATTATGGATGAGATACAGCATTCCTCAGATTCATTGAAACTTCCTCGGCGCCTATTTATTACCATATTGAATAGGCAAAGCAGTAAAGGAAAACATTTTGCTTTTCTGTTTATTAAGGAAAATTTACGTACACTTCTTTAGATTAAGTATTGCTTAATTGCAAAATTAAAATATTTTCGTGCTTAAGCCAATCTTAGAAGCCGATCTTCGATCCGCTGTATGAATCCCCAGCTCCTCTTCGGTTGCACTCGAGTTGAGTGATTGCAACAGAAACTGGCAATCAAATTTGCATTTATTTTGCCCGCGATGTTTTGTTTGACGAGTGTGTTTATGTTTATGCGATCCGCAGATCGCTCCCGGCTGATAAAATCTCCGGATTGATAAACATTTTTAACTGGCCGTGTCGTGTCTTTGCTCGTCCACGATTTCCCAACGCCAATTTGCATGTTTAATCAGCTGTGGCCAAGTTTAACCCATTGTTCGCCACAATACTATACTATACAGTATACAGAAACGGCAAAACAAAGCCGCAGCATCGCACGATCTGTTGTGTGGGCGTTTTCGAGATGGGGAATTCTATCCGTATGCCGACCAGAAATTCTTTCGCACGTTGGGCTGAAATCCCCTCAGATTTCTCGACTGCGCACTATATCAATCATCGAAGGAATCAAACAAACAAGCCGAGAACCACTTCAAAACTCATCCAATTGTTAGGCACTCGAAAATATTTCTGTTCATTGTAGAGACGTTGATTGAGTTCGAGAGCCAACATGACAAAATCTGATTCTAAGCTGCTTTTTTGGCAATTAAAAAATAAGGGTACAGGTATGAGGTATGAAAAACAGAATGCCGACTCTAAGAAATATAATATATGATATTCCGCAACAAAAGGTTTATTCTTTACAGCTACAATACATACAAGGAATCTATTTTTAAGCCAAAGTACATTAGCTTGATGATGGTTTTTATAATAATGAGTATCTTTAAGCCTCGACACCTTCTTGCCTCGGTCTTGCCTCTTTGCAGACGTATTGCGCGCTTTGGCAGTTAAGTTTAGAACGCTGATGTTATAACAAATTAACAAAAAAATATAATCATATAAAAACCAGCGTGAACGAGCGAGTCGAAGGCATTTCTTATAATTAAACTGGGAGCGAACTTAATGAGCAAAGCCTGGCGGCTGGCAAACAAAAAATATCTTCTCGAATTATAGCCAAATTACGAAAAACATATAATTTAAAAATGGTTATCATGGGTCTGTTCTTTGTGATCATCAGTTTGGCATTAGCACCATCATCAACATGCAAATCTCTTTCTTTTGGCTTTTCTTACATGGCATCCTGCTTGGCTCAATTAATCATGGGAACTGCCTATGGCCAAATGGCCAAAAAAGAAGTTTCGGCTTAGGTTCTGGCCAACGAGCGTTGAACTTTCGCCCATCCTCTTTGGCCGTCTACTAGAAAGGTTCTTGGCCAATGTAAAAATAGAAATGCTATGCGCAGTTTTGTCTGCTTTGCCACAATAATTCATCAGCATAACAAAGAATCATAACTTAAGTGAGGGTCAAAATGTGGACTCATCCGCTTAGTAAGACTTGGGTTTATTTCTTTAGCCAAAATTACGCAAAGCCTTGCCGCACCCAGGCATGAAGGCTTCTTGTCTTCGCTCGAGTTGAGTGGCAGTTTATGCCGCATACCAAATCGAGTGAAATTGTCAACGTAATTTTGCGCAAGCAGCGCCAAAAAGGCCCCTCGAACACTTTTTAATTGATTCCTCGCCAGGCAATGACACACATTGCCATAAAAATTCATAGTTGGTTATGTTTTAATGGCCAGCGACGAGCCAGAAACGACACTGACAAGTCCCGCGTACAACAGGGCGTATGCGTGATGTCGTTGTGGTTTTTGCTTTGGGCTTTGGGATTTTATTGAACCGCAGGCGGTGGCGCTGATCGGTTTGCCCGGGCTTAGCTCGGCGACCTCAGTTATCACTCTTACTTACCGCGAATTATAATTGATGTTTGCCCATGCGGTAGGCCCGATGTGATGGCCAAGTCAGCCGTAAATATCTTTTTTTTTCGTTAGCAGCTTACCGGGGTTGTGCACTGAGCAGGGACCTTAGAGCTGGCCGCAGTCCATAATTTTTTAGGCAAGCTGTTTCTAAACTACACAAGTTATGACACGAATATGCTTTTGACATGGCAAATATTTTGAGCATTTTATTGGCTTGTCGAGGGTTAAAAAGACATTAATGGGTCTGCTTAGAATTTTAATGTATGACTCTGATTTATTCCAATTTTGGTGTTAAAAACACTTAAAAATGTCTAAGATGGATTGCAGATAGGTGACCCTTCTTTTTCTTTTTTGAGGAGGTATATTTTTTTATTAATAAAGTTTCGGACAGTTTTAATAAAGGTTATTTATTACATTGTTTTATATTTCCTCCAACCACAAACGGATTTCATTTGCCCTTCAACATCCGCATTATTAAAACGAAACGCACTGTAAAGTTAGTTAAAACCCGTTTAGATCTCCGTGCAATGCATTGTCTCTCCCAATGATTTTCGCCGCATTTTCCATGACTATTTGTGTACCAATCACCAACATTTCACTAATGCACTCCGATCTCTCTTCCGACATTTGCAGCAAAAGGCAGGCGTACGATTTCCCAAAGCAGCAGCACAGATAAGTCGACAGCACGACTTGAATTATTGCACGCAACAGCAACAGCAGCAACATCCACAGCAGCAACATCCACAGCGGCAACTTCAGCGGGCCGAGAAAGGGGAGGAGTTGCAGCCAAAGTAACCGACCAGAAGACGCAGCTTCATTCTACAAGACAATTGTGGAAAAGTGGAAAACCCGCGCGTGTATGTGTATGTGTATGTGTGCTTGTGTCTGTGCGAAAACGAACAATAGAAAACCAGATAGAAAATCAGCAGAGAAAACAATCAGCCAAAGCAACAGAGCCAGAGCAGCAACTATAATTTGAGTACTTTTGTTTATTTTTCATTCGGTGTATGCTTCGGTTACGATGTCGTTGATGAAAATCCATCGAGGCAATGAATCATTTTGCAGTTGCTGGTTGCTGTTGTTGGTGGCATTGTTGTTGGCCGAGGCAGGAGCAGCGGCAACATTGAGTGAAACGCAGACGAATGCAACTAATGGTGCAATTAGAGAGCCGCCTGTGCAACAGCAGCAGCAACTCCAATTGAATGCGACCGCCGGCGACGGCGAAAGCCGAAATTCAGCGGAAATTTTCAGCCCCGGCGATGTGGGTAAGTTTTCTAGCATATTACTATTACAATCCGATTCCATACCCATACCCATACCCGTACCCGTTCACACACGAACACTCGCGCAAGGGGAAACACAAAAAAATTGCCAACTAGCCAAAATAAATCTATGCCAATTATTGACCAACTGGCAGCAGACGAGGCAACAATCGCCGCTGCAACATTCGAGTGTCGGCTGGCTGGAAACAATTGGCCCGGCCAGCCAGCGAACGAATGTGGCCGAAGAAGCGGCTCAACGGCAGGCCACTCTGGCATTGGCCAATCTTTTGCATTTTGAAAGCCAGAAGTGGTTGTCAACGTTGCGGTTGTTATGAGACAGAAAGGAATTGGCTTTATGGGGCAGTCTCCTTGCATTCAATTTTATGTTTTCGCTTTCGGCCACCGTCAGCTGAGGATACATAAAAAGAGGCTTTGAGATTTTATTCAATCATGGGACTTTTAATGGCTGTACTTAACGTTTTAGGTTACCTCTTTTTGCATGGGAAAACCATTAAACGTTTTATTATTATTGGATGCAATGCAAATTGAAAGCTCAATCAGTGGATCCACTAAATATTTCCTAACCTCCCCAAAAATAAATACTATCAAGTACTCTAAAGCAATTAATTAGGTTTAGAAAGGTCCAATTCAAAAGTGTGACTCTTTTATTTTATTTTATTATTATGGAATGCAATGCAAATTGAAAGCTCAATCAGTGGATCCACTAAATATTTCCCAACCTTCCGAAAAATAAATATTATCAAGTACTCTAAAGTAATTAATTAGGTTTAGAAAGGTCCAATCCAAACGTGTGACCCTTTGAGTATGTTAAAACAAGATGCCACCGCAAAGATAAGCCCACAAAATGTGAAACCCTATAGAGTTGCAACTGTCGAAAATATGAAACTGTTCTGCAAGGGCAAATGTCGAGGTGAAGATAGCTTTGGCTTCAGCCTGCCTTTCATAAACGCTTTTTAAAAACTCTGCAAGTGCTCGGCGGCCAATGGATTGATTAGACCGGCTCTTTTGTCCATGGCTGCCTCTCGCACACTCATAAATGTAAACAGTAATTGTTATTTCAATTAAGTATTTTCATAAACAATTAAGTTTGGACTTGGTGATTTCTCGAATGCTCAGCTGCGTGGGTGTTTGAAATGGAAATTCAAATTGTATTTCGAATTTGAATTTGAATTGGAATTCAATGGACGACATAAGTGTGTTTTTTATTGGTACAAAGTGTTAGGCCTAAAGTTCCAAGACTCGAAAAACACTCAAGCAAAAATGTGGTTCGCATCTTTATTCATGAACTTTTTGTCTGGCCCGAAACTACATTAGACTTTTTATTGCGGCCCAGAGGTAACTAAACAAATGTTAATGCATTTTGATTATGCTTAATTTATGCCCGATGAATGGACATAATTTCGGTGTTTACGTTTTGTTTTTTTCCCTCTTGGCCAGTCGCTTACGAAATGCAATTTTCGGAGTTGGCCTGTCCAGTTGTAGGTGTCGTTTGCTGGCCACTTGAACACTCGCGGTACTTGGCCAAAAAATATCAATATTGGTGTGGCCCGGGTTCGGTTTAAAAAATTTTGTTGTGTGCTCATTACGTTTACCTGTTTCTTTCGATATATATTTTTTTTTTTTTTTGGGGAGCCAAGAGACCTCATGTGCGTCCATTGCGTAATCCCACTCGTTTAGCAGGCGTAGTGAAGCGTTGGCAAGCCCCGAGTTTCGAAGAAGAAGACCCCAAAGAGCAAATCTGAAAAGTCAACAGAGAGCCAGCCAGAAAGCCAGTCAGCCAGTCAGCCAGCCAAGTGCATTCGGGCCAGGTCTGCAACTGCAGGGGATTGAAACTCGGGCGAATACGCAATATGAGGGCGTGCATCAATGTGGGAAAGATGGAGAGTGAAAGAGGCACTGGGATACATTGTTGCCGGAGGTAAAAGCCACTGCAACTGCTCAAATATTTAGCCCTTTCACGTTGCCAACTACCGTGTTACGTACTCTGATTCGGATTTTGGCTTACCTTTGCCTTTGCTCCCAATATGAAATAACAAATATTCAATCAAAACATTTGCTCTGTTCATTGTTCGAAGCTCACATGTGTAAACAGCACGGCGAACACACCGATATCGATCCATTTATAATAGATCTTCGTCACGGAACTAATCGATGGAGTAGGGTTCAGTTGAGCCGGATGGCAAGGCCAAGAATTATTTACATATAATTATGTAAGGTTTTCAGCTGGGGAAACAGTTGAGAAAAATAAATAATACAGACAACTAGAAAAACAAACAATACAAATCTGGGATGTTAATTAATAAGGCATTTGAAGTAATTTGATTTTCGTTTTCAGATAAAAGAGTACTCTGTACATTTCAATTGTTACTTAAGGGAAATATACTTTTTGTTACTTTGGCATGAGAATTAAATTTGGAGAGATGGGACAGCTGGGAATGTTTGACAAAGGTCTGTAAGAGACAAAGAAAATTAGAATAGTGTTTTAGGTGGTTTAAAATTAGATTGTAGATAAGTTCGTATGAATAAATTTAATATTCAAATGTTTATTTTTTGAATGTTTGACAAATCTTATCTTTATAATAACATCTTTCCAAACACAACAAAACTAAAATACATTTTTTATATATATTCTTGTTACTCTTCCTTATTTGGTTAAGTTTTGTTGTTTCTTTTCAGAATATATATTAAGTATAGCATTATTTGAGTAACATATTTCTATTTTCATAATTAAAATATTTTGACCATTGTGAATCCCCTGAAATAATTAGGCTAATCTAATCTGCTGGCTTATAATCAAATTGGTTGTTAGAAATAATTGTAGAAACAAAAATGAAATGCAAATATATTCAAATCAAGTTATACAATAACCTCAAAATGATTTAAAATAGCTGCGTTTTTCTCCTTTATTTCCTGGATATTCACGTTAATTTAGCATGGTTTTTGCCTTTCAATTGAGTTTAATTTGAAGACCCAAATTCGCATTCCCAGTTGGTAACTTTGTGGTTGGTGGTTATTTTTTATTTTTTATTTTGGGCTAGGAAAAGGAAATAAAACGCGCAATTTGTGTTTCGGTGGCCACAGCGAATTTCAATTTAGTGTGTTTTTGCCGTATTTTTATATAAAATGTTTATAATTTCTTTTTCATTAGCTTTCGTTGCGAAAAAGGTGGCCTGCGGGGAAGTTTGTTGAACCCTTCTTTAAGCCCCAGGTCCAGCGTTTTGTTAATTTCCTTGGCTGTTTTGTCTTTCGCTTTCTTGTGTTTTTTTTTTCGTGTGCGTGATTAATAATAAAACCACTGATGACCCAAAAGTCCGGGGAAAAGGGTTACGCAACTGCGATGATTTACAGGGGACTTAATTAAAATCCGTGGGACAAAAGAAAGCGGCCAACAAGCTAATGATGGGGGTGGTGCAAAAGCTGTAGTTTGTAGTTTACGTTGCGTAAATACCGACTTGGATGCGACTGATGACTGGTGATGAACATGTGCCACGCCCCTCGGCCGTTCGCAACGCCTCAATGCACAGCCGCGTTGGGGTATTGAAAACTTTTCAGCCCCGAGCTGAATTCGCTAAGCCAAACAAATAAACGGAAGCCGGCGAAAAAGAAATACAAAAATCCTAACAAATCATGAACAACAAAACTTTGTAATTATCCGACGTTGCAGGTCGTCGTATTGTTGACCATTTAGCATATGGGGCTCCCTTGGAAATGGGGAACTAAAGTGGAAATCGCTCGCTGAGCCGTAATTGCGCAATTAAAAGGTCAGGCGCTCAGTTGGCAAGACTGGGTGTCGGCGGTCTGTCAAGGCAGCTAAGGGTTAAAGCCCAAAACCAGGAAGCCAGAGAGCCAGAAAGCCAAAAGAGCCATAGCCAACGCCAAAACGATTCATTTAGCGGCATTTCACGACAACTTCAGCTTCGTTTTCAGTTTCATTTTCATTTTCAGCACCATTTCCGCATTGACATCCGCGATGCTTTTGGCTTGCATTTCTTCGTCTTAGCCCGCAGCGAGTACCTTTGCCATTTCTCTTGGCTTTCTCACGTCGTCGCTGGCAGCTGCACTTCCTGCATTCGACTGCATTTAGCTGCATTTTTCTGCACCCACAAGAGTTGCCTGGCACCGATGGCTCCTTTTTTGGCCAAAATGTCGAACCGGTCAACTTTTTGCTGCCTCCTGCGGGGTGTTGCACTCGTTGTGGAATTAAGTGCACATCAATAAGTTTGTTTTCTTTGGGGGGATCAATTTATTTTTATGTATTTAATATACGTTCACATTTTGACTTTTAAATTGTCCTTAATAATAGTTGTAAAAAATTTGGATAGCGAACCGTACTACGCTAGTAATACGGTTTAGTATGATCGTTTATAACAAATGCTTTTTACATTTGCTGTAATTTTTTCAATAAACCAGTTAAGCGGTTTTTCCGTGTGGCTCCTAAGAAACCGCTTTTCGTTGGGGACTTTCAAAGTCCACTAGTGGGGGGAGTGCACCCCCTACAAAACGGAATTCCCCGTTATGGTCAAGGAGCCATGCGGCATTCGGTGCCTTTTCCCATTTCGCTTTGCGTTGTGTTGCATGCTTCGATTTCACATTAGAAATGCTTTCGATTGGCGATCCCACCTTAAAACAGAGAAACATGTCTTGCATGTCTGCTGCCCAGCGAGTCAAAAAAAAAAAAAACAAAAAAACGAAATGCCGAAAATGAGCCGAAATAAGCGAACACGTTTTAGCCATGAACGTGGGACAGGATAGGGTGCAGCAAACACTGCACGCTGCAAACGAAAGCGAGGAGCGAGAAAAAAGCTGGGAAAATAACACACAGAGACAGAGCGGCAAGAAAATTGCAACGAAAGCGGAGAAAGTTTTTGTTTCTGCCAAGGCGGCATTTAAAAACAGTATTTATGAACTGCCTGTCGTATCGGTGTGCGCGGTTATGAGTGCCTCTGTGTGGTTTTTGAATGCACCAAGCTGAGCAAATACAAACACCGGGCTAAAAACCAGAAAGCAAAAGTGAAGTTGCGACGCGGGAATTAGTGCCAGTGAATTAACGAAAGTTTCCAGACTTTACGTCCATTTCAATGGATTTGCATCTGCTCAGCTTGAATGGCTTTCTTTTGTTGGCCAGGAAACGAATAAATGATTCAGAAAGTGATGAGTCAAGGTCAATAAGTGTAAGTCTTTTCAGTAGAAAACGTTGGCGTGAATAAATATGGATCGAGTGATTAATGAATTTTATTTTAGGCAAATATTCTATAAATAACTTCGATCATAGCGTAATACCTATTTATATATTTACAACTTACTATAGAATTTATTTTAGCAACCTTTTCTAACGAATTAACTTTGCATTGCTTAAGGGGTTACATGGGTTTCACGGTTTCAAAAAATCGATTTTTTTTTTTTTGTTTTATTAAATTCTATAACATTTCTAGAATATTGTCCTAAATTTTCAAGTTGATCCGAGTAATAGTCTCGGAGATACAGCCTTGAGAAAGTGGACGCTTGAGACCACTTTCATTGTCTCTTAAAACTTTAAACGCGTTTTTCTCAAAACTATGTTTTCAAAGTCGGTTGTCAAAATTTCTCGCAAACTACTCAACCGATCTTAATGAAATTTTACACAAGTATTCGAGATATCATTTACAAGGTATTGAACGAAGGATTTTTTTTTTTTTCAATTACAACTATTTAAAAAAAAAAAAATGTCGTGAAATTTTCATCGAAATTTGCATTTTTTTGTAAAAACGTCTGCCAAAAATCCAATTTTCATTTTTTTTTTTTTCCTTCGTCCAATACCTAGTTTATTGTCTATACTGAAACACGTTTTTTTTATTTTTACTTTGGATGATCCTGAAAGAAGTTCTGCTGACAACGCGGAGGCACCTTTTTTCCGAGGGACTGCCGGAAATGGCGTCGTAATGACCGACATTTTGATATTTTTTTTTGAAAATTTCACAAAATCTTTATTAAATATGTATCTTTTAAATAATAAAAAGTTTCATTGAAATATTTCATTTTTTATATGCAAAAAAAATGTTTGAAAAAAGGCCGTTTTTTACCCGAGGAAACCCATGTAACCCCTTAATTGAATTTATTAATAACCTTTCAATGGCATTAAACAATTAGCCTTCGTTCTGCACATATCTTTTTTGTTACCGAATTCGATTAATTGAGTAATAAGTTAGATTTACTTGGTTCAGTATTACTTAACTCCCTTCAAAAACGATTTCCGGCAAATCCACAGAAAGTCGCAATTAATATAAAACCTCCAAAAGGTATTTTTTCTATTTTTTTCAAATACAAGTAAATGATCCTAAAGAATTCAAAATTTTTGCAAATGTTGTATTGCAACTTAAAAATTCTATTAACCAACATGCAGAGCTAATGAATCGAGTTCTTTATTATTCTTGAATTCTCGGTCGATGTGTCATGGTTGCGTTTGGGCGGAAATTTCCAAATTTTTTGTCAATTTGGCCAGGCTGTAATTTGGCTTTGGCTGGCTGTGCAACGTTGCGTATGATTGACATTTGTGTCATAGCCACAGACGCTCGTTTGCAGCCATATGATTATGAATTTTCCGCTCATTGAATGGTATTTCATAACTTTGAATGTGACACCATTAAATAAGTTTAGACAATCGAATCAAACACAGCTGTCAGCGCGATCAACTGCATTGCGTGAGCGAATACTGAGTGTGTTTGACTGTGCGATGTTTTCTGGGGTGTCTGTGTACATGTTTCTTTGTCAATTAGCCGTGAAAAGAAAATAATAAAAACAAACTGCAAAGTCAGTTGTCTGTCAGCCACTGCCCACTCGTGTCGGTAATTTATTTTTAATTAAAAGTTCTAAACAAAAGCCAAGACATGCGATTCATTCAAGCGCTAATACCCATCCCCAGCTCAACTACCTATCTATAGTTTAGTTTGTGTTTTTCTAACTCAATTGTGCCAGATACACTGCAAGATACTATTGTTATAAACTAAGAATTTATTAATAGAGCTTTAATATTCTTATTTTTTAACATTTGTATGGATGTTTTTAACAGTTAGTATGTTAAGTAAACAATACACCATTTAGGCGTTGATTTCGATCTATAAATATATCTTGGTTAATATATTTTTCATGTGTATAAAAACACTTACTTCGGCTTCGGTTCGGTAGCATCTGTGCAATTATTGGGCGGGGAAGGGAAGGCGAAAGAGTGGGATCGACCTTGATGGGCTTTGTGCGGCAGCGAAGACTCATTAGCTGCCAAATAAACTTGGCTTTTTCGGCCAGAATCGCCAGCCAAACCGGGTGGGGTCTTCTCCATTGTTTTTTTTTTTTTTTTTTAGCTCGGGGGCCAGAGTTCGATGGTGAGTTTCGCAAAAATGTAGAAGCCAATGCTGGCATTAGTCACGCCGTCGCATCCGTTTGATGGCTGCTTTGTTCTCAGCTGACCGGAGATTAATCACCTGCCAAACGCTGCACAATTTTTGGGCATTATGTAAGCAGCTCGCGGGCAGTTAGGTAAACAGCCAGATTAGAATTCCCCCAACCCATTTCGCAGTCGATTTCTGGCAGGTCGCAATACCAATTTGCCAATTGTCGGCGCTCCAAAAACTCCGAAACGACTCTCGACTGCTGGCTGTTGGCTGTTGACGGTGGGGAGAACCGTTTCGGATGCCCGTCTTGGGTTAGTTGGCCATTGGTTTTGGTCCGCTTCGCTCAACTTGGCTCTGGCGCAGCCGAAAAGATCGTGTATATGACCAAAATCAAATTAAAATTCCACAACGCATGCCAAGTGGCGGCGGCGGCGCGATGGCCACCGCGGCAACGGCTGCATAGCTAATGCCAAGAAGTCGCGCAGGCCAAGAAATAAGCAATGGCCAGGCCGTAGTTCCCAATTCCATAAAAAGTGGAGTCGGGAGGAAGTGTAAGCCGCATTGAATGCACACTACATAACGGCTAAAAAGACTTCGAATTCGTTTTAAGGAATTAAACACGAGTATTAATAAAGTTAAAAAATATTAAATAACTATGGTCAGCTTTTGAATATATAATTTTTATTTTTTATTTTATAATTTTTATATAATAATTTTTAAGAAGTACTATATAGTTTAGTTTCTGATGGTTGCAACTTCTTTGCTTCTATAGTAATTGCACTTACCAAAACCAATTATTTTTATTTTTGAACATAATTCAAGGTATACACTTGTCCCTTATTAATAATTGCCATCAAGACTCTAGTCAATGCACCTTTTGGTAGCACAGAGACGGCTGCTTGTCGTTTCATTGAAGGCATCGCTGCGACGTGACGAGACGCCCAAATGGAGCGCCCAGTGTTGTACAATCCGGCAGAATGGACGACGAACGAAGAGTGGAAAACGCGGAGCGCGAAAACGAGAAACGACTTGGCCAAAACAAAGACCAATCGTTAGGCGAAAACAAAAGGCGAGGGGAGGTACGTGGTGGTGGGGTTAAAGTGGCCGAAATGCGGCAGCCGGCGGTGGAAGCGGCATCTGCAACTTGTTCTAGCCGCATTGCCGCGCTTGAGATGCCCAACCTTGGCCTAAACTGCCAGCCAATGAACTAAATGTTTGTGAAAAGCAGCAACTTCGTCGGCGGCAGCGGCGGCTCACTGTTTGTTTGCTGGCATTGTTTTGGCCATTTTGGCAACGCGAAAATTAAACAATTGTGCAAGCAGCCGCTTGTAATTGTTTGCCTGATTCCGCGGGTCAAAACAGCATGGATTTAGGCCCATTGCTCAATCGGCTTTAATGACCAGCTGCCTGGCCGGGGGCACATAGAACATAGAAGCCGCGAGCCATTAGTTAATTAACGAGTCGACGGAGCAAACTGCAGCACAACGGGTATAATATCGTAGATTTCGGTGAACCAGTTGGGCCAAGGAGCGTTTTGGCCAACTGATTAATGGCCCAAAGAGCAGCCTCGTTTCTCAAGATGTTCATGTTGCCGCCGATGGCTAGAGATGCTGTTTGTTAATACCGCAGACGGTGATGGCGATGATGATTGTGGCCGAGTCGGCCTTACCCTAGGCAAAGTTCGCATTCCAAACGGGTTTCGTGCTCGTTGCCTTAGTCGCATTTAATTTCCATTTCGAGATTTGTTTTTCCAATATTTGTCACGATCTGGCGTCAAGAATGCCAGAGCCAGGCGGCCTACACTGAAACGAAAATTGATAAGGAAACGGGGTCGAAATGATAAAGCAGAAATGATTAATCGGCTTTAGAGTTGGTTGCACTTTATTATAAATAATTATGTCAACTGCAATCATGTTTCATGATTAACCTATTTTAATATTTAGTTGATATAATAATTGTTGTAAACAAAAGAAATGCAATCCACTTAATATTATTTTCAAAGCATTAGAAATACTGTAATATAATTGCTATTCTTGTAAAGCTCTAACTAATTAATATACTTTAGATTAGAATCTTGCCCACTTAAAGCCAAGATTATTGCTTTAATGACAATTAGAATTAATCGAAGATTCACGATTGCGTCACGATATTCAGTAACGTGTACTCATAACCACTTTGAAAATATGCCAACCGTTCTAAGCAAATATTTTTCTACATCCCCACCCACAGATGCGGTTGGTGATAAGCCCACCACCTACAGGCCCTCGGGCGCCAACCGACCCTCGATTGCACCACTCAATTCAGCGCAGGATCGCGAGAGGAGGCTGATGAATGTGCTGGCAGCTCGTCGCACCGCTTTGCATCGCGGTGGCTTCCGCACCAGGATCGGCACCACCGGGCGGAGCGCCATTTCCCCATCGGCGGCGGTGGAGACCACTTCGAAGGCGCCAAGTGATCCGAGATCCGTGTGCATCCGCAATTGCACCAAGAACTTCACGCGCCGCACCACCGCCAGTTGCATGCGGCAATGTGCGAACTTCACCCGTATGGCAATGCCCTCGAATGGCAACAGTTCGGTGGTGCTGAAGGGGCCTGGGTCTTCGAAGTCATCTGCTTCGGCAGGAGATCGCGACACCAACGAGATCCTCTTCAGTGATGAGTCCTCTCACGGACTTTTCGTGGTGGCCAAGGACCAGAATGCCACCGTGAACCACATTGCAGATGGCACTAAGCCCACAGTGATGGGCAAGGGAGTGCCCAGCAAGACCAACTCGATGGAGGAGGACGCTGAGGAGGAGGAGGATGAGCTGAAGCCATATGTCTACTTTGGAGCCAAGTTGCCTCCCATTCGTCCTGGGGGTTTGACCATAAAAGCAGCCGACGGGGATGACGAGCATCCGCGAGTTCTGGAGGTTTCGGTGGCCCAAAGCACCACCGCCACGATGACTACCACCACCACCACCACCAGCACCACTCCGCAGCCAGTTAGCACCACCAGACCAACTGCCTCCACGCGAAGACCTCTGACCCCGGTGGAGCGAAGTCGCAGTAAATACAAGTACCACATGAGGGAAAGGGGACTGGCAGCAGCAGCTGCACCACCCGCAGCAGCACCACCGGCCCCACCGGTGAGTCGAACGCGGTATGTGGGTTCGGGAAGACCCACAGCTGGGCTGGCGGATCCACTCCAGGAAGTAAAGCAAAGCGAATCGGAAGTGGCCAAGCCGGTGGTGCGCAGGGTGGTGCAAAAAGTGGCACCCTCATCCTCGACACCTCTGATCATCACAGTGCTAAGTGCCGAGGAGGAAACCACAGTGGGGCAGGCGGAAGTTCAGCCAGCAGAGGAAACCACCACGACGACAACAACCACAACAACGGAGAAGCCAACCACAACAAGTTCTACTACTTCCACAACCACAACGACAGCAGCTCCCAGCACCACAAGAAGAACAACCACTACTGCTGCACCGACAACAACAAGCACCAGCACCACAACTACAACTACTTCGACTAGTAGCACTACTCCCAGCACCACAACAACCAGTAGTAGCTCCACCACCACTGCCATTCCCACAACAACGAAAATGAATTCGATTATTGAAAAGGATAAGGAACTCATTAGAGCCTTGGGACCCGCGTTAACCCAGGAGATAAACATCGAGGATGCGAACAACCTGATCATCTTCTGCAACAACACCTCCGACTGTGGCGTCACCCCACGCACGCAAACCCACCAAGCGCACACCACCGACTCCAGTCCGAAGATACTCCGCACCACTGTCCTGACCTCCATTCGATCCACTGTGCATCCGAGACCCACCAGTACGAGTACGAGCACCACAACCACCGCACCACCAGTCACTCCACCCGGTGAGGTTTACATCGGCATTGTGGAGTCATCATCCTCGGTGGCTCCTGCGGACATAAGCTCCACGGTGATCGCCAACGAAAGGGATGTGAATCTGGAGATGCGCCGCATGAATCTGGTCACCCTGGTTTTGGTGGCTGTGGGAGTGATTCCTTTAGCCGCCATTATCCTTTACTTGGTGCGCAACTATGTAGTGCGAAGGCGAGCCAAACAGGGTGAGGTGTTCGATGTCTGCATCACCGATCAGCAGCCCATCAGTCCGGTGAAGAAGGTGGACTCCAAGTATCAGCTGGACGACGACGAAGACGAGGTGGATCACCCGCACCACCAGCACAGCCAACACCATCAGCACCACCAGGCCATGCCGATGTCGCAGGCGGCTCAGCGGGATGCCAACCACAATCGATATGGTAACAACGATGATAAAACCTCGCTGGCCAGCGAGTTCCAGGAGTTCGAGAGGAGCAACATCCGGCTGAAGAGTCTCCTGGGCGAGGGAAACTTCGGTCAGGTGTGGAAGGCGGAGGCGGATGATCTGAGTGGCCACTTTGGAGCCACCAGAATTGTGGCCGTCAAGACAATCAGGGCTTGCAGTGCGCAGGTGAGTCTTAAGGATGAGGCCAATATCATGAGGAAGCTGGGATCCCATCAGAATGTGGTTACCCTACTGGGTGCTTGTGTGGAAAGTGGTGAGTATTTATTCGAAATAAATTTATTTTTAAATTAACTGAACTTGTATTTAATTGTTTTCATAGAACCCCACATGCTTATAATGGAGTATGCCATGAGGGGACGTCTCTTGTCCCTTTTGAGGGCAGCTAGAAGTGCCACAAATATATTGCCTGCCTCAGTGCCAGGAGGTCGAAGCCTAGCTCCCTTGTCACCCCGAACCCTAGCAGGATTTGCTTTGGATATAGCCTGCGGAATGGAGTATATAGCAGGCAGAAGGGTAAAATATTATATGAATTAAAAAGGAGTTAATAACAAATCATTGTATGTTGTTTACAGGTTGTCCATCGAGATCTGGCTGCTCGCAATGTGCTCCTCGATCACAATGGCATGTGCAAGATCTGTGACTTTGGCATGTCCATCGACTTGGACGCGGAGCGTTTGCGCAAGGAGCAGGAGAAGAATGCGGCCAACGATCTGTTGCGCCACAATGCGCACAAGTTCAAGTTCGACTTCGGCAGTAGGTACATCCTGCAGCACTGGCAGCACACCTTCGGCCAAGGTCAGGGCCAAGGTCACTGCTCCAAGGATCACCCGCACGGGGAGAAGAAGTCCCATCATGGCCACGATACCATTGGCAAGCGGCATGCTCTGCCCATTAGGTGGATGGCTCCGGAGAGCCTGCAGTACCACATGTTCACCACCGAAACGGACATTTGGGCCTTTGGCATCGTCCTGTGGGAGATCGCCACTCTAGGTGGGTTTTTGTTATGAGGTTTAAATAAAAGGTTGAGATACTAAATTCTTCCGGTAAAATAACACCTCAATTAAGATTAATTGGTACTCAAGATGATTATCATGTTAGCAACAGAATATATATGGTATACAAGACACGACATCCCCTTTGAAGACTTATAAATCTATTTCCAAATGTATTTGTTTAAATACCAAAACCGTTTACATTCGAGAATTTTTATTGGAAGAATATAAACAAACTCAATCAACCATCAATTCAAATTATAAAGACAATAGTATATTATCATAACATTAATCTCTTAAAGAACCAGATGTTGTCGTTTGTGAAGTGAGCCGTGCAGTTAATTAAAGTATCGATTCGCGGTTTTTAATGAGATTATTCAATTTGGAGTTGTGGTTAACTGTTTTTATACCCTTGCAGAGGGTATTATAATACAAGTCAGAAGTTTGAAATGCAGGGAAGGAGACACCTCTGACCCCTTAAGTGTATATATTCTTGATCATGGCCCAAAACCCCTAAACTTTTCTAAAAATTATCCGAATTTGGATTTATATACCTCAAAATGTAACATAGTCACTTAAGAAACTTCTTGATTGTGCTTTGTTTTCTTGTTTTGCATAGGGGAAGCTAAGTTAACATTTATTTACAAGACATATGTTCAAACATAAAAAGTAAATATGAAATTTAAGCTTTGGATTGTATAGCTCAGTTAATACAGTACCGACTGTAGATTAATTTTAAGTGATATAATAAAATAATGTAAATTAATTTCATTAAATAAATATTAATATTATGTATTATTTTCCCAGGCTCTACGCCGTATTCCCAGCTGACGGGACGCGAGGTCATCCGCCGGGTGCCGCAGGGTCTGAGACCCGATCTTCCCAAGGAGAGCCGGCACGAGTTCTACAACCTGATGTCCCGCTGCTGGCACAAGGAGCCCCACATGCGACCCTCGTTCGCCCAGTCGAGGCTGGAGATCACGAGGTCCCTGCACAAGTGGGTGGACGACGACTCGGCGGCCTCGGACTACATGGATGTGAGCGGGTTCAGCGAGGATCTCGAGCACGGAGTGGTCTACTTCAACCACCGGATCTCGGAGTTCGAGTGCGAGATATGACGCTGACTGAACCACCCCCTCCCGGTCCTCCGTCCACCCACTAATTGTGCATCTCAACCACTCCATCCGAACCCCATCCACCGCCACCCTCATCTTTTCTCCGCCCATCTGTAGTTCTTTCGAAATTCTCCCCTTGTGACGTGCTTGTCGAGCAGTATTATTTGTATTTTATTGTTAATTTTCCACTTGGAACCCCAGAGAGTTTCTTTCGTTGTAAATATTTATTTGTTGACGCAACAAAATACGAAAATGCCTTTGATCTACGACCTAGGCCTTACGATTAATGAATGGCGCTACCTATGCCTAGTTTAATATTCGTCACTTAGTTCTTCTAGTCTGTATCTGAAATCCCATTTCGAGTTGAGCTATTTCCTCTGGACGTAGCCCAGATTTGACTGCACAAATTGAAACTTTGTAACCCCCTTTAGTTGTGAAAACGATTCGTTGATATAGGCGTGCAGCGCATAGGATCTATGTAATTTTATTGATATCTAGCTATAGAATTGTACAAATAAATTAATTAAACACGAAATATAATTATGATTATTACACCACTTGAGCTGCGTATTTATATTAAATGTGATTTTATGGGTGATAATGGTTTAAAATGGATCTTTGGGATTCAAAAGATGTCTTGAATGTTCGACAAATTTATTCTTTTAAATTTGATAATTGACCTGGCTTTAATTCGCTGTAAGACCTCTGTAAAGTTACCGAGTGATAACAGTAAGCTTTGCTGTTAAAATTGGAAACCATGTTAGCTATCAGTGAAGCTTTAATATTTTTTGTCTGGTCTGGTATTATTTTTTTAGTTCCAAGCCACTGGTTCCATTCAACTGGTTCAATATAATTGAGCGGAAATTTTGAATTCAAATTATAAAACTTTTTAACTCTCAACGTAAGCAATTTACAATTATTGCGATACCATTAATTACGTTTCATATTCTAATAAATATATTTGATATTATTTAAAAGCTTGGAAAAACTGTATATTCTTTCGAGCCATACTTTACCTTAATCCAAGAAGGTACTTCCCAAAGTCAAAGACTATTAAACCTTAAAAGACTTAATTAAAAACCGGAATAGCTCTGGGCGACAACTTTTCATCGCATGAAAATAATTAAGTATGCATAACTAAGCGGTATGACTTTTGAATATTAACCAGAAATGTTTAACTCAAAAGTCAAACCTGATCCATTTCAATGTCAAAGTTCCTATGCAGTCGATTGATTATTCGAAAAGCTAGTGAGTATTCCAAAATGACCAGACTGCAGGGCAAACTCAGTGGCTAAGTTATTCTTCACAGCTCGACCGGAAAAGACAGAGCAAAAACATAAACATAATTTAGTGTGCAAATTAGCCAAGTGCATCGTGGTTTTTTATGGACATCCAGTTGGCCAGCCATGTAGCCGGAAAATCAGCCGATATGCAACGAGCAAAACCATACAGCAAGTGCAACAAAGTTGAGTCAACGGAGGACACTTTCGGCGGTGGCTGCTTGATTGATGACGCTGCAATTAAACACACGTCCAGCGATGCGGTAATCTCGACAAATGGACATTAAGATAAAATGCGTAGAGGCGGGAAAGCATTGCGTGTAACAGAAAATGAAATGAAAATTCAGCTGATGCCCCGTTTTGCCGCTGTGGTTACCAACGAAAGTGTGAAGAAAATGCTCTTTAAGTGGTCATTGAAAGTGCCACAGAAGCCGGGGGAAGGGGCACTTGCCACTGCCCTGGAGCAATCGAGGCGATAGTTTATGCTTTTAACCAATGATGAAGAAATAACAATAAAGCGCAAAAAAGCGAGACGTCAAAAGCACGAACAGTCGTTAATAGACGCAAGTCAAAGTCATCGCACAGTGGGGTGCTAAGCTATAAATAGTAATTAACATTAACCATGTTAAACATAGTCGATGAGTTTGCAACGCGATATAAATTTAAATTAATAATCGAAAAATTTTGATGAGATTTTGAGGTATAATTTACATGTTTCATGCTAGACAGTTTTTTGTGATTCTTTTTCTAAGACTTGAGGAAAACTTTGAGGAAAACTTATTTAAATGAATTTATTTAGTCTATGTATACTCTCTCTTTCAATTAAATCCTCTTTCTGTTTAGCTTTTTATTTTAATTTTGTCCAGTTTTAACACCATTTTGCTCCACTGTTCGGTGGCTGGCAAACAGGCGGAGGCGATAACAACCTGCCCAAAGTTGCCACCGAGGGCTGTTTTCTGAAAAACGAAAGTGTGCGGCTGTGAAATTAATTTTCTTTCCTCAACTATTAGGGGCTGGCTGACCCTCGCAGGCGGGCGGAACCTCCCAATAAAGTGGTCATAGTGTTTTTCGTGGCTAATGAAGCCGATAGAAAGCAGTTTAAATAAATGTGTTTTGCATGCTTCCGTTTTCGGCGCTTTGCTTCCTGACCCAGTGCCTAAAACAAATGACTTAAGACACGAACTGGGCAAGCGGGTCTGCGCCAAGATCTCGAACACAAGCACGCTTCCGCGTAAAACGCTAATAGATTCCCATAAACACCATGCAAATTGAGCCAACTAACGGTTCAATGAACTTGCACTCTGCACAACAAATGCAATTTGCGATGCGCATTTTGAATGCACCAACACGCAGCAGAGTTGGATTTACTGCAACGGGTCCAGAACGCCAACTGAGCCAAAGTCCCAGCAGCAGTAGGAGCAGCAGCAGAAACCGCAGCAGCAGCAACAAAAACAGCAGCAGCAACTGCGGCAGTTAAAGAGGCAGTAAGCAGCAGTTGAGGCAGCAAATCAGTCTGCGGCGAGTGTTGAAAGCGTTCGGACGTAGCAGCCGGAAAAAAAGCAAAGTGAAGGTGAATGCCAAGCGGCCAACGCCAAGAAGTGTGGCAAAGTAGAAAATCTGTTAATAAAGCCGCGTGTGAAAAGTGTGAAAATCAGCAAACTGACTGAAAATAAGCAAAACGGCAGCTGTAAAAAGTGAAAATTATCTGTTTAAAGTGGAGTGGAATGGAAACTCGGTTCTTGCGCGGCAACAGGAAATAATCAGTGACCAAAAGCTAAGAGCTCCAGCCCAGCTGAACAGAAGACTGGAGAAGGGAGTGGCGTGGAGAAGAACAGTGGACTGAAGACGAGCTGATCCGAGGTGATTTCTTGAGCTCAGCCTCGTTTTGTAAATTAATCATAAAAAAAAGAGCGTAAAGCAGAGAACAAGAAACCAAGAAACAAAATCGAAATTGGAATTTTAAAATAGCATTTATTTGTGTGTGTATGTATTTTAGCCAAATATGTGAAATGGAAACAACTTTCTAAACGGAAGAAAACAAAAACAACAACGACGCACAAAAATTTGAATTCTTTTTATTCTTTACGCCCGAGGAAATTGTGTCAGTCGGCGCTGTTTACGGTGTGCGTGTGTGTCTGTTTATTTATATGAGTTGCCGCTTTTCGGTGAGCCGTCAAGTTTGTGCCTTAAGTCTTTCGTTTAGGGCCCGGCAAATTGCTTTGAATTTTATACGACTGTCGTTGGCAGCTTGGGTGGACAACCTTTGGAAAGAAGATATCGATCCGAGATCGGTCTAATAGAGCTCGACATCTGTGGTTAGTGGTTCAGCGGGTTCGCTTACTAGGTTAGTCGGTTAGCACCTAGTTGCCTCCGAAGCCGCTTAGTCTGCTTAGTAGGATTCTGCGGGAGACTGCCAGTGCGACTTTCTTGCTTTCAGAGGTTTCTTTCCTCATTTGCTGCGCTTTAATTTGTTTTCTTCAATTCGTTTCGTTTGTATTTGCTGTGGTAGTTTTGTTTTTTCCTTTTTTTGTTTTTTGACTGGCCCCGTTTCGTTGTCTGCGCAACGCACGCAAATTACAAGTTAATTAAAGTGGCCAAAGAATTCGCCGAGAGATTGCATGCCAAGTCAGCTGCAGCATCAGTCAATGGAAGCATTCCCATTTTCGTCTGTAATTTGTATTTACTTTCTTGCAAATGGCACCCACGCCAAATTGCTGGGATGCCTGGGAACCGAAATAATGGCTGGCATATATGGGAAACGGCTGCGACTTATTGGTTTAATTTGATTTATTGCTGCACTGCGCTTTCCCATGCTTGTACTTATATGCAAAAGCCACACAAAAACCAGAAGCGCCGCCATCTCCCTCTGGCCTAGGATCCATTAGCGGGATCCCCATCCCCATCTCCATCTCCATTCCCATCCTCATCCCAATCCCCATCCGCGGTGCAGGTGTGCGAGATAAATTAAAGACATGGAGCCTGATCCATGACAACAGCGGCAGCATCCTCACGTTCGTGCCGCAAACTGTGCGCATCATTTCATTCAATTATTTGCCTTGGGTGCCAGCAAGAGACGCTAATATCGCCGATCTCCGCCGGCCCACGTCTGCCATAAGTTTTCATGCTGGCCTTGGCAGCCTTTTCTAAACTGTCAACTGTTTGCCGCCACCGCCGAAGCAGCCAAATTTTCACTTTTCATCTGCACAAAGGTCACCGCATCGGCGGCGAGCATCGATGCAGCTGGTTTGGCCGTTTCCTCGGAGGAGTTTGCTTTTCTTGGGTGTAGTTAGCATTCAGATTTGTCAGCTCCTTGCGGGCACTCAAGTATGTATAAGGAAAACTAACGAAATAACGAACGAAGAAAGACTTTCCTTTGGACTGCACACTGCACACATTTGCATAGTTGAGAAGTGAAAACCGAGGCAGCAAAGTTCACAGGGGGAAGCTCTTTAAGCCTAACGAATGTCTTCATTATGACGATAGGAAGTTAAGGCCCAGTCAAATCAATCAGACGACCTCTTGGCGTGCCCTATTACTGCAAAACGGCCAGCTTAGACAAGAGTCATAACCCCCGAACGAAAATAGCCATATAAATGGGTAAAATAACAGCAAGCAGAGCAGCTTTGGTGCTTCACGCCTTGTTGGGCAGTCAACTGAGATGACAGTCGACTGCGGCTGCGGAGATCACGATGACGAGCCCGATGGCTGAGTGCGATTACCTAAAGCTGCTGTAATAGCCTGGCCAAGATTATGACTGCTGCTCCACAGTCGTAATAGTTTACGCTCATGTTAATGACTCTTACTTTCGATGGAAAGCCAAAAATTGCCGGTTACGAATTGCCCAGGCAAATTGAACGCGTCTAAGAATAAACCAAACCGAACCGAACTGTTTTTTGAAAGCGTGCGAGTTTGGGGTGGTGGGCATAAATAAACAATTAGCCGGCTGTCATTGTTCCGTTGTTATTTGGGAAATTAAAGCCAGCTTAATAACCGCCAGTGACCGCCCCCTCACATTCAACTTTCCTCTGTCTTGTCATTTGCAGACGACCGGGCCTGAATTAAAAACAAAGCCAAGAAAATAAAGCCGAGCGAAAATGAAAGCGGGCCGCGCCTTCAGCTGCCTTTTCTGGGCGCTTCTCTATTGTGTGCTCTATCTGGATCTGGTCAGCGGCAACTCCGCCGACGATGAGCTGATGGACTTTGACTTCACGGACTCCAAGGATGCTGTCCAGGAGGACTGGCAGTTGGACGACATCGAGGAGGCTCAGCAGGCGGAGCAGGCTGACAAGAAACTGGAATCGAATATGCTTGACTTTAGCGTGGATCTGGATGAACCCGAACCCGAGAAGCAATTACCGCCCTTCGACTGGCGGGAACGGGTTCTGAGAAATGCATTAGCTAAAGCCTTGGCCGATGAAGGATTGCGCCAGAAGTTCGTCGAGGTCATGCCCATTTTGAGGGTTCTTTCTTCCCAACAGCGACTGGCTCTTTCTGCTTTAATCTCGGCTCAGATGAACGCCAAAAAGGGTCACGAACTGAAGTTTGAACAGGTGAGCTTAATGAAATAAATAATTGAGAAATATTGTAAACAGTTCCAATTCAGAAAAAATGATTCATCTAACATTTAAGCAAACAAAATACTATATTTTATTATTAAAACAAATGAACAATATTTATATGAATAAGTCTTTACAAATTGAATGCTTACATTTGTTTTATATCTAATATTTCTGCAGGTTCGCATGATGTTTGGCAATGACAAGAAGCTGCTACTGCCCATAGTTTTTGATATTGCTAATCTCATAAAGAGTTCCACTCGCAAGTACATTAATCTCGGCTCCGATTTGGACTCGGCTGCCCTTTTGCACACGCCCATAAATCGTCGAGAGGATGATTTGACTGCCGAGGAGTCCCAGCGAGATGATCAAGTGGGTACAATAGCTGTTGATGTAGAACCAAAAGAGGTTTCGGCTCAAGATGACCCGGAGCCTCTGGAGGACTTCTTCGATGAGATGGGAGAAGAGGTGCTGGATCCGCAGATGATCAATGAGGCTCTAACGGGCGATCTCCACGAAAATAAAACAAAGTCTGCGAAACCGGAAAGTCATGGCCAAAGAGTTCGCCGATCGGCTAATGAGTTTGTCCACAAGCTGACTCGATCTGTGCCTGCTTCTGTGAACGAGCAGCAGCTTTTGGGTGGCATGGCTGGACGCACCATCAAATTAAATACCACCGCCTTTCAACAGCCAAGTAGCCAAGAGGAGGAGCAGGTGGCTTCCGCTAATGATGGACAGTCATACTTGGAGGTTGAAGATCTCGCTTTCGCCGGTCTTAATGGCACCGAAATTCCCCTGAGTGCCGATGAGCGGTTGGACCTGCAAAGAAACAGCGCCGAGGAATCGGAGGAACCTCTGCCCAATCCCGAGGAGCTCATCGCTGGACCTCGTTACCGCCTGGGAAAGAGACCACTGCCTGGCCAGAAATCAGGACCTTCCATCAAGAGAAAGAGGGTTCAGTCCTCTGTGAGGGGAAGACCCAAGACCGCTGCCAGTTCCCACAAGCCCGTGGTGACTCCTCCCCACAAGAAGTGCGAACGATTCACCAGCAACATGTGCATCCGCACCGACGACTATCCGCTGTAAGATCCCCGTAGCTAGTTGGTGAGCGGTTCTCCCAGGGTCCCGGTTCCGGTCCATAGTCCTTAGTTCTTAGTCCTAGCTTAGTCCGAATTTTTAGTCTTAATAAACAGTAACTTATTAAACGCACTCACTGGCCAACAACAATGGTTCCTTGCACTTATGCTTAGTCACTGGTTTCGGTTTGCGGTGCCTCGAAAAAGCAGCTGAACACTGTATCTCTTATCTTAAACTCAAACAGCGAACAGATCATGGGCAGCATTCGCAGGCACAAGAACGCCATGTCCGCTCTCTTGGCCGAGTTCTACGATAAGCCCAACAACAACCTCGAGTTTGGCGACGAGTTCGATGACTTCAGCTTGAGCAAAAAGCGGTGAGTAGAAAGGGGGATTGGCTATTAGAAAGTTGGGTTTTTAGGTGTGCACTCTGCTTAAAAGAATTTTATTGCAGGACAATAAAGGTGATATTTTTGATCACCTTTTATTTGAGCTTATAAATCAACACCTGATCTTTTTCATGCTTTTTTGTTTGTTAAAGTAAAGTAAATTATTTCCCAATTTAAACTTATTTTTTTAATGCTCTTTTGTTTGTTAAAGTAAAGTAAATTCTTTCCCGATTTAAACTTATTTATTTATTATTGCATTAGATATTTAGATATTTTTAATAACACCATGCTCGTATAATAGAAACCAAATGGGATAAAATTACTTTAAAAAATGCAGAAATTACAATTTATGCTTTAAAAACCCAATAAATAATTGCTTGAGCATCGCGAAGATTACATTAATTATATTTTTTGTACATTTTAACACCCGTTGCAGGCGCGAAGACGAAGGCAGCGCCGGCGGAATGTGCCAGAGCGTGGTGCGTTATGCCCGACCCCAGAAGGCGAAGTCCGCCTCGGGAGAGTGGAAATACATTGTGAACACCGGCCAGCACACGCAAACCCTGCGATTGGAGAAGTGCAGGTGGGTGTTGATCATTTTTCACTCGATGGCTTCGATTAACTTGTAATCTCCGCAGCAATCCCGGCGAGAGCTGTTCGTATCTGGCACAGACTTATCGCTCGCACTGCTCGCAGGTGTACAACTACCACCGACTGCTCAGTTGGGACAAGGTGCGCGGTCTCCATGTGGACATCTTCAAGGTGCCCACCTGCTGCTCCTGCCAGGTGGACGGCTATCGCCAGCAGTTCCCGCCGCTCTCCTCCATCCAGGCCAAGGACTACTCGCCCTTGGGCAACACCAATCTGAACAATAATGGCTATAGCACCATCAACGAGGAGGATCTGGACTACGCGGACGAGAGCGAGGAGGATGAGCTGGGTCTGCGGTATCCCTCGTTCAGCCATCGCGAGACCAACGAGCTCTACTCGAGCAGCAACAAGGTGCGGGTGAAGCTGCCTGGTATTAGCACCAGTGTGGGTCCCTACCTCAGTCCCCCGGATGACGACGAGGATCGCTACGGCGGATACCAAGGCCCCAGCTCCAGTTCCAGCTCCAGCTCGAAGAAGTATTACAGCCAGGTGAGCAGCCGTCGGCGGCCGCAGCAATCGGAGGCGCGTCTGGACTTGGATTTGGCGCCAAGCGAGACGCACTCGGACCAAGAGGTAAACCTATTCGCTGGCCCTCCAATCGGCGGTGCAGAGAAGCCGCGTCTCCCGCTCAATCGCAAGCGTATTTATGCCTCCACCCACACAGCCCCTGCCACCGCAACATCATCATCATCATCATCATCAGCAGCAGCCGGAGCAGCAGTATCGTCCGCAGGAGCAGCTGCCAACCGCCTACGATTTCCACAGACCACAAGTTTACCAGCCCGAACGGGAACCGCTGCCCTTGGGCCGGGATTCGCTGGCAGCGCCGGCGGTCCAAGTTCCGGCCTCAGTGGTGCCCATGCCGCCCATGCCCATCAAGCAGGTGCCCTCGCACCACCCGGCGGCAGCTCTGCTGCATCCCCAACAGCTGCACCACCCGGCGGCAGGCAGCAAGGCGGCAAGTCGCGACCCCGCTTCTATGCACCACCACCAGCAGCCGCGACGACCGCAGTGGTTGCCCACGGCACAGCGGCGGCTCTTCCGACCGAGCGCACCACTCAGTGGGAGCGGGAGCGGGAAAGGGATCAATCGACGGCACTACCACCACAGCCGCCGGCCGTCTATCCAGTGAGCCCGATCTTCCCGAGCGGCGGAGCCAACAACAACGAGCTGGCGGGCAAGCGGATCAATTACAACTACCATCCCATCATCGATTTCTTCGAGAAGAATCGCCGGGCGGAGGCGGCGGCCACAGTGAATCCCGCGGAGGAGGAATCGCGCCGGGTGGAGCAGCGCACCTATCCGCAGAAGAACAACCTTAAGGGCATGGGCTCGGGCATGGAGAGCATCGCTGGTGTCTACCAACATCCCATTCCCGTGGCCAAGACGCACGAACGGCGCATGGGTTACGTGGTGAACGGCGGTGGTGCAGGTGGTTTGGCTGGTGCTGTGGGTGGTGGTGGTGGTGCTGGCTTCGCCAGCGATAACGCCTGGCTGCCCATGGTTGTGGAGTAGCTTCCTATAAATAAGTTGCATGGTTTCGCAAGCCTCAAGTCCCCGAAATCTAACGTATTAATCCAACGATGCCCTAGTTCGTAGTCTCTGCCGTTCTCGCCAGGAGCTCCATCCTGTAGCTTGTCTTGTTGGCTCCTAATCTCAATTCCCCATTCACCCAGCCCCAATCTAATGTTTAACCAGCTATGATTATTTATTTATTTATTTTGTAGTGTGTAGCAAAAAATAAGAGATGACCTCGTTGTTGGGGAGATTCTATTGGTCAAAAGCTTGGTCGACTTGTCGCAAGAGTTTTAGCAATAAATATAATTTATTGAAATTTGATCGTGTGTTTTCAGTTGGGTGGCATAAATGCTTTTTTAATTTATATTTATCTTTGTGGGACAGTACTTTCTGCACTCACTGTTCTGTTAACTCTCCTTTTAAACGACTGTTAACGATCGGAAAAGAAAACTTAAAGTATCTTTTAGGCGCTTGCAAAAATGCAGACCAATGTTAACGATGTGCGCATGGGCAACCGTAATGCCATTAAAAGAGCTGTTAAACTTTATTGACAACATATACTTGCAATAAATACTGATGAGTAAAACCTTATTTAAGGCTTTAAAGCGGAAATTGAACTATTATTTAATTTATGGGTATTTACCATTTTTTGTTAATTTAAAGTATTAAAATAATTTTATATTCCAAATATTGAGGTTTAAACTTTAGTAACCTAATATTCTTTTATTAAAAAACTTCCTACTTATCATAACTTTGATAACGTGCTTTTTAAAATCAATGTAAAAGATACCTTTATTCAAAACTAGCCAAAAAAAAAAAATTTTCATTTTACATATAACCAAGATCATGAATAAATGTATTATGCCTATTATATATTCCCAACGCATACCAAAAATATCTATAAATCATTCCCATATTCCCATTATCCCACAAATACTTAAGATACCCAAATTAAATGACCAGTGCATAAATTATTTCACCGTTCGTTTCGCCTTTCGCCCAAATGACACAAATACATATACTAATGTTTCTTTTTGGCGAAGTTCAAGTTGAGGGTCGAGCGGCGGCGGCGCTAATGAGATTCGAGACCGCGAAAATAAAAACACTTGCCCACACGATCGAAAACCGAATTGGAAACTAGTTTCTGCGCAGGAGCCAGAAAGTTGCAATGTGCCACACTGGCGGTGTGGCGTGTGGTGCACGGTGTGCTGTGTGGTGCGCGTATGCAAAGTGGGTTTCTAAAGCGAAACGAGGCCTAAACTCCCCGACTTTGACCAGTTATAACATTGGACGTTGAACGCTGCAACCTGCAACTGCCACTGCAACTGCCACTGCCACTGGCGATTGCAACTAACTAGCCACTTGCAACGTCATTCGGCCGGCCAGTTTCGCTTTCATTTGCTGCCGAGGCAAACAAACGACCGATGACGACGACGATGACGACTCCCAAGACATCTACCTCGTCACGAAAGAAAGAAAGAAAGAAAGAAAGAAAGGCTCGCGGCGCGGCGCGACGATCAAACTGGAAAATTGGAAAAACGTCGAGGAAATTTTATAAAGGCCCAATGATAGCACACTTACTGCACAGTTGTCGCTCGGCCGTCGAACGCGAAAGTGAAAAGTGGCATTTCCCCGACCTTGGGACAGTGAGAGTAAAAGTGCAATGGCGTTGCTCAGGATTTGCTGCCTGCTCGTCCTGTATTCGCAATTGAGTCAGGCGATCAAGGTGGATGATCCCGGCCAGGAGGTGGCCTCCTCCAGTAGCACCTCAATCCCCCCAGTTTATAGGGTATCCAAGCCCGAGCCCAAGCAACCCGAGAAAAGGGTGCCTCCGCACCTGCAGGACATTCGCACTGGATATGTGGACGACGACGCGGGCGATGTCATCAGGATCATTGAGCCGCCTCAGCATTTTCAGCAGCTGAAACGACTGCGACAAAGGCAACCTGCCAAGCCACCTGTGGTGTGGGAACAACCTCGAAAACTGGCCACGAATCGGGTTAAAATTATACCCCAGTCGGACCTGCTCACTCAGGAAACACAGCTGCAAAACGCCCCCAATCAGTTGCAAATTCCCATGGAAATCTTGGCTTCCGTGCGAAAAACAGAGCGTTTGTTGCAGCGTCAAAGGCAAAAGTTGCCTTTGGTGAGACAACGTCATATCCAGCGACAAAGTCACACTCTGATATCCCAAAAGGCCATGGAACAGCAGCTCTATCATCGTGGCCAACAGCAAAGGCTTAGAGCAGTTTTGAGTCGCAATCAAGAGCACAAGAGAAACAAAAGGAATAAGAGGGATGCTTCGGAGAACCGAAAAGGAGCCTACGATGTACAAAAGGGTCTTAAGCTGGTGGCTCACATTGGGGACCTCCTGAAGAATGCCACCCAGTATTTACCAGACGATGCAACCACCACCACCAACGAGGTGAAGAGGTCACCAATCTGCAGCAATGCAACTATTTGCGACAGTCGGCGACGTCGCCAAAGACTTTTTAAACAACACCAAGTCAAGTCAGCGGAGCGGGAAAAATTAAAGGAGAGGCGGCGCCACTTCCGCAACGAGGCAACAACAACAACAACCGCAGCAACAACAACAACAACAGCCAAGGCGACAACGACAACAACGAGCGGTGGTAAATCAGTGTTTTCAAGTGCCAATTCAATTGCGGCAACTTCCGCAACTCCGTTGGCCAGCCGCCTGGTGAATTCACGCAAATCCAAATCGCCAAATAACCACCGCAACTTGGGCCGCAGCGATGACTCCATACTCTATGCGGATGTGATGACGAACATACGCAATTTGTGGCAGGAGCACGAGCTCTTGACGGGACCAAAGTTCATCGCCCCGGGCGAGGTGGCCAACAACACGGACTACCGGGCCTTGGATGTGTACCTCAAGGAGTTGGATGATCTGGCCAAAAAACTACCCACGGTGGCTCCTATAACTGGTTTAAATAAGGAGGAACTGCACAGGCCCACGCCCACTCCGAGTTGGTATCTGATTAACTCGGAGGGAGGGATCTTCGAGACCCGAATGGATAGTCAAACCAAACCATCTTCGTCTCTGTTTCATCGATTCCCCGACATGCCCAACCAAAATCAGAATGTGTCCACATTGGACTTGGAGTAAATATTACTCTACTAGTTATTATTTATTTATTTACAAAGAATAAAGTATTATTACGGAAAAAGAGAAAAAAACAGTGTAATTATTGATCATCAACATTTGAGTGGTTTTAAATTAACTTTTTTAACGGAGTTTATACGAATTTGTGGACTAAATATAGTATTTTTGTTATGCTAATTTTTACCGTTTGTTCTATAGGGTTTCTAAGTTATTTACTTTGAATTCGGAATAGAATCCTTTCTCTTTATACCATACCACTTATTGTATACAAATAACTTAAGTATTAGCCCTGGAACTCCTCAGATTACCTCTTTCAATGCTACATCTCTGGGGATTCTTGGTGGCCAACGAAGCATTTAATTCGGCTAATTACAACAACTCGCAGCTCAAGTCACAAGTTCTTGGCTAATGCGGCAATCAGTGGCGGATACAGGGGGGGCGATAGGGGCGATCGCCCCCCTCAGCTTCTGAAAAAGGTGCTTCACTGGCGTGAACTTCGGAAACCTGCGTGTTACAGCGTGTCGCCAGTCCTTCCTTGCCCTACTTCTTCCCTTGTCTATCGCTCCTCCTAAGACTAACTAGCCTAGCATTGCTACATACGCATTCCGAAATCAGTATTCACATCGAGAGAGTTATAGAAAAGTTTTTAAAAAGAGGGAAAAGAATAATGGAATTCGCCATTTAGATTAAAATTAATTAATTTATTTGTACAGAGTGTTTTGAATAAAACTGCGTATAATTTTTGATTATTTGCCACCTGCTACTTGCATTGTTTAAAAAAAAATTTTGATCGCCCCCCCCCAGGCAGATACCTGTATCCGCCCCTGGCGGCAATTTAGATAAGCCCAAACCGGCAATTAGCCCCGAGCTTGGGCTGCCAAACGTGCGAAACGCATTGTAATGAGCCCTGACCCCGCCTAACATGCAAAGTGATGAGAAGATTTTCGGCTTTTCGGCAGCTGACCGAGGTGCGGGGGTGCGGGGAAGTCCCGTGGGTCAGATGAAGCGGAAGAAAACACACCTGACCTCTATTACAGGGGAAATAGATCTGTCGGATCTGTGGGATCTGTGGGATCTCTCGCTCAGAAGAGACTTGTTTCGGCTTCTCGGCTAGTTTTATGGGAAGCCCATCTCTATTCTTGGAACATTTTCATTTCCACATTTGTTTTTGGCTACTAAACCTAGTCAAACGTTTTTTTTGGGCGGCAGTTTTTTTATGGGATTAGAATGTTGTCGAGCCACTTTGACGAAGTATTTTTTAATTTATAGAGCGTGTGTTGGGTTTTTATGATTATTAGTTCGTGTGTTGGCGGGGCGAGAGATAAATTAGAGTGGAACGATAGGTAAACTAGAGAAATCGGACCACATTATGTAACCAAATGAGTTCCTGGCCTTTAGCGAAAAGAAGAGGGGCACTGCCCATTGCGACATTGACCCCACTGATCGCAGTCAGTGGGCTCAGTGGGCGGGGGGTGGTTGGGGTGGTTGGGGAGTAAGAAAAACAAGCAAACACAAGTTGGCCCAAAGCATTGTAATTAGCAGTCGGTCATGCAAGAAATAGAAGCCTCCCCCGTCGGCCGAATCATTGATGTTTCGGTGGGGTTTTCTTTCGGATTGTTAGAAGCACACGCAGCCGGAGTCGCCCAAATTGGAGGGGGAAAACCGTTTTTCGCTTAGACAATTGTTTTGTCGCTGCGCATTGATGGCAGTGCCGCGTTGCAAGAATCGCTTTTGGCCATTATAAAAGCCCGCTGCACGCTCCCAACGTCAGTCAGTCAGTTGTTGTAAGCCCCGAGTGGCATTTCCACCGTTGTCAGCCCCGAAGGAAATCCGTAGGAAAACCAGCCAAGATGATCCAAGCCAGATCCGTTTGCCTTCTCCTCGCCCTCTGCCTTTTGGCCCTGTTCCTCGCCGGATCTGAGGCCGCGCCACGCCCCCAGGAGGGTCGGGAGGAGGGCGGCGGCGAGCTGGAGTCGAATGTGGAGGCCGAGGAGAAGGACCTCGAGGGAGCTGCATCCTTTGGATACGGATACTACTCATCGCCCTACCTGGGTGGCTACTACGGAGGCGGATACTGGCCACACTATAGCGGCAGTTACTACGGAATTGGTAAGATTCGATTGGGATAAAAAGTGCTTAATATCCTGCTTGAAGTCAGTGAGGTTTTAAATAAAACATATATTTATTGGATAACGTATTAACTAAATTGTGAGGAATATCTTTACCTTATGCTTCGGTTATGAGCTTTACCATACAATTTTGGCTAGGCTCAACTTGAACTGAATGAACTTAGTTAATACTTTTTCGATTATAATCACATCCACAGGTTATCCCTACTACGGCGGCTACTACGGATTGCATGGACACTACGGACACCATGGCCACTATGGCCACTACTTCTAGGCAGGAGTTCTTCGCCCCAGCCAAATAGTTTTCCAGCCTCAGTAGTGTTTTATCAGCACCGGACATCTACCAGCACTAGCTCGAATAGAGAGAGATAAGTAGCGAAATAGAAGTCAGCCCAGTTAGCAGTAATAGCCAGCACTAGACTCAATAGCCAGACGATGCGTTCTTGACCGGATGGCGAACAGATTAACTGCACTGCCCCCTTGAGCGAGGATAATTGCTTCAATTAAGCAGAAAATCACAAAAAAAGAGTACAACCAACTAAATATTACATAAATAAATGTTATACTTTGTACAAATTAATGCCTGGCTGTTTGATGGCTACTGTTGATTGTTTTAATTTTACTCTTAGCTCGGCGAGCTCGTTATTTTATGCCATCGTAAAAAACACATGAAGAGCTCACCTAATTTGCAATTCAAATTGTGCTTAACAAACATTGGTTTTTTATATCGCTGGGCTAATCTAATTAATAGGGGTTTTTATTTCAGAAGCAAATTAACTGTACAAATTGGCAAGAACTGAAGCAAAGTTCAGCCGTAAATGGTGAGCAATAAACGGCAGAGAAGTACGAGCCAGCGTTGGATATTTGACTCCTGTTGTTCCACGACGCGTATGCGTAATTTATGAGTGGAATACCATAAATCGCTTTAGACGAGCCAGACGAGCATTGTGTAAGCCAAGTGTCTCAGATTCTCAAAACAAGCCCGCCGAACGGTGCTGCCTAAGACGATTTGTCTTGATCGGATTTTGACAGGCAACAATCGGATATTGGAAGTCAGACATCAAGACCGAAAGGTCACGGAAGTGACGGACAATGGACATCGAAGATTAACGGTCGGCGGACGGCGACGATGGTGCGACAATAATCGTTTGATTTCACAGAGGAACCTTTGCATAAATTAGCTGAGTTTATCTAAGGTCAATCGGTAGCCGAGAAACGAAATTCTCCACTTGACCTCTGCATTGACACTTTTCTTCTTGGCTTAAAAACGTCAAAATCAAGAACGATTCGTCTTTTTTCTAATTCGTATTCATATTTTGACGGCCAGCCTATATCGGTGGACAATAATAGCGTTAAATTGGTTATTAAAAGATCGTTTAGCATTTCATTGTTGATCCGAAGCGTGACTAAGCTCAAAATATTGCTTAAATATGATTATTATTTATTCATCAATCCGAAATGACTCACTTCAGGTCTAGATTTCTCTGTAGATTTTGTGGCTAATAAATTAAGTCAAATGACGCTAACACCGACATTCATTGTACTTTCTCACAGTACCAGGATTTTGCCCCTTGTATTCTCTAGATCATTTCATTTACTTAGTTCATAAATCACTAAGCAATAGACCAGCAAAATTTCAGCCTGATGAGTTGGCTAATTGATTGTTTGTTTTAGTTGATTTAACCAAAAGCACTTAACATTTCGTTGACGTTTTTCGCCTATTTATAACTTTCATTAGCCGAAAACAGAGATGCTGGAATTTATTGAAAATCTGCGCCCCATTGTTAGGAGGAAAACCATTCAAGTTTAATCCATGGTCTTTTTTGTTGCTTTTTCGGTTGAGTTATTGTACTTTGTATGGTATTTAATTTGGGCAACGTACACTCGAGTTCAAGTGCACGAATTTTTAAGATGTAGAGCACAGTGGATCAAATATTGGTACATTTTTAAAGAAACTTTGTTGAGGGTTAATGAATAAATTGGGAAAATTTGTGTATTAAAAAATCTCTCATTTTATTTAGTTTTTTATTTATTATATTTCCCAAATACTTCTCATAATAATTTATTCATTTATTTATTTTTTCCCCATTGTTTGATTACAAAACAATCCGATCTAGTAATATGATTTGCATTCAAGTATTTGCTTGTTCACCCATGCGTGGGCAGCTTTATAACTCAATTAGATGGTAAGACGATCATCATTAGCGGACACTGCGGCGACTGCATTCAAAATGCAGTCAGCACTTGATGTGATAATAATTTCAGTACAGTAAATTATCAATCTATATGCCGATGGCATTAATTCCACGTTCCCGTCAGCGGGTCGGCTTAAAGGTGTCGCAATCTGGCTTCAGCAGCAGCCGCTCTGAGAAGTTCCTGCTGCGACAGGTTCGTGTCTTAAGTCTTTCGTCTTTCGTGGAATTAACATGTCAAGCACGTATAATATAATTTCTGGTCGAACAACAATCCCCATCCGCAATGTTGTGGCAGTCCCGGGACAGCAGTTGATTCTTCCTTGCCACCAAGGTCGATGCAGCTTGTACGCACTTGAACCCTTTGGAGTACACTGAAAAAAATTTACCACTACTCTTAAATGATTTTATGTTTGAATTTCTTTAAATAGTCTTTAAATATTTGGTTTTTTTTTTTCAAAATGAACTCTTTTATCAATAGTTAATTCTTATTTTGATGAAGCAAACTAACATTTAATTATAATTTTTTTCTTTCCTCAATTTATGAAGACTGCAAAAGCTAAACTATTTCCAATGCAATTTAGTTAATATCACTTGCGGCTTTTTTCCTGCGCTGGCATCCTGAATTTGGCCCTCAAAATTGGCCATTGAACTTGCGGCCAAACTCGTTTTCCCCCAGCTTCTTATCGTTTCTGTGGCAGCTGCCGGCGTGGCTTTTGTGGTTAAGAGTCGAGGCGACTTGGCCGGATTGTAATGGTAAACATTTTGCATACCAAAGGCATTAACGTCTTTTGGCTTTGACCTTGCCCAATCCGATCTTCGCGTAGGTGAATAGAGCACAGCAGGGTGTATCTAAATGTGTGTGGCATGCTCGACTTGGCAAGGGGCAAGGGCGATCAATTGTGGCAGAACCACCGAAAAGACCGCTCCAAGTGCAACCGACCAGAAACGAGACCGAATAAAGAGAATGAATATCTAGACTGGGAGACTGCTCGTTATTTAATTTCCAGTCAAGCTCTTTAATTAGCTGTTAACTTCCGCAACGTTTGCGCCAAAGAACGCTTGTCTTGCCAAAAATAAAACTACAAAATTAACAGATACAAGCAACTCCCATCCAAGTATTTATTCGTTGTGGGTGCGTTCAATGGCTGAAAGTGATTTATGAACGCCTGCTGAGCCATAAATACCTACGTATGGCAATTGTTTCGCTTTCGATTTGCCAAGCTATTTTAGGCTTTAATTTAAAGTGCTTAGTACTGGGAACTAGTCTACGAACTGCCCGTCGGAAACGTCGGCGCTCTGCCCAAAAACTAAATCAAAAGTTTCCATTAGCTGCAGCCGAGTGCTGACAGGAAGTTCTCATCTCTCGGTTCTAGCCATGAATTATGACCAAGTTTGTCTGCGGGTGCGACTGAGCGGAGCGAGAAGCGATTTAGAAAGGCGAAATCCTGTGCCACTAAGGTCACATTCTGGCCCGATCAAGAACCCGTTCCCAGTCACTTCCTCCTTTGTAACAGGATCATCTCGGGACTGCGCTTCATGTGCCGGCCATTAACCGGCTATTCTGGTTCTCGGCCGATCCGATGAGGATCCGATCCGATTCGATGCCTTCTCGGCGACCTTGAGACGAGAGTGCAAAAAATCCGTTCAGATGTTCGCTGCTGCCCCGATCTCCGTGTAGGTTGCAATTAACCTGAACTTGTTATGGTCGCCGGTTTCACTTCGGTTGCTCACCGAAGTCGCTGGCTTTATGACCGAAAAAAATGTGCTTCATGAAAACGAACCGACGCCCCATCCATCTCGCAGAGCCTCCCCATCTGTCCCCCACTTCCAGCTAATCGCCCCAAAGTTATTATAAATTTGTCACTTAAATACATTACAACGATTGGATCCATTGTCACTCGCGTAATTAGATATTGATGAACGGGCCTTTGTGGGTGGTTCACTTTAAGGTGTGAAGTACGTCTGCTTTTATGGAAAATTGGTAACATAAATCAAAAAACTTTTTTTGGCAAGTCATACACTTTTAATATTTATAAAAATGCAGAGCAAAACTCAAGTAATTGTACTTTGAAATATAAACGTTCTTTATTCTACTTCCTATTTAAGTTGCATTAAATGTTGAAACGTTAAAATGTTATCAAGCCAGAGATTCATTTAAATTAATCATGAAATTATGTGGAACCATCTAGTTCTGTATATTAATTTTAATTGGAAAGGGCAACAAAAGCTGTATCTTCTGAGACACATATTTGATTAGTCACTCATGACTGTTAATTTATTCACAAATAATTTGTAGCAGTTCGATTTATACAAGTAGTAAACGTTATGTATTTTAAAACACGCATTTCTCGAACCTCAAAGATAAATCTAGCTTAAATTTGATGCGCTCGTGTTGTGTCATTTACCTTTTGAATTTTATTTGTAGCCACCCTCATCTCCTAAATTAAAGAGTATGACAGACTGCGCCTTCTCGAGTTTTACTTTCATTTGTCATATTTGATTGTTTATTTATTTGTGAATATTTTGTATCAATTCCACTTGTACAAGTGCTAAAGCGCCCTGAGGTTTAATGAACTGTTGGCGGATTTGTTTTGGGTGAAAACCATTGGTGCTGAATCACCTGCTGATTATTATTGTTGGTTGTTGGTTTTATGAGCGTTTACCTTGCGGTTGACGGTGGCGAATCATTTGTATGCCATGGGCGAAATTGTCCCGGCGAAATGCATAAAAACTTCAGGTGGCTGATATTATTTATGGACAGAGTCGGATGAATTTTAACCAGGTTCTAGCCATATCCTAGTTGCAACAATAATCCCTGCTAATTTATTGTCGGATTTGCAAGCTCTAGAGAATTGGAAGGGTATAGATTTTTGCAATCAAAAGCTTAACATTCCAATGTGTTTTTTTCGCATGTGTGGCGATGCTAAATAGTTGTTAGAAGCTTTTAGTTTTAGTGCTAAGCCGCTTAAAGCGGACAGAATTTCCAGTTAGCCACGCATATAGAACTCCGACGGAAACTCGAGTCATCTGTGGCAGCCGTCGATCATCTCTGCTCTAGCTCTCTGGTTTTAATTATCGGCTGGCAATAAACGATTTCAGTTGTTGTTAATGGCATTTCATTATGTTTGTTTCATAGTTTTGAAAGTTGAAATACTTGAGTCGGTTCAAATGGTTGTTGTACACAACGCATCTTGTACGGGTATCTTCCGGTTTTCGTTCGATTTATGATTATTATTAATAATTGAATTTCTATTTGTTCGACGAGCCGCGAACATAGACCAGCATCTTTTTGTGGCTTTGTTTCGCTTGCAGGGCTTTTTGGATTTTTTTTTTGGGTAATAGAGCTTAATTTAATGGAATCAACAATGGAAACCGTTGCTTGATCGATTGTCTAATTTGTCAGTCAAAGGATTAGTACGAAGTTCAACATTAATAAGCCATTAAAAGCGGCACGAACAAGGTTTTGCCCCCACTTCCCCTTGATCGCAAAAGGGTGCAGTTCCGCTTGATTGATGAAACCAAATAATCGATGCTATCCGATCGCTTTTCACACTTTTGGCCAGCTCCACTTCTACTTCCAGTCCGCTGGGGGTTCTTTTCCCCATCATTCAAACTAACTGCCAACTAAGGTCATTCAACAACCCAAATAAAAGCAAATCAAAACCGCTTCAGGTTTGGATTTTGGGAGTTCTTTTTGCAACTCGATCAATATAAAATCAATCAAGGTCATCGCATCTCAACTCACTTCAAACGGTAGCCAAACTGCAAGGCAAACTGTATGGAATATTTTGGCACGCTTGCGAACTGTTTTCGGAAGTTATGAAAAGGTTTGCTAGTTTTAAGATATAAGCAGTAATAATTGTTAACAATATGAAAATTAACTGTGTGATTGGGCATTATAAAAGTTACTCCTAGACTGCCTACTCATTTCGGTATATGTATATTTACATTTTTATATGTTTTGCATTATTCAAGAACCAAAGCTTTATTGCTAAAAAAAAAACCCTTATTCAAATCTTCTAGAGTTTTTAAAAGCAAACCTTTGCTTGAGAATTTTTTTTACTTTAATTAGTTATTTGGAATTATTCTTCTTTCGCATTCCCAAGCATTGTAAGTACCCAAGGTCATTCAATTGCTATTTTTGGCGCATAATGATGGCTATTTGTGGGCCAATTTGGGGGCTTCTTTAGCAGGTCATGAAGCCACTGCTTAGTCAAATATGTCTAAGCCAGGGGGAGGAGCTCCGGAATCGATTAGCGCCTCGAAGACGGGCTAATTGTGGGCACGCACGAAGCCCCAGCTCCGAATACCCTACAGGTGGTCTGCAGACCCGTCTCGCCTGGAACTCATCGGCGGTACGACGAGGTGGCTGCACTGCGCATGCGTGGCGGCAGCCGATCGACTCGGTCGGCTGTCTTCGGCAGCAGAGCCTTATAAATACGCCGGGCGTCGGCGCAGTTTTTGTTATTTGAACTTCAAATTTGCTCGAGATCGCTTCGTCTCGCGCACTCGGCCGCTAGCGAAACGCGCGCGTTTTCTTAGCGTTTTATACCGCCTTACCGCGGCGATTTTGTGTGCTTACAAGTGGGTAGCTGTTTGCCATAAACAGAGTGACTTCTATATAGAACATTTGGCTGTAAATAAGTGTGTTCGCAAATATATATATTTTAGGTGCTGACGCAAGTGCTGTTGATCCGCCGTTGAATCGAAAAACGCGTTGTTGCATCACGACTCGAGAATGAAGATGGTGAGTGGTTGTTGCTTGTTGCAGTGCGAAACGAGTGCACCGAAATGTGCGAACAATCAGGCCATAATCGTAACATTGTGGCGGCTAGAATCCCAGAAATATTCACACTTTTTTGAGGTGCAGTTGTGCGCTGCACGTTGCAGTCGCAGTCGCAGTTTTGCTGCCGCAGACTTGCAGCTCGGCAGTTGGCCTGCTGGCATCCCATGAGTTGTCTGTCAAACAAAATTGCCCAACGCCAAAGAGTTTCTAAAAAGCGACAGCGACGAAAAACAAACAAACTAACAGAAATAGAAACAGAAACAGAAACGACTCCGCGCTGCCAGTGGAGGAGTCGCATGGTAAATTTGCATAAATGGCGCTACAATTGAAGAAAATCGGTACAAGTACAAATAAAATAACAGAAAACAGCTGGCAGCAGTCATCAGTCAGAGGCGAAGACGGAGACATACACAGAAAAAATAGGATCATTATCAGGAAGATACTAATTGCATTTCACATAGGAGTATAAATTATCCTTACCTTTTAAATGATATGCATTGATATTATTTAAGATGAATTTGTTGGCAAACTTTTTATTCGTTTGTCACAAATCCGTTTTAATACTCATTTGTCGAAATGATAAATGTTTGACAATTTATCAAAAGATTTACATATTTGTTAAGATCATCAGAGTTCAGTCTATTATTTTTTGTGCATTTGTTTCCAGAAATGTCATGAATACGGTTAAATCAATCACAATCAAGATTTTGATATTATATTTTTTGTATACTTTTTAATATCAGCCTGATATATTTTTGAGTTTTGTGTTTCAAAAGATTTGTTTTAAATATGACTAAGACTACGTACAAGCAGGTTACTTGGAACGCATTAAGTTTATTGTTTTATAATTAATTAAACTCCAAAAAGTTGCACGAAATTTCTTTGAGTGCAGGCCTGCGGCACTGGTAACTGCATTGAGTGACTCCGCCGGCTCTGAAAACCGCGCTCGCTGCCAATGACTGACTCACTGGAGGGCGACTCCGGAGCTGCGACCGGAAGCAGTCATAACCGACCGCTCCGCCCTGCGCAGCTCTTCACGCATGCGCGTGTTCTTGGCCATTTCAAGAGCGGCTAAGCGGGCCACGAGATTTGGCAATAAGCCTTTGGCCGCCTGAGGCTCAAGTGGCTGCTGAGTCAATGGGCACGAGAACCAGTGTTGAGCAACCGCAATTAACGCCGAACGCTGAACGCTGAACGCGGAGCGCCAAACTGATTTCCCCCAAGGTCGTCACACTACATATAAATAGATGTGCTGGCTCTGGTTTTATGAGATTTCACACGCCTCAATTGTGACAATTAACGCCCCCCCGTTTGGCGGTATTTGTCGCCCGAATTGTCTAAGGTTTTGGCTTTTTGTCTGTGAGCAGAGCCAAGGAAAATGACTCGACATGATCGGGGCAGAATCTGTGTTAAAAAAAAGTTCCAACAACGGGCGCACCTCGAGCGGCAGACCTCACCCACTTTACACACTCTTCAAGCCACACAGAATTATGCCACTCGAGATGACGCCGCACAATCGGACAGGTATTTTGTAATGGGTGCTTTAATTACGAGCTTGTAGATTGCTATGGTGAAACTTTAAATTAAGGTCAGCAGGAAGACGGATATGTACATCTTAATACGTCTGAGCCATGTTCAATTCGGATTAACAGAATTCGAAAGACTCATTCGGGTGACATACCATCTTTGGCGGATTTGATTCTAAGCGAATATTAACGAAAAGATTCCGACAACGCCCCGGCATCGGGGGTATTATTCATGTTATGCGACACCTGAGTGCGTCACTGCCATAAAAAACATTTCAACACAAAAACTTAATTGGGTTCTGACTTTAATGGACAACACATATCACCGCGAGTTGTCAACTAATAACGCAGCCGAAACCCAAATTAAACGCGATGCTAGAACTAGTTTACTGAGGGGGCTGCTATTCTTGCCACAAGTTGAAAGAAGATTGGCAAATCCGACAGAGTTTTAAGGCCCGACAGCTGACAAGCCGCTTGAGTACCGCACAAGTGGCATTTTTCCATAACGATTTATCAAAGAGACTCTTTGGCATGTCGTTCACAAAAACACAAAAAGACAAAACAGCAAAAGAATCATAAATCCATAAGAACATTGCGTGGGATGCTTAAACTATTTCCATTTGATTGAGATGATCTCGCTGTTTGGCGCGGCTTTGTTCCATTTTTTATATACACTCTATGTAGCTGCCTTTGTCTCGATTCAATTAAGGTTTTGTTTTAATGACCAGTCTTTAACGACTCTGACTTGACGCGCACTCGTAGAAGCCGTTTAAGTTTATTTTTAGTTTTATTTTTTTGGGCAAATTTATGTGTTTCAATTTGAGAAATGGAATTCCGGGTTCCAAAGATTGTTTTGGCCAAAAGATAAAAGCTTCCAGTGCCTCTCTCTCTCTAAGTCTGTTATCTATGGCTTAATTAGTGCCCGGCAAATTGCTAACTGGTATTTACATAAATCCATGCGAGTGGAGGGATTTCCATCTAATTTGATTTTAGCATCTTCTCGAGTTTATCGAACCGGTCGGCGTGACTTTGCTATCAAGCCAGCCAGCCAGTGCTTTTGTCTATCCACGAGGCCATTCACACTGGAGAGGTATTTAGAACACTTCTAGGCGGTCCAGATCGCCTCGTTCTCGGTCCAATGTCGAGTGGCAGATGCGTCGACCTTGACTCTGAGTGCCGCCCGCGGTAGCTACCAGTTTTTATTAATTAATAGCTTTTAATGCAACCGCATGCGGGTTTGGTTTAGGCCCGGTGTCTCCACCTCTGCCAATAATCAATCAACGGACAAGCAATTAGCGCACAAAAATGCGTTTAATTTGGCTCTCGACTGGTTAATCGCTAATGTGCGTAGAGAGCCTTCGCCGAACGTGACCTATTTGGGCTGCGAACAAAGTGTCGAATTCTTTGCCAAAAACTGATGGTGTCAAAAGCCGACATAGACATTTGCCAAATTGTCGGGCCTTAATAATATGCGGAAATTTTCGATGCTCCGACGGCACTGAAAATGGCCATAAACGGCCGAGGCCCACGTAAATATTGTCAGTCACTCCGACTAAATATAAATATAAATGTCCAAGACTCTGATTTAAGACCATTAATGTTTTCGACAACCAATCACTGAACGATATCTCTCTTTTGCTTGTTTACCTTTTCAGCAGCTTCGTGTGTTTAGCCTGGCTTTGATCGCCCTAAGCCAGAGCTACTTCGCCCAAGCGCAGGTAAGTTGGTGGAGTCTCATTAATCTGAGCATGCTTACCTAATTGAATCGTCCGCAGGGCTACGACTATCCCCAGCCGAAGGTGCCCTTCAGCGATGGCTACTCGTACCCCCCAGCCAGCGATCCCCTTTCCGCCGCCCGCCCCGAAAGTGAGCGATGGCTACTCCTACCCGAAGCCAGCCATTCCGTTCCCACCGCCGCTGCCCAAGTACACGCCGCCGGTGCAGCAGATCATCCCGCAGGAGCCCAAGCTGGTCAGTGGGTACTCCTACCCCAAACCAGCGGTGCCCTTCCCGCCGCCCACGCAGCCACCTCAGGTCAAAGTGACCGAGGGATACGCCTACCCCACGCCATCGATTCCCTTCCCACCACCGCCGCAGCCGAAGCAGGGATACGATTACCCCAAGCCCGTCGTTCCGTTCCCGCCACCAACCAACCCACCGCCGCAGGTGAAGCAGGGCTACGACTACCCCAAGCCAGCCATTCCGTTCCCACCTCCGACGGCGCCACCTCAGAAGTATCTTCCGCCAGTGACCACGACTCCAGCACCGCCACCACCACCACCGCCGACCGTCAAGTACCTGCCACCTCCCCAGGTGAAGCAGGGATACGATTATCCTAAGCCAGCCATTCCCTTCCCACCACCCACGAACCCACCGCAGAAGTACCTGCCCCCTGTTGTGCCCACCAGTCCACCTGTGCCCAAATACATTCCCCCACCCACTCCCACCTACATTCCACCACCTCCAAAGAAGCAGGGGTACGACTATCCCAAGCCCGCCATTCCATTCCCACCACCCACTGCGCCACCACAGAAGTACCTGCCTCCTGTGACCACAACTCAAGCTCCACCTCCACCACCATCACCGAAGTACCTGCCACCTCCTCAGGTGAAGCAGGGCTACGACTACCCGAAGCCAGCCATTCCATTCCCTCCACCCACCGCACCACCACAGAAATACTTGCCACCTGGGACCACCACGAAAGCACCTCCACCACCACCGCCACCAACTCCCAAATACCTTCCTCCACCTCAAGTGAAGCAGGGCTACGATTACCCAAAGCCCGCCATTCCATTCCCACCACCGACTAACCCACCACAGAAGTACCTGCCACCTGTTGTGCCCACAACGCCACCAACGCCCAAGTACTTGCCACCTGTGAAGCCAACCAGCCCCCCACAGCCAAAATACTTGCCACCCCCGCAGCCCAAGTCGGGTTATGATTACCCTAAGCCCGCCATTCCATTCCCACCACCAACTAACCCACCACAGAAGTACCTTCCACCTGTTGTGCCGACCAGTCCACCACAGCCAAAGTACTTGCCACCTGTGAAGCCAACCAACCCGCCGCAACCCAAGTATCTGCCACCTCCGCAACCCAAGTCGGGTTATGACTATCCCAAGCCCGCCATTCCATTCCCACCACCGACTAACCCACCACAAAAGTACCTGCCGCCAGTGGTCGTTACCCCACCTCCAGTGCCAAAATACCTGCCGCCTACAAGCCCACCAACGCCCAAGTACTTGCCACCCCCGCAGGTGAAGCAGGGATACGATAATCCCAAGCCCGCCGTTCCATTCCCACCACCAACTGCACCACCACAGAAGTACCTTCCTCCTGTGACCACAACTCAAGCACCTCCACCACCACCACCACCTCCCACACCCACGTACCTACCTCCACCACAGGTGAAGCAGGGCTACGACTATCCCAAGCCCGCCATTCCATTCCCACCACCCACGGCGCCACCACAGAAGTACCTGCCTCCTGTGGCCACGACCCAAGCACCACCACCACCTCCCACACCCAAGTACCTGCCTCCCCCTCAGGTGAAGCAGGGCTACGACTATCCCAAGCCAGTCATTCCATTCCCACCACCACCCGCTCCCAAATCCGAGGGATACTCCTACCCGAAACCGGCGATTGCCTTCGACTTCTAAAGAACAACTCATCCGTCGATCGGCTGCCACTCATCACTGATTAAATGACACAATTGCCTCTGTGTGCGCATAGTGATCCTTAGGAACGTACGAAATTGAATAATTGTAATTAACTGTAATATTTAATTTAATACCTATCGGGGATCTTGCCAGCGGACTCTCCACTCGAACTTAGTCATTAAAATATGTTTATTAAATTTATGTTTTAACGATTACGCAATGCTGCCGAATTAAAAACGACAATGTGAATGTTTAAATAGGTTATTTTTATTGGTCAGACGATTTTTCTTGTGGGAGAACACTAAAAATCAAAACAAATGCTTGAAAATTAAATAAATATTATTATTGCTTGAGATGTACTACATACAAAAAATTGAGACAACATAAAATGAGATTAGTCTAAAGTCAAAATGGATAGCAGCCTAATAAACTAAAGCATCTTAAATCCACTTTAATAGTTTCAAAATCAGTAGTTTTTTTAATTGCACCAGCCGAAAAGTATATAACAATCGGGCTCCAAGAATTATACTACAAAAGATCAAAACAACATACAAAAAAATATGTCCACAAAAAACAGTTTTCGTACCATGAACTGAACCAGTTCTCTTGGACCCTTAAATAAAAATTCTATTTGGAAATAATGTGTTAAAATTCTTTTAAATTTTAAATATTTTTAGTAGCGTTTTTTAAACTGAAGGTTATGTTTGTACAGGTTCATAGTGTGGCTTCCGTAACATAGTCCTGATTGGCAAATACGCAAACTTTTATTACTAAAGGCCAAAAAGTATACCTCAAATAATCTCAGCATTGACTTTGAACTTGAAGATTGAGACGACAATGCACTTAACGGAGAAAAAATTAATTTCGGATCATTAGGCGAGTTTCCGCATCTCGGACTGAACTAGTTTTTTCGTCTCCGCTTGACGACAGCTCGGCATTAATGCTTAATAATCGCCGGCTTTAATGGCCTAAGCTTTTTACTCTATTATGCAATATTATTGTTAAGCAAATAAGTGTGCTACCAGCACCAAAGATTCCTGTTTAGGGAATATTAATAAGGCAGTGGAATATTTTTTTTTCGATATTTTATTATTATACTTTCTCAAATTCGTTCCCCAGCAGATTCAGTCGGAGTGACCGAAAAACCCAGAGCCAAAAAGCGGGATTTGGCCCGGTTTGCTGGGGCATTCGGTGGAGCCTCTAGTAACGGTGACGGCGGAGGACCACACGCTTGTGGGTCTTGTAGCGGTATCCGTCGTTGGCGGAGTAGGAGTGGGCGGGAGCGGACTCGGCGGACTCGTAGCTCTCAGCGGGGGCGGAGTAGGAGGCGGCGGGCGCGGAGGCGGCACCGCTGTAGTACTCGGGAGCGGCGTAGCTCTGGGCGGGAGCGGAGTAGGACACAGCCGGGGCGGAAGCGGCAGCGGTGTAGGTCTGGGCGGGAGCCGAGTAGCTCTGGGCGGGGGCAGCGTAGGACACAGCCGGAGCGGAGGCAGCGGCGGTGTAGCTGGGAGCGGGGGCAGAGTAGACTGGAGCGGGAGCGGAGTAGACTGGAGCGGGGGCGGAGGCTGCTGGGGGCAGGTACTCGTTGGCGGGCAGGTGGCTCACATCACGACGGTGACGGCGGAGCACCACGCGCTTGTGGGTCTTGTAGCGGTATCCATCGTTGGCCGAGAAGGAGTGGGCGGGGGCGGAGGCAGCAGTCTCGTAGCTCTCAGCTGGGGCGGAGGCCTCGGCGGCGTAGCTCTGGGCAGGAGCGGAGTAGCTCACGGCCGGGGCAGAGGCGGCAGCGGTGTAGGTGGCAACGGGAGCAGGAGCGGAGTAGACCGGAGCGGGGGCAGAGGCTGCGGGGGGCAGGTACTCGCTGGTCGGGGCGGAGGCGGCTCCCTGGAAGGGGGGCAGGTAGTCGTTGGAGGGCACTCCGCGACGGTGGCGACGCAGGACGACGCGACGGTGGGTCTTGTAGCGGTATCCGTCGGTGGCCGAGAAGGTGTGGGCGGGAGCGGACTCGGCGGACTCGTAGCTCTCGGCGGGAGCGGCGTAGCTCTCAGCGGGGGCAGAGGCGGCGGCGGTGTAGGTGGCAGCGGGGGCGGCGTACGACACAGCTGGGGCGGAAGCGGCAGCGGTGTAGGTGGCAGCGGGAGCCGAGTAGCTCTGGGCGGGAGCGGCGTAGGAGACAGCAGGAGCCGAGGCAGCAGCGGTGTAGGTGGCAGCGGGGGCGGAGTAGGAGACAGCTGGGGCGGCGTAGGACACGGCTGGGGCAGAGGCGGCAGCGGTGTAGGTGGCAGCCGGGGCAGCGTAGCTCTGGGCGGGAGCGGCGTAGGACACAGCTGGGGCGGAAGCGGCAGCGGTGTAGGTGGCCGCTGGGGCGGAGTAGGAGGCAGCCGGGGCGGCGTAGGAGACAGCCGGGGCGGAGGCGGCGACCGAGTAGCTGGACTCAGCGGGGGCAGAGTAGGAGGCAACCGGGGCGGAGGCCTCTACGCTGTAGCTGGCAGCTGGGGCGGAGTAGGATGCCACCGGGGCGGAGGCAGCCCCCTGGCGGGGAGGCAGGTACTGGCTGGAGGGCAGATGGCTGACATCGGCGGCCACGACGGCGACGAAGGCGCAGATCAACAAGAATTTCTGCAAAAAGAGTAGAAGGTACATGCTGATTAGGTTGGTATCCTCGGGGAGGACTAGATCCTGGCTAGTACCATTTTGCTGGGTGCTCGGCTGTCCAGTTGATCGGAGAATGCAAATGGAAGTGATGCTTTTACCGATGTTCTGCCGCTTATTTATATGATTCTAATCACCGGCCTGCGGCAGGAAATTTGCATTTGGCTATTTAATTTATGAATTTGTATTTAGTGACACCGCCAAAAAACATATCCATTATAGTTTTGCAATCAGGTTTGCAACGGGTTTTGCGCTCTGCTCATCGGCAGCATGAACCAGTGCCGGGGGATCTCCCCTCCGCAGCCCCACCTTATGCCTTTAATATACTTGGCTTAGACTTAGTGGCCAAGATCAGGTTCCATTGTTCCCCCATCCGCACTTGCCAATTTCTCCCAGGCCAACGCGTGCCGATTCTGATCCACTCCAGCTCAATTTGCTTAATTATCGGCAATTAAATTGTGGCTTAATCAACTGGTACTAATCGGGTTCTATGACTCCGGTTAATAAAATCAGATGCTCGATTGCGGAGCGGAGAAAAGGCCGAAAACAGTTGGTTGAAAAGCGAAATGACCGCCGAAAAAGGCAATCAAATTGCGGAAATAAATCACGAACTCAATGCCGAAACAATACATCTGACTGTTCGAGCCGATTTGTATGTCAAAAGCCTGAATGAAAACCTGAACGAGAAGAACTAAACACACTTATGGAAAAATTAACGATTGGACAGATCAAGTCTAAAGAAGCTTAACAATGTATTGGCCATAAATTAAAGCAACATAATTAATCCAATTTTTTTATAAGCTGGTAAGCAAGACTGCGTGGTTTAATTAGAAATGTAAAAATGCATTCTGAAATTGTGAATTATTGGATATAGTAGATTGAATTGGTTTTATATATAAAAATAATCCTCAACACCTTCAAAAGCCTCTTAATATTCTAAATAATTTAAATGTGAACTCAGTGTTTCTTTTTATGAAAGCTTTGATATTGTACTCTTAATTTGTATTGCTTAAAAATTCTCTTAACTCAGATATTCATTCGACAAAACAAATATCCCCCGTTTACTATAGGTAACCAATCTAAATGCGTCAAGCAGGCTTGAACTTTTTAAAGATGAGAGTGCGGAAGCATCTGCCGAAGAAGATTTGGAATTAATTCAATTATATGCCAAGTATCCATTGTTTGCTCAAGCCCACGTTTACGTTTATATAATTAGATCATGGCATTTTTGGCTCTCTCTTCTTCACTGCTCAACATTTGCTTTACGGTACATGAAAGGTGTCTATTTGGGATGTGGCTATAATTATCATAAGCTCTTCAAAATGAAGAATGAATGAAGAGCTTTTCATCAAACGTATAAATTATTTATTACCTATTTATTATTTGTTATTATTGCCATAGATTTTAAACTTTTTTTCAAACCTTTGTCCAAAACCACAAATGAAACACACTTTGAATTTATGGATTCGTTATCGTATTATTGTATTTGTTCGAATGAAAAGGAGGTATTCTAATAGTAAGGTCAGCACTCCAAAATGAGCACAATTCGATCACCTAGTGAGGCCGTTATCGCATCATTTAGTGGCGGCGGATCACAACGCGCTTGTGGGTCTTGTAGCGGTAGCCATCGTCGGCGAGGACATGGGCGGGAGCCACCTCCACGGAGTTCTCCACGGGGGCCAGGTACTCGGCAGCGGGAGCGGCCTGCACGGGGGGCAGGTACTCGTTGGACAGCTCGTTCACGTCACGACGGTGGCGGCGGACAACCACGCGCTTGTGGGTCTTGTAACGGTAACCATCATCGGCGAGAACGGTCTCGGGAGCAGCCTCAACGGGAGCGAGGTACTCGTTGGAGGGAGCAACTGGGGGCAGGTACTCGTTGGAGGGCAGCTCGTTGACATCACGACGGTGACGACGGACAACCACGCGCTTGTGGGTCTTGTAACGGTAGCCATCATCGGCAAGGATGGTCTCTGGCTCGGCCTCAACTGGGGCCAGGTACTCGTTGGAGGGAGCAATTGGGGGCAGGTACTCGTTGGACAGCTCGCTCACGTCACGACGGTGGCGACGGTAGACGACGCGCTTGTGGGTCTTGTAGCGGTAACCATCATCGGCCAACTCGTGGGCGGGCTCAGCCTCAACCTCGACGGGAGCGGGGGCAGCCAACTGAACGGGGGCGGCGATCTGGACGGGAGCGGGAGCTGGGGCAACAACCTGGACGGGAGCGGCAACTGGGGGCAGGTACTCGTTGGAAGGAGCAGCCTGTGCTGGGGGCAGGTACTCGTTGGAGGGCAGGTGGCTCACATCACGACGGTGACGGCGGAGCACAACGCGCTTGTGGGTCTTGTAACGGTAACCATCATCAGCAAGAACGGTCTCGGGAGCAGCCTCAACGGGAGCGAGGTACTCGTTGGAAGGGGCAGGAACTGGGGGCAGGTACTCGTTGGAGGGCAGCTCGTTGACATCACGACGGTGACGACGGAGAACCACGCGTTTGTGGGTCTTGTAACGGTAGCCATCATCGGCAAGGACGGTCTCGGAAGCAGCCTCAACTGGGGCCAGGTACTCGTTGGAAGGAGCAACGGCCTCCTGGACAGGGGGCAAGTACTCGTTGGCCAGTTCGTTCACGTCACGACGGTGGCGGCGGAGCACCACACGGCGGTGGGTCTTGTAACGGTAGCCATCATCAGCCAGCTCGTGGGCGGGCTCAGCCTCAGCCTCAACTGGGGGCAGGTACTCGTTGGAGGGAGCGGCGGCCTGGAAGGGGGGCAGGTACTCGTTGGAGAGCTCGTTCACATCACGACGGTGGCGGCGGACGACCACGCGCTTGTGGGTCTTGTAACGGTAGCCATCATCGGCGAGAACGGTCTCGGGAGCAGCCTCAACGGGGGCGAGGTACTCGTTGGAGGGAGCAGGCACAGGGGGCAGGTACTCGTTGGAGGGCAGCTCGTTGACGTCGCGGCGGTGGCGACGCAGGACCACGCGACGGTGGGTCTTGTAGCGGTAGCCATCATCGGCCAGCTCGTGGGCGGGCTCGGGCTCGGCGGCCACGGGGGGCAGGTACTCGTTGGAGGGGGCGGCCACGATCTGCTGCTCCTGGACGGGAGGCAGGTACTCGTTGGAGGGCAGGTGGCTGACATCGGCAGCCACGGCTGCGATCACGGCGAAGGCGACCAGGAAGAGTTTCTGCAAGAGTCAGAGGGGTGAGTGTTAGTGGGCCTAGTCCTTTGGCGGTGGCTCGATCTCAATGGGATGGGATCCAAATGGGGGAGCCAAAGTGCCCGATCGTACCATATTGTCCGTTGAGTTGCTTGTTCACAGCAGTAAAACCGAAACTCTAATGAGGAATACGCAGAACCTTTTGGTATTTATACAGATTCTCCGCTCTTCGCTGGCCATTACAGAGCTGGCGTTTTTGGCCGCTGCCCGAATAAAAGACGTCGCTGCCGGCGTCGGCGTCTGTAAATTCGCACGATTTTGGCTTTGGCTTTGCGAGGCTGCGGGTTCTAAGCCTCTCTTCTGCGGCTCAAACCCTGAGACGGCCAACACAACACGATCGACGGCGGCTGCGACGCTTACATTCGCACAAATCTCAAGCTCGAGAGCAGTTGATGGCTAAAAAAAAGTTTAATGGCCAAAATCGTTCGCACGGATTCTCTTAATTGTTTTATTTAATCATATGCAAAAGATTTGATGGACATCAACGTTTTGGACAAGTCGAGCGTGCGCACACACCGACACGTCCGTATAAACTTGGCTCTCTCGCCTTGTTTACACCTCTTTGTGTTTGTTTTGCTTGCCTTGTTTCATTCAAGCCGCCGCTCGATTTAAATTCAAATGATGAGTTATATGTTTCAATCAAATTCGCTCACTTCAATAGGTTTGAAGCTCCAGCCGAAAGTCGATTATTTTGATCGCAGCCTCTTCTCTTTGTGGCGATATCGTCGCCGTCCATTAATCACAAAATAGGAACTGACCGAGCGCTGGCCATTCAATTTTTGGAAATATGATATAATTATGCCTGATGCCTATGAAAACCTCAAGTTTGTAAACACACTGCCGGATATTGGACTGAGAGCTCTTCAGAAAAGTCTATTGTCGATTCTGAGAATCAATTGTTTTACGCGGATGCAAGCTTATTTATTTAATGCTTTGGATGGTGAAAAGGTCCCTATGAATACCGAAGCCAAGTTTTTAAGGCACTTACTATAAAAAAGTAAAATATTTTGTAACTAATTCGCGTTCCGCAACTTGAAGTTTCTTCACCAAAACTGTTTGATGCCTAAAAGAGATCATAGAAGTATTTATATATAAAAGTTCGTTTAAAAGAAATTTGTTTATTTATAAGTCTCTAAATTTGGTTAACAACTAAACACCAGACTTGACATTTGGTTTGCAACTGATTTCTGTGACACTCCTGTTTATAACCTCTCACTAAAGAGTGTTACTTTGAAATCGAACATGGACATGCATGCGATGTTCCAATAAATCAAGTCGGGTTGATTGCACCAGTGCCTTGGGAGAACAAAATTAAGCTTATTTATGAGTTAACTTACTCTTAAACGCACGCTTCAGCTGATAAAAGGGGTTTGAATGTTCGATTCAGATTTATTGAGGCGTTTAGAGGGGAACGCAGTCCATCAATTCATGCTAATCAATTTGTTTGGAGCCAATGAAAACCGAGGAGTGCAGCAGTGGCAGCTGCTACTATTCGGCAATGATTAATGGCCAAATCGAAGAGGGGGAGTACATGTTTATTTTTGTGGCCATATTTCGGAGTATTTGCAACATCGAAGCCAAAAAGTCAGCCATGAAGCAAGGCTCGTTAGAGTTGCTAAGATCTAATCGGTTCCGTGAAACTGAAGGATAAACGATGACTAAGTTTGGATGGGTCACAGTAGAGCTGCGAAAGTCAAGGCCAAGATCTAAGGGGTTGCCTGTACTATTCTGATATTGATGGAGCTTTGGGTTGATGATGGTGATGGATGGTTGTCACGCGCCACCAATCGGCGCCTTTTGCTCAGAAGACGGCTCTTAATAGCACCAGTTTTGTCTAATTAACTCGGGTCATAAAGAAGCTGGCTGGTATCAAATAACAACTATATCATTTTTCCTATTTCCAAATGCATTAAGCTTTAGAGCCTTACAATTCTAGTTTTGTTTCCCATTGTTCGCCTGAGACAATCCATTTCATTTCCTGTGTGTGTGCAGCACTAAAAAAAGGTCGCAAACTACGACTATCAACGAGCTGAATTTATGGCTTTGCCAATTTACATTTTAATCACTGGCAGCATCGCGCGTTCTAGCACATTCTGCTTCTATTGTGGTCCAGTTGGCCATAAATGTTCTACACGCATGCTGCCAGTCAATAGATCACGATAACCCGGCCAACGCATCATCTCATCTGGTTATTATTTTTATATTATCCATCAGTAGTTCGGTGAGCCGGTCCGAACACTTAAAAGTTCCATTTCGGAATCGGTGTTTATGCTGAAAAATAGCAAAATATGCAAATTAGTGAATGGCAGCCGGGGTCCCATATTCGCCCCATAGAATGGGACAAAAACCGATCACAATGGCCACAGACAACACTTAAATCGTCAGTTTTGCCCGATAAGTAAGCGTGGGCCCCGAATTAGCGTAACCTATAAAAAGAAACCAGGAGAGCGGATCGGCGAAAGGAGACCTCCGACTGATTGTGTTATCGGATAATGGATAATGGATGGGCACGTTTGATCGCAATCCCCAAATGGAGTTTCCGAATCACTATATTCCAGATTCAGTCTGCCTTCGCTTTTGGTTTTGCATAATCCCACAGGCCGCGTCGCTCTGTCTAACAAAAACCATTTCGCCCCGGCTTAATTTATGCAAATTCTATTCTAATTAATATTATGGCCATTCGATTTTTGCTTAACAGGCGGCAACATCTTTCTCGTGGCTGCTGCCTTTCCTTTGTCTTAGTCTTTGTCTTTTGGCCGGCATAGTCACACGCGCTAGTTAATTTAGTTTTTAAGATACTCTTCCGAGGGATGTTTGCTCTAGGTGAACTAATCCATGATTTGTTATTTACTTAAACAAATATAGAAATTATAAAGAGCTCCAATTAATATAAAAAATAACAAAGAATAATTTTAAGAACAATATAGAGATGTTACCTAATTAAATTAAAATTATAAATACACATTCATAATATTCAATTCAATTTCTTTAATTCTTGTTTATGTTAAGGAACATTTTTTTTTGGAACCCCAACTTGTTTAATATGTAATTACAATTCTTCTACGTCATTCCATTTTTGTTTGTCCAATTAAGCTCGTTCTATGTACTAAATCAAGCTGTTTATTTTTACGGTAAAGAGTAAGGCATTGTCGATACAGAAAGACCTCGATCTCCACTAGCCAAGTACACGTTTTAGTCTTTTATGATAAATTTTAACGTTTTTTTTTAGCCTGTGCTGCTCTTTTTTCGCTTAACTAAAATGTATGATAAATCATTCTTTAAACCCGTTTCCAAATCGCCCCACTCTTTTGGGCCGGCGACTAGAAAGTGCCACCACCGCGATGAAGCGCATCTCCAGCGCTCAGAAAACAAAACAAAACCGAAAAGAGCCAAATTATAAATATACAGAAATCAACGCCAGGCAACAGGGCAGAAAAAAAAAGAACTCCGCACACTTTTAACACTCGGCTCGGGGCCAATAAATAATGGATACGCGTGGCAGCAGAAATTTGGCAAGTTCCTTTCATGTAATTTCTGTTTGGATTCTAATTCTGAATCTAATTCTCTGGGGCTGCCCGCGGCTCATAGAGTGGTTCTCTGTTTGATGGCTGATGGATTCATGAGGCTTAAAGTGCGATCGGGCCTGAAATCGTATTTTGGGTTGTGGGCTGTCTAAAATTAATTATGTGGCTGCCAAGTGCTGAAAATTAATCATCCTCGCATGTGGAGCTCATCGATTTCTTCGGCTATGTTTAACGGATGACGCAAGGCGGAGTTACACGATATCCGATTAGATCTGATTCAAAAAATCTGTAACCACAGAGATTTAGCTTTAGGTTGAACATCTGGAGGGGCATTCAATAATGGCTACACAGAAAGAAATGAATGCATGACGTTTATTGATAATTAAAACTTGTTTAATTATCTCAAATTAAATATTCATTCCAAATAAATATTCAGAATCGTGGTGAAGTTATTAAATTAAAGTGCTCGGTTGCATATCAGCTGAATAAATGTGCGGAATAAATATCTCTTCATTGTAGAATTTTATTTTGAATAAACTTAATGTGATTAATTCAAAGTAAGCGAAATGTACAAGAGATCTTCAATTTTTAATCTTTTTTAAGGCAAAACCAATTTGTTTGATTTAGGTAAATCTGTAATTAAATAATGAAACCCTTTTTCTCCGTGTTCCTGGAAAAGTATTGAGTGACGGTCTGCAATATTTGATAGCAATAATTGCCAAAGAAGCGGGTGGCTCGCGGATCATTGAACTCCGAGCTGAACCCACTCGCTTTGCATAGCCACAAGCCGGCGAAGTTCGCACAGACCTCATCCAAAATTTATTTCTGTAATCAGCGGGCTTTGAATGCCCTAGCGGTCTCCGTTAATTTTATGCCGAGCTCAACGGAGGAGTTTGATCCGAAAGTTTGCCGTAAATTATTTTAATTTAATGCTACTTGTAGACATTTTTTTTTTTTGCCCTGTTGCGGGCATTTGGCTCACTTAAGCGAGCTAATTTCACCGGGGGAAGTGCGCTGATTTATGGGCCGCAGCTAAGAGCTTTCTATGGGCTGTGCATTGGATTGGGTCAAGAGCCGAGGAGATCGGCTAATCCGCTCTGACCTACAGTTGGCCAAAAATAGACGAACAATGGACTGCCTACATTTGATGTAGGGGTCCGTTCGCTAATATTGACATTGATGGGCGAATTTAAACATTACCGCAGCCCGCCTAAGTCTGGCAAAAATTAATAATCATAACAAAAAAACACAAAGATCGATGTCTAACATACGCACAGATTTTTATCCATGGATCGCAATATGCGATTGGCCAAAAACGGATACAAATCCACCGAATTTGTTTGGCCAGCTCACCTCTATGCAGTCAACTGGCCAAGATTTGCTGCTCGGTGAAACAATAGACTTTGTTTTATTTCTATTTTGATTTCAGTTGATTGGATTTGCATGAGAATCGAATCTAAATGATTGCATAAATTTATGTCGACAATTCATTTTGCCCATGTGTTTGCGAGCCTCTCTCGCTCTGAACTAGTTTTCTTTCCGCGTACCCTAATGGACTTCAAATATAACTCTTTTTTTTTATAAAAAGCCATCTCTGCCATTGCCAGAACTTTAATGCGATAATTTATTTGCACGTGTGTGGTTATGTTAATATGGGTTACAGAAGTTCTTTCGACGCAAACAAACCCATAAAACACATTTTATATAAAATATGGACTTCTAATGTGGAACTCATTTCTGTGTAGTCTGGTTTAAGTTTACTATGAAAACTTTCTAATGAAGCTTTACTTTTAAAGCCGTGTAAAATGCTCGACAAACTTCAAAGCAGCTTAAAGCGGAAAAGGAAATGAGCACAAAGTTTGGTGCCTGAAAGTAGGCTACATAAAATGAAACAACTTTGATTCGACTGCTCTTGTAGCAAATGCTGTAAAGTATATGATTTAATGTTGGGTATAATACGTTCTGTTATTTATAAACTTAAAACTCGAAGGTGTGCTTGGGCTTCTGGTAGTGATAGCCATCTTCACGGTAATCGGTATCGTACTCAGAGGCCGAAGTTCCCTGATCCAGATTCTTTCGCTTCGAACTGCTCCTGTGGGATCGGTGTTTCTTGGGAGCAACTACATAGGTCGACCGACGGTTACTGGCTGCAAAGCCTAGGAATCCAGATTGGGAGTCGCCATCTGCATCATCATCATCATCAGCGGGCAGCAGAATGGATCGTTGATTGGGATTGACAGATACCAAAGCCCTCTGATGTCCATGATGCGGATCGCTGTAGAAGTTTCCATCGATGATGTTGGTGTCCTGCTGGTTGCCCAGTGCATTTGTGGGTCCCTGCAGATGTGGCTGGCCAAAAACGTTGCCATTCAGCACATTCAGTCCTTGGTAGTTGGATCGGTTGGGCGGACGTCGGTTGTTGAGGCGTGGCACTTGTCCCGCCGCCAATTGAGCTCCCACAGAAGGATCAAAAATACCCTGATTGGGATCAAAGGCTCCCTGGCCAGCGGCCAGTTGAGCTCCTTGCGGTGGATTCACTGGATTGGGTCGCTGGTTGGGAACAGCCTGACCAGTTCCAAGTTGTGCACCCAAGGCGGGATCAAATGGTGCTTGTGCAATGGGTCTTTGGCTTGGAATACCTTGACCAGTGCCAAGTTGCGCTCCAAAGGAGGGATCAAAAGGTGCCTGTCCACTTGGCCTTTGGTTGGCAACACCCTGACCAGTTCCCAACTGGGCTCCTCCTAAAGAGGGATTGTATCCACCTCCAAGCTGTACATTGGGATTGTATTGGACTTGCACAGGAGCCTGAGCCACGGGTCTTTGGGCCACTGGAGCTTGACCACCAAAGGATGGATCAAATGGAGCACCGGCAGCAGCTTGGGCGCCGAAAGAGGGATCAAATCCTTGACCTGCTCCCAGTTGAGCTCCTCCTGCTAGTTGAGCTCCTCCCAGCTGTGCTCCTCCCGCAGCCTGTTGACCTCCAGCTGCGGCATTTCCTATGGCTCCCAGTTGAGCTCCCAGGGAAGGATCAACGAAGAAGTTCAACCGCTTGCCACCTCCGTATCCGCCAAAGTCAGGACCCAAAGGAGGACGCTGACCATTTCCCAAAACAGCCAATTGGCCACCGGGAACAGGAGCAGGTTGACTGGCAGGAAGATTAGCTTCAGTGGGAGCCAAAGCACCGGCTGGAAGCTGTGCGCCAACAGGAACAGAAGGTCCACAGCCCGGATTAACATTTCCTGGTCCAATAAACTGGCAGTTGGGTCGGAAGCCTGGCGCCTGGGCTCCTGTGTTCGCCTGGGCTCCAGCAGGATCCTGTGCTCCTGGCCCGAAATCTGGTCGAGTAAGGGAGTTCAGCTCCGAGTCCTGGGACTGCACATTGATCTGAGTGTGGTGATGGAACACAGAGTTCGGGGCACTGGCATACAGAATCCGACTTGGTCGACGGCGACGGTAAACCACTTGAGTGGCGGCAGGGGTGAACAAATCCCGATTGTAATCCGTTCGAGCGTGGGGTGTGCTGTGCTTGTAGTGGATGTGCTGGGTCTTCACCTCGGGCTTCTTGTCGTAGTGATGGTAGTGATCCACTCGCTGCTTCTTCGGCTCCTCGTGGTGATACTCCTTGTGGTGCTGTGGTTCCTCGTGCTCATCCTCCTTGTGGTAAACCACCCTTTCGCTGGTGTGCTTTTCCTTTTTGTAATAAGGTTGGTCCTTATCCTTTTCCTCCTGGGGAGGCAGATAGTGGGACTCCTCGTCCTCATCCTCGTGCTCCTTCGAGTGGTGGTGCCGCTGGTGCTTGTGGTGTTTCGCCTGGGAAACATCGGCCAGACAGACGATGGCCAAAAGGCTCAAAACCAGGACCAAAAGGAGTTTCTGGAATACAAATGTTTAAGGTGAGTTAAGAACCCCGACTTATCGTTGATCTCTAACCATTGCTCAAGTGCCAGTGATTCTGAGCAGCAGTGGATGCAACTTTTATACTCTCTTTGGATTAGGTTGCATCCCCACATCGAGCCCCCAAAATCCAATAAAAACTGAAAGCGAAACCTGTTGTCGAGCGTGAGAAATCGATTCCCCATATTGTGTGACCCATTTGTTCCTATTGAATAGCCGCAAATTAATTTCTATCGGATATTCTAAATTTAGCATATCGAAAGTGTCCCGTAAATTAGTCAGAACAAAACGTTCGAATTTATCGACCTAAGTACGCTGCACGGGCCGTGCAAAACAAATGGGTTCTTTGATCTCACTTTTTTGCCTAGCTTTAATGAAAGTGAAACTCTTTCCAAAAAAAAAAACAAAAGAAAAAACCAAATAACATCTCGTTTAAGAACCAAAATCAGTTAAAAAGATTTTTTATGCTGGGTATCAGATAATAGTTTGACTTTAACTCAAAGTATAATAGCTATTTCCGCATAATAAACCACAGATGTTTGCTTTGATTCGCAAATGTTTTGCTCGACTAACGGTCTACCATCTTGAGGTTTTAACAAAAGATGAAGTCATTTTATTTTTTATCTTATCTGAAAATGTTGCATTCTAGACTATCATTCTAACAAAATACATTAATAATGATCTAAGGTTGTTGCTCCTTGTATGACATTTTGTATTGTTATTAGTTTAAAATAGTTTCTTTTCCTCGTTTGTGTTTTGAGTATTTTTATTTTGGTAAAACTGTACCCCAAGGCATTCTTGAATAATAAGCTTATTATCATATTATCGTTTTTAGTAATTTAATGCTCAAATAAAACTGCATGTTTTCATAATTTTTGATTGCGTTTTTATTGTCGTATCATATTATCGTATTGGCATAATCGTTGGCGGTTCTTAAGCGCGGTGCTTGAACACGCGACGGCGGACGGTCTTGTACTTGTATCCCTGCTGGCTGGCGGCGGGCTGGCTGTAGTCGTATCCCGAGCGGGAGGGAGCGGGGGGCGGAGGCGGCGGCCTCGAAGACAGGTCCGGCGGCCTCGAAGGCGGGAGCGGGGGCGGGGGCGAAGGACTGCACGGGGGCGGGAGCGGGAGCTGGGGCGGCGAAGCTCTGCACAGAAGCGGAGGCGGCGGCGTGGTGGTGCACCTGAGGAGCCGGGGCAGCGTGGTGGTGCACCTGGGGAGCAGGTGGCACGTAGGACCTGGACGGAGCAGGAGCGGACTCAGCGGCGTGGAAAACTGGAGCTGGAGCGGCTACGGGAGCGGGGGCGGGAGCAAAGGATTGGATGGGAGCGGGAGCGGGGGGCAAAGGATTGGACGGGAGCGGGAGCAGAGGCGGCGGCATGGTGGTGCACCTGAGGAGCAGGTGGCACGTAGGTCCTCACTGGAGCGGGAGCAGACTCGGCGGCGTGGAAAACTGGAGCGGGAGCGGGAGCGGGGGCGGGGGCGAAGCTCTGCACAGGGGCGGAAGCAGCGGGTGCTGGGGGCACGTAGGTCCTGACCGGAGCAGGAGCAGAGGCGGCGGGCTGATGGTGCACCTGGGGAGCCGAGTAGGACCTCACGGGGGCGGGGGCGGCCACTGGGGCATTGTAGTTGTAGCCCGATTCGGCGGACACGCAGCCAATAACAGCCAAAGTCAAGATGAAGAATTTCTAAAAGGCAAACAGAACAAAAAAGAATATCCAAGATCCTCTGAAGATTCACAGCTGGCAGATCCTTACCATTTTCGCAGATCTGTTGGCTTTGAGGGCAACCAATCGAATAATATCTTTTGCCAGCAGCTCCTGTACTTTTATACGAATTAGCGAATCCGCGGCTCCAAACGGAAGTGCTGAGTATCATAAATCAAGCAAACGTTTTTCGCGTCGAAAAATTTGTTTAATTAGGCAAACAGATACCTCGACCACGGCACCAGATGGGGCTTGTTTTTATCAGTTAGGTACGCTGCGGAGTTTGGATTAAAAACTCTCATTTTTTGCTGTCATGCGGAATATAAATATTCATCAGAATACCCATATCACAGCTTTATTTATTTTTGGTAAGACAGTTTATCGCAAACCTGATAGTTTAGACCCGTCTTCGCAAAGCTTTTTTCATTTGCCAAAGCTTTTTCAATAACCAAACTGGAATGGTTTAAATGAAAACAGTAGCTGGAAGTTACTTAAAACTCGATCCAGAACAAGAGGTATAACAATTAACTGGTCATAAACTATCTGAGTTAGCCGTAAACTTTATCCATTTAGGAACTGCAGACAAACTGCTGAAGCTAATGACTTAATGTTCCGCTAACTGGATTGACTGATTGAATGATTAATTGCTTGGGGACGCCTCAAGATCGCGGCATCGTTTAAATTCACTGAGGTCTCAAACGATTCCTCCAGAGGTTAATGGCACTTGGAGCCCTTTTTAGCATAATAGTGTTATCTGATTTCTGTTGACGCCCTCTGCTGATCTTAAAACTAAACAAAGTCTTTGTTTATGTTCCTGAGCGTACTTTATTGTTATTTCTATAATTCGGGAATATGCAAATCGATCGAGTCTGGCATGCAAATGAACCTACTAAATGTATTTTTGCATTTCTTTGCAGAGATGGAGAATTAGCATTCGAATATAGTTGGCGTCGTGGGTTAAACCACAAACCAGTTGAGTTGGTGGTGGCTCAGAAATGTGGTTTTCATCTTCGTTTTTGGCTGATGATGCATCTCACTGGGGTGGCAGGTAGGTGTTGCGGGGTGCGGGTGGCAGATAGGTGTTCCGTGGCACGGAGATCACCTGTGGTGCAGGCCGAGAAATCACTTGGGGTGGTGGCAAATAAGTGTTGCGAGGAGCAGCCACTGAGATCACTTGTGGGGCAGGACGAGAAATGGTTACCACCTGCGGTGCGGGACGCGAAATCACTTGGGGAGGTGGCAGATAGGTGTTGCGGGGGGCAGGCACCGAGATCACTTGTGGGGCAGGACGGTAAGACGGGATCACTTGGGGCACCACACGAGGAGCAGGGGGCAAATAGGTGTTCTGTGGCCGCTGGATGATCTGCTGCTGAACCCTAGGAATCGAGACCACCTGATGTTGCACCTGAGGAGGCAAGTAGGTCCTGGACAGAGAAGTGGCACCAACCACTCCCAGAAGAGCCACTGCCAAAGTAACGAAGATTACACGCTGGCGGGAGAAATACTTTTCGTTAGTCCTGCTTTCGCAAATATTATAAATAAATCCGATCGAAACCCACCATGTTGATCACACAAAGTCAAACAATTAAACTGTTTTTTTGCGAGCGCAACATTTGGTATTTATAAGACATTTTGGGTAGAACCCCAAAATATATAGTATATATAATAAAATTCTGTTTGGATCGTTTGCATATGTATGGGTATTGTCATTCTAGGTTGCAGGCAAATGCGAAACGCGGTTGCGATTGATACCCATAAATAAAAAGCAGTAATCCAGACGCAGATTCCATGTCTGCAATAAAGCAATTTGGTAAATCAATATGAGTTAGAATATTTCAAATTGAAAGTAGCTCGTCAAGTCCATTAAATTGACTCAGGTAGATGCTTTCACTTTTTACTGGCTATGAGCTGACGAATAAGAAGCTGCAAATATTGTTCTCTTTTACAAAGTCGACTTACGAATACTTTTTATTCATAAGCACCAAAAAAAGTTTGTTTTAAGAAAACCTTACTCTCGAATTTGGATCGAAGAATATCAGTTTATGGTCGAAAACTAGGCAACAATATTCCGATTTTAGAATGTTATACCTCTTGGAAAGAAAAATCGAGAAAAATGATGTAGGTGAATGTGCAGCAGTGCTCTTACGTACGAAAAGGACAAAACTTTCCGCAAACAAATTTTGACGATCTGAAATCCCATTGATAGCTAGATGTTAAAAGGGAGAAGAAATTTGAAAATTGTAAATGCCAGCGAAAAACTAAAATGGAAATTAAAAATCTAGTTGTTTTTTATTTTTTTATAATTTTTTTCTTGTCTGATTTATGGATGGTGTACTTTTTTTTTAATTTTTCATTAAAATAATAAAAATATAATGATAATATAAATAATATTAAAAATATTAAAAAACCTATATCATTAGATTTTCCATTTTTGGTCGATGTTTTTTCATATTTTATGGCTTATCAAAAATTCAAAAACTTGATTTTTCTAAGTGATCCAAAAAGCATTATGGATATTATTATTATGTAAAATGCAGTCAAAATGTTTGCTCTGACTCAAACACCCTGGAAAAATAACATTTTTAAGTTTTAATTCCATTTCTAGTAAAAAAAAATCGACAACTTCAACAAACGTAGGAATTATTATTTTTTAACTTTAATATATATTTATAAAATTATAATATAATCAACCCATTCATGAAGTGTATATCTCGCTGAAATTTATGGCCTCAATTTCAATTATATGACACCATACAAGCGTGCTTGCTGAACAAATATAAAACGGGTTAGCGTTGGGGCTATCTTTGTATCATCTTTGAGATGTAACAAGTTAATGTTTAAATTTCTTGGAAAAAATGTTCAAAATAAATCATTGTCATGGTTAACCCAAACAAAACGTAATATTATATGTAAAATGTGTTCCGGAAAAAAATGTGTTTCGTTACAAGAATTAAGCTTAATATAGTTTTTTTTTTCATTAATATTTTACCAAAATTGTATAATTTTATTGTCGTGATTGGTTTGGTCGCGATTGCTGTTATTAAAAATCGTGATATGCTGCGTATTGGCCTTAACATTCTTAGTCGAGACACAAACCACGAATGTTAACCACAACGGCTAATTCAAAGGTGATGTTAAATTATACTTCGAATTTATGTGCTCTTAATGCAGATTTATACAGCCAGAAAGAAATTTTGTTGTATTTTTAATGAACTTTAGCTTTTTGTTTCTGTTGTCGGTTGTTGGTTTTGCGGTTTCGTTTTGTTCGCGCAAAAAGTTGCCAAACATCCAGTAAATATTGGCCTGTAGTTAGTCGGTTGTGTTAACTCGGCTTCCGTTGCTGGCGGCTAATTGATGCCCACATTATCTCTCCCCCTTTTGAAGATTAATGTCTGGCATTAGGTGGTGGCTTATGCTAGGATTGATAAACAGTTTTCAAAATTATTTGCATGCATCGGCAGGAATTTGGTTTTGGTTTCGGTTTCGGATTCGGTTTTGTCTGGCGAACTCACAGATAGGTATGAATAGAACAAACTTGTTCTTAATTATGCCTAATGTGAAATTTATAAACACTAAATTCTAAAGCATTCACCAAACTAATTGAACCGGTTTCGGGATCGGTTCTACGGTTCTACAGTTCTGCGGCTCTGCAATTTTCGATCCCCGTCATCCGATTCAACGCACGCGTGTTAAGCGGTGCACATATTTGGCTGTTTCAACAAAACGCTAAACAAACCCATTGGGTAGAACACACGTTTGCGATGATATATATGGGCTTTATATACAGGCGACTGCAGAATTCAAACTCGTTTACCGTTGTGTGGCATTTACCCAGCATCCATCTAATCAAACCGCAGGCAGAAGCGCTGTTTTGATTTCGGATGAAGTAATCAGAGCTAATTTTCAACATTAGCGGGCAGATCATCGCCTGAGAACTCATTTAAATGCCGGAAACTTTGATCCGATCAGGTCAAAAGCATATCAAATTCCGACAAATTGGCTGACTCGCTAACAATGAATTAAAATGAGCCACCTCGAATTTCCAATGACTGTAGCATAATGTCTAGCAATCACTTGATTGACAACATAGTCCAAGCCATGACGAATATAGTTAGACTCTCAAACCAGATCGCATTGATGACAAAAGATCTTCCCCATCGATTGCATAAGATATGTACAAAATGGAAATTAAGCTAAAAATCCCCGCAATTCTAAAAAAAGAACAGCATAAAATTATTAATTGCTCGGTCAACGATCGACCTAGCAGTTTTGGTGGGAATTCTTCGAATTCAACCATCTTTAACGTCATAACCGAAGAGTATAATTATGAGTTTGAATCATTAAGCAATTAACACAGCAATCTAAAAAGAAAGATTTGCTAGCGATTGGTTTGCAAAAATAAATTGATTTAATTAAAATTCAAATCGATTGTATAACAATCGAGTTTCAGCGTTGGAATTTAAATGAACGCCATTAAAAATCAGTTTAAGAGTGCAACTTTTGTTTTGCGTGAATCGATTTTTCAATTGGCGTCAAAGAACAGGAATCCCGAACAGTGGGTTAAGTGGTTAAGGGAAAGTTGGGATATTGTGGTTGTCCTTGCAGAGAGCCAAGGCAAAGGTCAGTTTGAGTAGGCCACATTGTAAGGAACCGGTTATATCTGATAACTGACCCTTCTCTGCGGTTGATTCATGCACCTGGATGAATTCGCCCTTCGGTAGTGTGAGTAATTGCAAAATTTCGAAGTTAATTTTGTTTTGGATTTTTTAGCTCCCAGTCAGAGGCGGAACTTTGGAGAATTTATGCAAATCCGCGCATGCTCTCATAAATAAAACATTCCAAATGAGTTTTATGGTAGAACCATATAGAATCGAAATTAATTTATGCTTTTCGTCGCGCTAACCAGCCCAAAACGTGGCTCTAAACTAGATTTATGTGGGGGATCAATTAAAAGTGCCATTGTCTATGTCGTAGAGTGCGAAGAGGCTCCATCATCGCGATAGGCCACACAAATTGGATGTCACCGGAAAAAACACCCCTGCTGGTTGTCGATCAAATATTTGCAGATTGTCGAGCATGAAATTGCGCACCCATGCGGGACCTCCATCCCCGATTCCCAGCTTCTTCGAACCCCTCAACTCTCCGATCTCGCCCACAAGTTCGTCCATATTTCACCGGTTTTTCTTGAATTCAAATTAAACTCTTTTCAAACAGCTCACGAACCGCAGAGTCTGCTTTTAAGTTATCATATATATTAGAGTTGTTCTTTTTTTTTTTTTTGCTTTCTTTGGGTTATGATTTTTATTAGATTCAAGCTCATTTACGTTGGTTCTATTTGGCCCGGCTTGTTCTGGTTCGTCTTTGTTGCCCCGGCCAAAATCTGATTTTGTCGCCAAAAATATACATTTCGCCGGGAATATGACGGCGAACGAGATGGATCGTAAGTTTATGGGTGTCGTTCTGAGGGAGCTGCTCTGCGGTTGAGGCAGAGACGTCGAGCAGCAGCCGGTTAACCAACCCAAGCAGGTTCTGTTTAGTTTTCGGGGCTCCGACGAGAAGCTTCTGCCGTGAAACATCTTTTGGCCATCCTGAGGCGCTGAACTATAAATAATGTAGACTCCGCCCGAGAAGGCACAGTCGCAACTCTGCCTTCGTGGTGTTGAATTGGTTCTGAGCAAAATGGTAAGATCGCATTTCGAGGATCAAGGATCGAGCGCTGCACTCGGTGGTGGATACGAATACCGAGCCGTCAGACCGTGGAATATATATATAGACCGATATACACAGAAGGCTGATCCCCCGTCCTCTCTCCGCAGAAATTCCTGATCGCTTTCGCCCTGGTGGCCGCCGCCAGCGCAGATGTCTCGCATCTGTTCTCGGGCAGCAACAACCTGCAGGAGGATGGCTACCACTACGCCCCGCCCCGCTCCCCCGTCGTGATCGACGTGCCCTACGTGCCCCACGAGTCCGCTCCCCCAACCGTGGTATACGAGCCACCCAAGCCCAGGCCCACGCCTCCCCGTCCCGTGTACACTGCCCCCCCGGTGGTCTACCACCCAACGCCCGCCGGCGTCCTGAAGGACGATGGCTACCACTACGGCCAGCCCTCCGTGAAGTTCGAGGTGTCCGCTCCCCCGCCAGTGTACGTGAAGCCCCCAGCACCGAAGGTTGAGTACCTGCCTCCTCCGCCAACCAAGAAGGTCGTGTACACCCCACCCCCACCACCACCAACCAAGAAGGTCGTCTACGTGCCTCCTCCACCACCACCGACCAAGAAGGTCGTGTACACCCCACCCCCACCACCACCACCGAAGAAGTACACCCCACCCACGCCTGAGTACCTGCCCCCGCAGAGACCCAGAAGGTTGTGGTCTACACCCCACCCCCACCACCACCAACCAAGAAGGTCGTCTACGTGCCTCCTCCACCACCACCGACCAAGAAGGTCGTGTACACCCCCTCCCCCACCACCACCACCACCGAAGAAGGTCGTCTACACCCCACCCCCGACTGGGATCCTGAAGGACGACGGCTACCACTACGGCCAGCCCTCCGTGAAGTTCGAGGTGTCCGCTCCTCCACCAAAGGTTGAGTACCTGCCTCCCCCACCCACCAAGAAGGTTGTGTACGTCCCACCCCCACCACCACCAACCAAGAAGGTCGTCTACGTCCCACCCCCACCACCACCAACCAAGAAGGTCGTCTACGTGCCTCCTCCACCACCACCAACCAAGAAGGTTGTCTACGTCCCTCCCCCACCACCACCAACCAAGAAGGTCGTCTACGTCCCTCCCCCACCACCACCAACCAAGAAGGTGTACGTCGCCCCCCCAGTGGAGTACCTGCCCCCCGCCCAGAAGGGATACAGCTACCCCAACGACCCCCATCCGGCGTTCAACTTCTAGGCTGACGAAGCTCATTGTAAATACGCAGATTAAGTATTAGCCATATTTCTGAACGAGTTGTGAATGAGTGGTTTGGCCTTTCGCGAGAAAGCCGACTCCACTTCGAGTTAACGTGAAAATAAAAATCCTTCGATTTAAAATTCTCTTTTTTATAACTCTGGATTTGAAAAACTTCAAAATGCCTTGTCAAAACCGAAAGTCTAGGTCTTTAGGTAGGTGCCCTTTCAAAAAGCGCGCCTTCGAAAACTTACATCCCACATCAGCAAAGACGATCCAGAAGTCAAGTCCGCTCAGCTTCCATTTGGTGCCATCAGCTCCTTCAACTTCTGCGGCGCTGCCTCGACTCTGCTCAGGTGGAACTCAACGAAGAGCAGGGACAAGGGCTCCGGTTTCTCCAGCAACTGGGGGAAAGATCTGATCATCAGCACTCACCTCGTCTTTAGTTCCACCTTCCTTAGGGTCACGTGGTCCACAACCTTCAGTATCAGCTTCCCCCCTCGCGACGTTGGATTTAAATTTCCAAACTGGTAAGGGGGGGATTTGGCGCCTTGGGCTGCCACTCAGTCGGTAAAGAAACGGTGCGCAAGGTTGCCACTCCGTCGATTTCTAAGGTCAAATAATTGGTATCTTTTGGGAGTAATAAAACAGCTTAAAATTATGCACTGAAAATTTACAGCAAACTTAATACGAGCCATTAGCAGACTGTTATTATTTTATTAAAATTTTGGGAATATGTTAACTGAATAAAAATAGGTAAAATATTTTAACACTGAAGCCAGATCCTTGAAATGAGTTCATTAACCCTAAGTAATTCGATGTCTTTTAACATTTTAATTGACTATGTAAACTGAATAAAACAATAGGTTGGTATACCCATTGTTCTATAGCTGTAGCTTTTAAATACTACCACATTCTCACAATTAAGTCGGTGAGTAATATTCCCTGGCAAATACCTAATCCAGTTATCAACTCTTTACTTTACTTTTGTTTGTCTTTCTTTGGGTAATCAATTAGAGGGCGTGTCTCCATTCAGATCCCGTTGGCACTTCACAGCAGGTGGGATTTCCGCCACATAAACTAAGCCCAATCAATGGCCAAGCGGCTAATGCAATCAATCTTTCGGTGTCCACCGAAATGCGATTCATACTATAATCAAAATGTCAAGTTGGCATGGATAATATGTGCGATCGTCGGCGAATCTGCGGCCGTAAAAAGGCAGTGAAACGGAAACGTGTTGAAACGTCGCTTTTATGCTGTTTATAGCTCTTTATATGCCCAGGTATCGGATCGGGCAGGGCTGCATAATTGAATGGCTTTACGAGCCACTCAGATCACGTGGCTGGGGGCAAACACAGATCCGTAAAGAATCATTAATTCGAATACAAATCGCCAAACAAATGCGCCCGAGAGACAAAAGCAACGCACTGACACTTGACCCCACAAAACGAGTCTTAGCCTTGGCAATGGATATGTGGCTATGGATGCCGATGTGGCTGGGGATTGAGATGGCGATGGAGATGGAGATGTTGTAGCGTTTTGAGTGGAGCAGCAGTAGTAGCAGTAGCTGTAGCTCCACCACCATTTGGCCCAAGACATCGATTCGCTTGTTTGTTTATCTAGGGCCGCTCACCGCTTCGGTTTATGTTTTGGCTTCAGCACAGTCATCACGATCGGCTTGCCGCAATTAATAAAATGAGGCAAATGTGGCGAACATATAGAAGTATAAATAGTTTGGGCCCGATCGCCGGCGCCTGCATTCGCTTGAGCAACGTTCCGCTGGCAGCGACAACTATTACGGCATTCTAAGAGGTTCCCTTTACAAGAAATCCCCGACATTGGATTCTCTATCATCATGGTAAGCGACTGCTTTTAGTAGCTTACCCGTGGCACTAAAGTGGATAGTAATTTGCTGTTTTTCAATTACAAATTGCTGCAAATTGTGGATGCCACCACTTGTCATTTCAAGGAATTAATAAATAGATTACCCACAAGCTTAACATAGTTGCATAGAAACGTGCAGATTTCATTGCTAAAAGCATTAATCATTTGGCTCATAAAAAACTGTTTTATTATCAATTCGATCAAATCAGGTTCTTATATTTGGAAATCTATTGAATGCAGAATCTCAATATATGCATATTATTTTGTGAGAACTTTGAATTTTATTGCTACTTTTTGGCAATTAAAAATCTAGTTTATTATAAATAGAATATTTAAATAAATGTATGTGTTGAGCATAGTTTATTCTCAGCCTTTTAAAATAAATTCTCGAATTTTTTAATCAACATTAATTACTTTTACTTTACCCTCTCTTATATTTCCTTAATGTTTTTTTTTAGCGTCTTTTGGTATTCAGTCTGTTTCTTCTGGCAATTTGTCTTGCGACCCGAGCAGATGTCTCTCAGTTGGTGAGATCTGGAAATGGATTTGTGTACGACGTGCCCAAGGTCACGGAACTGGAACTGGAGGTCAGCAACGAGTTTCCCACCGGCGAGGAGTTCCCCCAGGACGCCATCCCGGTGGCTCCTTCCGATGCGGAATTGGGGCTGGCCGAAGAGCCCGAGGAACCAGTGATAACCGCCGAATCCAACAGTGCTCCCTCGAAGAAAATCCACGGCTACAAGTACCAGGTGCCCAGTCGGCGCTTCAAGAGCTAAATACCCGCCCTACTAACTTGATTTTGTACCAAAGTTTCGTAATGATAATAAAAAAATAAAATCAAAACTAAGATCTAACTGTGTTCCTTTCACAACTCAGGCCCTTGGACAGGGCTTAGTCCAAACACTTTTTGCCTTGGACTTGGCTCAGAACGAGATTCACAGCTTGTGGCTTCATAAAAAGCGAAGCATAAAATGTCCAAATATTTCTTAACTAAACCGGTTGAGGACTCACAAAATTTGCACAGATTTGCGATAGACCATAAAGTCTGAGGCCTAGCCATCGCTGAGACTAATGCCCATAAAGAACGGCAATTAAATGCATAATCCGCATATAAGAAACGAGCGTTTTGGCAAAAGGCGAGCAGAAACGAGGATGGCTCAGCACACGCCATCCGATTCCGGCACTTGACAATCGATCAGCTCGATCTCCAGCGGGCGGTTCAACAACCCATAGTTTTGGGCATCTCGATGAAACAAAAAGTGATAGTTGAACCCAGACCAGTATCGTCTGTTTGTTTATTCAATCGCGGCTGAATACGCTAATCCAACTAATTAGTTGATTTAACGCTGCTGTTAGCTAAACCGATGGGTCGTATTTCAAAAGCTTATGACATTATTCAAAATAGTTATATATTTTGGTAAACACCGATCTAAATAGAGCACATATTTTTGAACTTGTAAATATTTTTAAAATATGTAATGGCGACATTGATACCGAAAAGTGATCTTGATTTTTCCGTGTTCTCACCTTGCTGTAAGCTCCTTACCATCTTCTCCGCCTCTGCAACATAACTCGCCTGATCTGTAACTGAATTGCTTCCGCAAGATCATGTCCAGCGGACGGCTTCATTGTCCATCTGTCCATGAAACGCTGACCACTCAAACTGAAACTTCTTGAGCGGCAAAAGGCAGCGCGCGCCATAATTATTATAAATGAAGTCTAAATGATTTATGACAGTCAGCAGAGCACGCTTACAACGCTCCTAGCGACGGAACTAACTCTTCGGATGCACAGAGAAAAATGTCAAATATTTTATTGAATATCCATAAGTTTAGATAAACAAGAAAACAAACTAATTAAATAGAATAACTAATGTTCCTCGAATTAATCAATTCACACAAAAAATAAGAAGCTTTAAGAGGCAGAAAAGGTGATTTGAATTGCCCTATAATTAAATCAATAATTTAATTATTATGCATAAATTTATGAGCATTTCTGGGGCACTAATTTAATTCGTTAGGCAGTTTTGATTTAAATAATTAATGTGCTTAGATTAATCTCAATAAATATCTCAACTTTTTGCGGTGGCATAAATGTTTCAAATTAATCTTTAAAACAAATAATACTTTAAATTAAAGGCTTAAATTTGATGAGCAGTTTTAATATACGAATTTAAACCTGAAAGATTTTGCTATTTCTCTGTGTGTTGGGCATTGTTCCCCAAGTTCCCTCGGAAGTGGAGGCTTACTTTAACACCATAACAATGACCGCAGCGTTAACCGAAGAGCGAAGTGACGACGTCGATGAAAAGCGAGTCAGTAGGGCCCATAAAGGCATAATAATGGTTGCAGAGCGCCGATGCCGAAACAATGACGGCGGTGTTGACGGTGCTCCTATGTCAACTTTGGCTCACTATTGTGGCGCTAATCATTCATATAAACATAGCGCTACAGATACAGACGTTTACAGATACAGATACAGATACACTTACCGATACAAAGAACGCCGTGGGGCTAGCGGAGTTATATCGATTTAAATGATAATAATTGGCCTCTACTGCCATGGACAGTGTCGATCTGTTTTAGAATTTTGACTATAAATAAACCGCTGTCGATGCAAACGGTCAATCATTTGTGGTTTAAGAGCTCAAGGTGTCAGACATATCATAACGGACATGGTGAGTGTGGTCGGATGTGGGTTAAAAGCAGGATTTCATGATGCTTAAACCATTTCAGAAGCTGTTTATTTTGGCCACCTGCCTGTTGGCTTTCGCAGCCGGAGATGTTTCGCATTTGCCATTGGAGGTTTTGGAGGAGCACCACGATCATGGCTATGGGTACGATTATCCCAAGCCGGAAGTGCCATTTGTGATTGCCAGTACGACGGAGCCACCACCACCGCCACCACCCACTTATTTGCCACCCAAGCCGGTGCCCACTTACCTGCCACCTCCACCACCAACCACTACTACTACAACCACCACAACCACACCTGCTCCTACTCCTGCTCCCACTTATCTGCCTCCTCCACCACCAACCACCACAACTACCACCACAACCACTCCCCCTCCCACTCCCGCTCCCACTTACCTGCCTCCCCCACCTCCCACTACCACAACAACCACCACCACTACAACCACCCCACCGCCCACGCCGGTGCCCACTTACCTTCCGCCTCCTCCACCACCAAAAGAGGAGCCCGGCTACCACTACGATGCACCCGCTCAGGAATTCCTCTTCTAAGCCAAAAAAAAAAAGGAAAACGGAAACCACCGAAAAACTGCACTGAAAATGGAAGATTTCCCCGGATTAGTTTTGTTTTGAATCGTTGCACTAAGCCTAGCTTTACATAAGGTTAAAACCATCTCAATAAACGCTGTTTTGTTAACCCCATTAGCATCCGTATCTCCCCAATAAATGGGATAAGGCAAAGTGGTGCAGATGGCCAAGTCAATCACCGCCAATTGTCTTGGGGATTTCGTCGCATCCGCTGCATATTCATGAGCCGCTTTTGTTGCTGAGAGCTAATTTGGCCGAAGTCGCATTAATTGTTTTGGGGTAGCGACAGAGATATACCACCACACGCCGATAATTGGCCGGCCTCAAGTTCAAGAAAACCGAGAAAAGTGTGAAGAAAACCAAAGCGTCAGCTGGTGATGTTTCGTGTATAAAAGAGTTGGCCAGCGTCGTTATTGACATTACTACCTGTTGTCGGCAAACGGCAGCAACATCAGCTCGATCAGTGGATAATCTCTTGGACGAAATGGTAAACAGTAGCAGGATTATCTTATAAATTGGTGTCTTATTCAGTGACTTTTCTGCAGAAACCCCTGGTGATCCTTGTGGCCCTGGTGGGGTTTGGCGCCTGCGTTCGCGCAGATGTCTCCCATCTTTACGGAGGAGGTCATCACGATCACGGACATGATCACCATCATCACCACGACCACCACTTTGATGTCCACTCCCATGATCACCATGATCATTACGATCACCATGATCATTACGATCACCACGATCACCATGATCATCACGATCATCACGATCACCACGATCTCCACATCGATCTCCACCATCAACCGGATACGCATCATCACCACCACCACGAGGCCAAGTCCGATATCCCCAGTGGATACAACTATGCCCCTCCAGAGAAGCCGCGTCAGAAGTACCTGCCCCCCAAGGTCTCCCTGCCGCCGCCACCCCCTCCTCCGCCCAAGGCCACCTACCTGCCTCCCTCGAAGCCAGAGGTGAAGTACCTGCCACCCGAACCGGTGGCCAAGTATCTGCCACCCAAGGTGGCTCCCAGCCTACCTCCTCCACCACCGCCGCCAGTTGTGGCCCCCAAGCCCACCTACTTGCCTCCCAGTAAGCCGGAGACCAAGTACCTGCCTCCTGCGAAACCTGTGGAGAAGTACCTGCCCCCTGCCCCAACACCCAGGTACCTGCCACCCAAGGTGGCGCCCACTCTTCCCCCTCCACCACCACCACCACCAGTTGCCCCCAAGGCACTCTACCTGCCTCCTGCCGAGCCTGAGGTGAAGTACTTGCCCCCTGCAAAGCCCGTGGAACAGTACCTGCCTCCCCAGCCCGAGGTGGACTTCCACATCCCCATCCCCTCCTACGCCCTTCCTTTGGGTCCCGCCCCAAGTCCCATCCAGGAAGCCGAGACGGGATACCACTACAAGCCACCACTGCGTCGCTTCAGGCAATAGGATAGCCAACCACCGAAAAACAAATACTCATTCTCCACCTTATTTTAAGCTGTACAAATTAAAAGCATATTAAAGCCCAAAGTCAAATGAAATAGTTTATGTTACAACACCCGAACTCTTTCACCAACCAACTTCAAGGTCAAAGATATCGAACCAAATTGCTGTCACCCTGCCCCAAGGGATCCAAACGAGGGATTTCAATCTGACCCCCAAATCTAATTGCGGCCAATCAACCGGAGTAGCCAAGCAGCTTCGGTTTTGGCTTTAGCTTAGCTTGATCATCACCTGCAGTGTCTATAATTACTGTCTTTTCGGATGAAAAATGATGTTGGTTTTCGGTTAAAAATATCGAATCGATTGCTGGATGCGGTGTCTGTTACAGAAAGATTCGAGCCGGGCCAAAATCGCTAATCGTCAGTTGCAGCCGGGAGCTATGGAGCGACAGGTGACCTCTTTCACGGTTGCCCACAGACGGGGAAAATCTTTCAGGCAGAATTATATAATTAGGTCCTTTACGAATTTTTAATACTCTTTTTAAAATGTTTTTTTCCTAGATTTAAAGTATTTTTCAGTTAAATGAAATTGACGCTATAAATATGGTAAACTAATAAAAGCGTGAAGTCATGAAATTTACTCGTTTATAAGAAGCATTAATTAGAATAAAGACACATTAGGAATTTTTGGTTCTTAAAAAAGGAATCAGGAAAAATGAGTTCTGCTAGTTATTCTAAAATATTTGTAGCTATGCAATTAATTAACCGTAAATTAAGATTTCCTTTAAAAAGGCTTTCAAACAGGATTAAAATCAAATCGAACATTAAACTAGCTCCCAAAAAAGTACGCTCAACTATAAATTCCGGCCGTTGCCCAACCAAAACTATTTTAAATACTTGGCAAACGCAGCGAAGCTCGTAAAACCCAACACGTTTATGGCTTTCAGCCATAAAGAGCTCGGTGTCCGGGCCAAAAAACAAAAGCCAACGCAACGAGATGACTTCGAATTAAGAGATTTAATAAAAATCGAATGCCAATTGCCAATACCGGCTGTCAAAGGGGCGAGACCCCTAAACGCCGCTTGGCTGACATCCGACAGCCCGGCCATATAGTTCGATCGCAGCCAGATCGTCTCTCGCGTAATGAAGTGACGAGATCGCTTTGAAGCGGCCACTGTTTCAGGTTCAGGTTCTCTAACTGTATAAATAAAGAAGCACTTGCCGGAATCTGTATCACTTTGTTAGAGGCCGTCGTCGCAGCAAGAACGTTCCCCCCAGCAAAAATGGTTTGTAACTCGCCATTCAGGAATAACCACTGGAATATCATATTATATATCTATTATATCAATTTCAGAAAGTCCTCATCCTGGCTGTTTGCAGCTTGGCTCTGGTAGCCGCTGATGTGTCGCATTTGTTCGGTCATGATCACCATGATCACCACGATCATCCTGGCTACAACTATGACCCTCCGAGCATCCCCTTCGACCTGCCCACTCCGGCTCCAGCTTACTTGCCCCCGGAACCTGTGACTGCCCCACCTCCGGTTTACCTGCCGCCTGCCACCGTGAAGCCCGCGATCCCGATTGTCAGGACTCCCAAGCCGGTGTACCTGCCTCCTCCACCTCCACCGCCGCCAGTTGTAAAGGTCAGCCCACCCAAGCCAGCCTATCTGCCGCCTCCACCACCAGTGGTCAGGGTTAACCCACCCAAGCCAGCCTACCTGCCTCCTCCGCCGCCGGTTGTCAAGGTCAGCCCACCCAAGCCAGCCTATGTGCCACCACCAGTTGTGAAGGCCAGCCCACCGAAGCCAGCTTACCTGCCTCCTCCTCCGCCAATCGTGAAGGTCAACCCACCCAAGCCGGAGTACTTGCCACCCGCCCCCGTGGTCGAGGAGCCCCGCTACGTGGCACCTGCCATCGTGCCCACCTTCAAGATCCCGATCCCCTCGTACGCTGCCCCGCTGGAGGAACCGCTGAACACCTACCTGCCGCCCCAGGAGATCGTGGAGCCCAAGAGCGACGATGGCTACCACTACGATCCCCCGGCCGAGCCGTTCCTCTTCTAAACCGCACTCATCCCAAGCCATTTCTTGTTTGTTGCCTTCGAATGTCACGTGTATTTACCTCTAGTTATTTATTGTTTACCGAGCTCAGCCTGCACTAAAAACGAAATAAAGCTTAGCACTGCGAAAACGTAACTCAACCCCAAGTTTTGTATCCTGTTCTGATCTTGAACTCGAGAGGGGAAATCCTAACACTCGAGAGGCCAAGACCACGAACTCGTCTCAAGTGTCTAGAGAGACAGCATAATTGCCTCTGGTCGGGTAAAAATACCTCTCAACCAGGCAGAACAGTTTCATTCATGGACAATCCAGTCGTGGTTATTTTGGGAACTAGACTGAGTAATGCTCTATGGCCAATTCCGGCTTGATTTATTGACACCCCAAACAAACCCAGCTTTGAGTAATTGAACTTAGCGGCCATAACGGCCATAAGCTCTAATTTTATGGCCAGAATTGTGGCTAAGCTTCAATAAACGAGAGTCTCATAATTTATGGCATCACCTTAATTGCCCGAGACAATCGCTGGCATTGTCTAAAAGGTGTGAAGATACGCCTCCGATCCCCCGGAGTTCTTGAGATCCGCCCACGATGCTGTGAAAGTGAAATTAATGCGATCAGGAAGTTGAGTATTATCGTGTTTCGGGGCTGCCATCAACGGAGAAGAATGCTCGCAGAATGTTTGTTGACAAAATGAATTGGCCTTATGCAAATGGGAATGGGCATGCATGATCTAATGGCTGGGAACCCGTTTCCCCGCTCACCCGACCGCTTCTCTCTGTCAGCAAATGCAAATTAATTAGATTATTACGTTTATTTTCGGCTGAACGCCCAACAATGATTTACTTAAGAGCTTTATCTACGGTTGTTGCTCTTAGTAGCGCCGTTTAAATAAAGACGGCCCATAAATTTTCGGACTCATCATTGATTTTAGAAAGCAAAACCGAGAACTGATGACCCCACTCGACCAGGCGGTCTAGCCTGTTTCTTATACGCCACTAACGAAACCAACTATACGTATTTGTTTCCTCGTTTCGGGCATGATATTTTTGTTGATGCATTATAGACAAAATGCTAATTGGACATCGGCTTATATCGAATCGTTCTAGACGTTGACTCTAAGGTGTATCATAACTATATTATCTTTTCGGGCTTGCATGTGCCCACAGTGCGTAATATTAATGCAGTTGGCGACTGATACCGAAATAAAGATTTCGATCATTAAGTCAATTAATTGATAATAACACCTTAAACAAGGTTCAAAAGAAGATTTACTTACTTTACTTTAATGTAATTTAAAACGGTTATTAAAACTGACCTACACGATTATCAAATCACAAAACCATTAATTAAAGTGGGTGCATTTTGTTATTCGTTTAATAAATAAATAAATACGTTGAACTCTCTGAAATGTTTGCTTGCGGAAACGAATTAATAAAATTTGGAGTGTTTTATATTTTTTAAAGCCTAACTTTTGGCGAATTATTAAACAAACACTTTATTCGTAAGACATCCTCAATTTATACTATAAAAATTAGAAGTGCGAGTATAACAGTTTTAAAAAACCAATACGACTAACATATAATACTCAAAAAAATTTGCAATAAGGACGAAAATGAAATAGTACTTTTAAAGGTAAAGCGTAAAAGCCAAGCAACAATTAAATAAATACAACTGTGTTGGTTGTGTAAATACGTTTATTGATTGTTTAAATAAAATCCCGGATAAACCGTATCTTAATAGAGAAAGGACCGCGCTAGGTGTAATATTGGTTAACAAGATAAAGGTGTGTAAGTCTATGTAACTAACAGCCAACCAGCAAGGTCAAGAACGATCGTTAATTACCACTTGACCCAGGGAGTCAATGGAAATCCCAGACAAGACGGAAGCACCTCCATAGATGGATTCCACACCTGTCATCGCCGGCAGACAAAGGAGCGTGGCGGAGTAGAGTGGATGGATCGAGACCCAGTTTGTCATAGTTCACTGACAAAAGCGACTGCTAATGCCCCTGAATAGAAGCCGAGGCAAGGCAATCAAATTGACAATCAATCCATCAATCAATAGCACATTGTCTCACAGCTCAGGCCACCCGGACGAACTGTGGCTCTTAAAACGGATTGTTTACACTTCTGATTTTTCTATGCGGCCAGCGGGTTGTTGCTTGTGTGTTTGGGACTACTTAGCAGGTTTAGTGGCAGAAGCTTAAACCGGTTAAATTTAATGTATTTTGAAAGTAATCCCGCAGATTTATGTATTTCTATTTGTTCTCGCTGTGACTAGTTTCAGTTTATGAGCCGTCAGAAGTCATGCAAGAACCTGCATAAATAATTCCCCCTAATTGGCCGAAGAAGCCGCACCACTTAATCTCGGCGGTGGCTTAATGAGTGCCGACACCACGCAACCCACAAATTGTTTCCCAGCCAGCGGATAATAAGTTGGCCTCAGTGCGCAGGTACGCAGCTTCCGTATGCAAATGTCCATATCAGATGGCAAATACATTTTCCTCATGGCATTCCATGATTAATGAGAAGCCCACGACCACGGGGGGGTACTCATCAAATCGAGAACGAATCTGCGTACAATTTCGACACACTTTATTGTGGCTTGATGAGCTGTGAATAATATAATTAAAACCCGATACTCTTCCCACTTCCACACTTCCACTTGCCGCTGACCAGTTTATTGGCCTTGGCAGATGAATGAAATAAGTAACATGGAGGGAAAATTTGTTTATCATTTTTACAAATAATTTACGTTTATTTATTCGTACTTTACTGGGCAATTCAACAATAACTGAATACTTCGTTTTTCGATCTTTGTCTTTAGAACATCATTTGTCTCTTTGTACTTCGCTCTTTATGCTTTTGATCTTGGCTTGTTCTTGTTGGTCGTTTCTTTGATGGTTTCGTTCTAGGATTAGGATAGTTAAAATACGATATTTGGACAGTTGGATAGTTTGGTAGTGGTGATCAGTGCGTAGTAATGTGTTAATGCTTGATTCGGATTTAGAGTTTGGTTTGATTTGATTGGATTTGGTTGTGTGGTGTCGAAGATTGGTGCGTACAGAGTTGATTTCGGGCAGGTGAGGAGGTGGGGAGAAGGAAGAGAAACGACAAAAAAGAGGCGTGGATTACTAGGAGGGTCGAGCATGTATTAAATATAGTTAATAGCTAGCTGCATCCCCTTAGTAGCGGCGCAGGCGGTAGAAGCGTCTTACGTAGACTGGTCGGCGGTACTGGTAGCCGGCCCTGCTGTTGTAGGTGTGCCCCACCAGATGCTGCTGCGGCACCACCACCTGCTGGGCCACCGGGGCCAGGTACTGGGCCCTTTGCACGATCGGCTGCTGGACCACGGGCTGCTGCACGAAGGACTGGGCCACGGTCACGGGACGGGCCACAGGACGAGCCACGACGGGAGCGGGGGCAGCGAAGACGGGACGGGGAGCAGCGGCTACGGGACGAGCGGCAGGAGCGGCCGGGGCGGGCTCATCGATGTCAATGTACTCAGGCTCGGGAGTGGCGATGTCCTGGGGATTGGGTCCCTGGGTGGCGGAGTCGGGCAGCTGAGCTCCAGCAACAATGCCCACGAGGGCCAAGGCCAACAGCAAGAAGAATTTCTGAAGGATAATGTAAAGGATCTTGATTAAAAATTCTTAAAAATGGTACTAAATATATCCGTGAACTTGTAAGGTTTCTAAAAGATAACTTTAAATGAAAAGATATACTATATTCGCTGCTCACTATATTATTCACAACTTTATAACCTTTAAACAATTAGAAAATATTTAAATTTTTTAAGAAGAAAGTTCGATTATTGAAAACAAGTTGTGCATAAAGTCTTTTAAGTAAGACTGCATATAAAGGACTCGTTTCTCCTCTACATTTTCAGTGTAGTATCTTGTTAGTAAAATTGGGATTCACGTGGAATAAAAACAAAAGAATTTCAAGTGTATCAAGTGCAAATGCCAATAAGTGGGATTGCTATTTTTATAGCTTTCTGGAACATAATTATGTGCGTGACTCCGGCACGGGTGTGAAGTGAATCAATTCCCGAGGGCCACTCGAACTGGGACAGCGCGTTGATGAAGTCGTTTAGAACACTTGAGTTCGGGTTGGAAAGCACTTGTGGTTGGAGTTATTTTTGGTTTCTGATTTAAATAGTTCTCGTTCACGTTCACTTGGTTTTCAGTTTCTGTTTGCATCCTGCTTAAAGCAGCTGCTGATCACTAGGATTCTTCATCCTTGACAAAAAGGATCACATACCATTTTGGTTTGTTGCGGATTTTGGGTTTCACGAAATTTTCTCGAGCAGAAGCTAACGAGCAATTTACACTTAAGAAGTTCAAAGCACAAATGATGATGAGCTGGTCCGTGGGTATGAAATTTATACTATATCGCCGGGTCGGTCCGTTCGGTTCGGTTCAGTTCGGTACGTGGGTCTAAGAGAGTCTGGGCAGAGCAGCGGCGACCGCCAAAAACCAAAACCCGATGAGACACAAACCGCACAGCGCGTTATAAATAAGGCAAAAACAAAATATTAACAGCAGAAGCGGCATCGTTCAGCACCAATAACAACAGTTCAGGCAATTCAAATCAAAATTTAAATTAAATGAAACGAAGCGAATTGAGAAGAATCGGCGACTAGAAGAGCCTGCTACAGATGTCGATGGGCTCTAAACCCTTTGGACAATCACTTTGATGTCGTCACGAGCCATGACGCACAAGCCACACACAAGACACTAAAATAACCAACGACTACACTGCCAAAAAAACGAAAGTCATCCAATAAAAATAATTCCTAAAAATCAGGTTATGCCGCTGAAGAGGTTCCAGTTTTTAGAATTATAAGTTTCAATTTAACTTCTACTTTTAATAGACTAAAAGTCACTCTGATTGATTTTTGACTTTAAACCAGTTTAAGTTTGTTGACTAATTCTTTTTATTGGTTTTTAATTTACTAGAAAGGATAGTCTAAAGTTTCTTTCAAAATCGAAACTGAACCATTTTTTCAGTGCAAATACTCTTATTTTACGCAGAATGTCTCGACGCAGCGCGTGCCTCAATTAAAGTTCGTTGCCTAAGTCTTTTGTTTTGACTCCCGCATAGAAATAAATTTGCATAATTTTTTGTTAGAATAATATTTTTAAACCAAAGTGGCTATCAGCCAGTATGCAAAAAATAGTTGCAAAACGTATTCGGGAAAAAAAATTAGTCATCAAAAATAATATTCCCGCAGCAGTCAAGACTCCTTTTTTCTTTTAAAAGTCAAAATTTGACTTTATCATGTCAATTTGTAGATGGTTTGCCCATCTGCCAGCCAACCTGGTAGCCCTCTCCTCCATTCGCTGGACTGTGTGCTGACTTGATTGTTTGTATCTTCACTTGACCTTAGTGGCAACAATAAGCAAATTTAACGGCTTTTGGGCATACATCATTTCCGTTTCTCATGCGTGTGTGTGGGGAAATACATTCACCTGCCACCGTCAAGTGAATGAAGCCACTTGAGCCAAAGATGCAGTGCCAATAAAAATGATTTGTTCGATATCAAGGCCGGCCCGAGAAGATTGAGTGGCACAAACACAGGAAATGGCTTGGCTATTTTCGACTAAGAAACCGACATTTATTGTAAAGATGTTACCATGAATAAAACTATGACCATAAGCCCACTTTAAAATGGTTCTTAACAGATTTGACCGATGTGACATCATTTTGGCTGCCTTTCACTTGCATTGATTGATGGAACATTTGTCATCGGCCAACGGTGAAACATACAAAATCTATGCAACGTTTTCATAATCTTACCAAAATAATAAACACCGAAAAACAATTTGTGTGTTTTTACGGTTATTAGAAAATTTAAAATGTAATTAATAATGCTTTGGTTCGCTGGCATCTTGGGTTTCACATTCATAAATTTGATCTCCCGCGAAACATTCATTATTGGCCGCTTATGCCATTTGCGGCCATTGTCTATTGAGTCAGCGATTTGACTTGCAAAATGTGTCATTTGCGTCTGAAAAGCATCGTTCTAGCTCCGGTCAAAACACCAAAGATATATAAATCAATGACAAGGGTGTGGCAGATTTATGCGGCCAACAATCGATTTCGATATAGTGCAGCCGTCCGCAGTGATAACATTTATATTAACGGACTCTTGTTTATGTTAATGCCAATATAAAATTAATATCCTCTGCTAAATAAGTTTTTGATCTTTCCATCATCGTGTTGTGGTGGAACCAAGGCGACTACTTTTGCCCAATTTGCATACAGGAACCAGATATCGCACCGAGTGAATCAAAAGCCATGAGCCGCCGTAGAAGTCTCGGCTAAATGCCGGTAATCGAAAATTCTTTTAATTTATGACCCTATGCCTGCTGATAGCCAGAGTCCAGTCGATTTCACGTGCCGCTCGACACTCATTTTGTTTTGCTCCAAGCGTTTATTCGCATTAAGCATGCGACCTGTTATCCGCGGGGTTAAACACAGAAAAAGATCCGAATTCCGTGGGCAAGCGTTTGCTGGTCGTGTGGTGTGTTTACATGCGATTCAAGCCACCTGATAAGGACCACAAAAGATGCCCACCCAAGTTATTTTGAATACCTTTTCACAGCCGCATTTGTTACCAAGAGATTTGCTTTTGGTAAGACACGCCTCGTTATCTGGCTGCCAGTTTTGTTTAGCATTTGAATATGCGCGTGTGAATAAACAGAAAATAAAACATTTCGAGCGGTTCGTTTCATTTTTTGACATCTTTCTTAGTAAGATTAGCTTGACTTTAGTGATTTCCAGAGCCCCAAATAATGCGGATGGTTCTCAGCTGTAAAGTTATATTTAATTGACCTTGGCTGAGTGATGACTCTCGAGGGGTTCTAGCTTTCCCGTCATTTTATCACGATTCTAGACACAATGCTTCGTAAATATTTTGTGGAATTTTTATTTGCTGAAGCTTCCGCACATTCACCACCACGACGCCGAGCAGAGGCATTATGAATATTCAATATTTTACGCAAAAAAATTATAACAAACAGCAACCGAAGCACGGCAAATATATCATTCTGAAGAGCCAATTGAAAACTTTGGCATTCTCTTGGCGAAAAAAGGTATCAAACTGCTCGGTAAAATGATCGAAAAAGTAGGGTTACCCTTTGGTTAAGGAAGTTGCGATGATCTAGGCTCAGAAATATTTATTGCAACACTTGAAAATGTTTGGCGTACTCGAAAGATTTATAACCGCCTCAATAAATTGTCTTAAAATAGCCCATGAATACTAAAGCTTGGTCTCGTTTCCGCCTCTGCATTGGACTGAAATAAATATTTAAGCAATTATCGTCGATCAGCCACTTGACCTACAGTGGAGCAGTTAGTTGTGTCCAAATACGAAGAATTCTCTGGAACGACGACATGTTGTTTGGCAAGTGTTTCGACTTGTTTAATGTTTACCCGGCCAGGGCAGATTCTCCGCAGATTATTCTGGTTCCAATCGATTCCCAGTCGTAGACAAACCGGCGGTCCGGGACACGCGCACAGTGAAAGCTGCCGCAGAAGAACGTTAGCATTTAATGGGAAGCATAAATTAATTATTGAAATTAGTCAGAATCGACATAAAATAAAAGCCAAATGGTCACGAGAATCGAAAAGCGACCGATACCCGAGAATGAGAATGGCCACAAAGAGCTCCATCTGATCATTGTTTAACTTAATAATTAGTTTTTTATTATCTCCCCCCTTAATTTGTTTCGCAACAACAGCAAACAATGAAATCGATGCCGCCCGAGGGGCAAAAAGCATCAGCGACGTCGCGACTTCGGCGGCTGTGAACCTCAGCAATTTAGCCACTTTTGGCACCTTTTTGGCCGGCTCGTGCCGCCGACTAAGACATGTGAGCTGGCGTTTTGAACTTTGACTTTGAATATTATTATAATCAATACAAATCGATAAGACATAAAACTCACGAATGAGCTATGTCTACTTGACGATATACAGTGTATATTTTAATGGAATAAGTCGCACAAATTATAGTTTCATTATCTTTTTGTGTTTTATTAGCCGCCTTTATTATTTATTTAAATACAAATAATATATTTATTCCAAACTAATTTTTTTAACGACATAAGTAGTTAATTATATATTCAATATATTGCCTTCAAATGTAAAACAGAATGTTTTATTATAGATTATAGAGTTTTTCATTCGACCAAACATGACTCAATTTATGTTAATAAGCATAGAATTTGGCCTGCATTCGGAACTGGTTGAACATAACTCAAGAATTAAGGTCAGATTAAACAATTCATTAGTAGAGCGTTAGTATAGCCATCCAGATAAGCAAAACTATAAAACAGACGTATATGGAGACGGAAACGCTTCCCCAATCACCATGCCCAAGAATACTCTGCATTCGTGCTGTAATAGAATGGCAGTGAACTTGAATTGAACGTGAATTCCAAGTAAGTGCCCCAATAAAACCAGCATTAAGCTTATACGGCTAATGGAATAGTTCGAGGCGATCAATCAGATCGATTTCATTCATGCTGATCTAGTTCGGTGACAAAGCCACCCTGACACGAAGTCGGGCAACCAGTTCTGGCTCGGCAAATCCCCAAGAGAGGCGGTCGATTTAAATGTTTATAACTATAAGTATTAGCCATTCTAGCCAATTTGCACAAATGCAAATGCTGATTATTATGGTCGTATTCGAGACGCGGACGATGCTTAATGGCCATTAGGAGAACCCGTTTCTTGGGTTCTTTTTTTTGTTTTGCCGAACGATAATCACGATTATTATCTCCATGCGGCTAATGGCGATGATGAAGAAGGTTCTTCTTGGCCCGCCGATCTGTCTGCCGATTTCTGTAAGATTCTGGCCGCCATCGGCGGTGAGTCAACGGATTATCTTGCCATCTGTCGGATAAAAGCAGATAATTTGCTTGTGAGGTGTTTGGTTGACGATTTGGCTAACTGCTATGACATTGTTTCAAATCGGATGCCGTTTGCTGCGCTTTGTGTGTGTAAGGCCAAGGTCGAAATTTGTAAAGAGATTGTAAACATTGGATTAACTGCTACGCGTCGTGCTGCCTTTTCAATCGGATTCGTTTCTTCTTTTCCTTTGTTGACTCTGCATTTGCATTTCTGAGCCAACGACTAAGGCGAAGATCCATTGTGGCGACCGCTGCTGCTGTTTTGACATCCATTATGGATTGGTTTGACAAGTGCTGTCAGTGCTCAAGACAACGACCCACATGACTCGATGGCCCAGACTATTTTTGCCGTTAATTGCTTCACGCTGCCGAGCAGCCAGCTCTTTTTCGAGCAATCAGAAGCGGCTTTAACGAAATTTGCGTGACAAAGCCGCCCTCTGGGGCTTAAGTCGCACCATTCGAATGAATGAATATTGGGTTGCTGATCGATCTAGACCGCATCGGGTCTGCCTGTCGCTCTTTTCTGCAGTTTTTGATTAATGTCGGCGTTTTGTTCGTTTTATAATTAAAATTTAATAGAGCAGTGCCTTGGTATTATGCTAATCACTGGCGCCCACAGCAATCGTTCAAGTCTCTCGGCTCACATGGGCAATCATCCTTAACAAAGGCTAAGCCAATCTTTTTTGGCCACGAGCCGACTGCGTCTGGAACTTCGAAGCGAGTAATTGCCAATTTTCGACTGCTAAACGATTTTGTTCACGCTCAAGAATCGCAGCGTTCAATCATAAATCGCTGCTGTCTGGGCGATTCGTGATTAATTCGCAAGCCACTTGAATGCTCGCCGGGAAGGTTAACAGTTGTTAAACATCTATTAGCAATTGATTAATTTACTGTTAATGCGATACAAGCATGCGACTTGAGGCGTGGGTCAGGGTGTTTAAACGGAGGGAAGGGTGAAGGGAAAAATATCGGTCAATTGTACGAGGAAGTTGTAGTAGCAAATCGATTATGCGGAATTTTGCGGAGCCATAAATTGAGACATCAGTTCGTTTCTGATTGCAGATATTTAAATGAATCGATCTCGAAAACAGAAAATTCGCAAAAGAATAAATAAGACATTAGGGTAATATAAAAATAAATCGAGGTCTGAGACTAATATCGCTTTATGAAGATCTAAAAATACTCCTCACGCTCTAAAGTGTACAAAACGCAGACTAGTAAAGTCATTAAGTTAGTTCAGATTTAGGGTTAAATGTGATTTATGAACGAACATTATTTAAAAATAGAAAAAGAGGCTTAGAGATAATTTTAATAATAAAGCAACAACTCTTTTTGTAGACGCAACAATTTACGTATATTTTAAATACATAATTTACAACAATTAAGCAGCCTTAACAAAGTCCCTCAAATAAAACTGTCCTAAGCTTACTGTTAATATTTGTTTAACAATCATTTATGTTTTTAATTGACTCATTTTGTCAGCCGTAAAACGATTTAATCTTATTAAGCACCAATAAAAAGCTAGAGATTTAAGATATGAGGCTCGGTAAAGCTCTACAGCAACTTTAAGTTTATAATTTAAGCTGATTTGTATTTTTAATGTGGTTAAAAGTAGACAACAAAATCTGCTAAAAGTATAGACTAAAACAAGCTTGTTTTATATAGAAATTTAAAGCCTAACTTTATGCTGAAAAAACCAGGTTCTCTTTGAGCTGAGAGCAAAAGGCATGCGTGAGTGATTTTCATAGCTGGTTTTTGCTCGCCGATCCACTCGAGCTTCGCTGACGGCTTGTTTCATATTTCGCTTGGCCTGAACCGTCTACACAAATCATCGTACGCAACGTTTGAAAACGTTTGAGTGCGTTGCCGTTTTACAATTGAACAGTTATGAGCCAAGACGGCAAAAAGATGAAATCGGTTGAAGAATAGAAAAAAAAACGAGCGGAAACTGTGCCAAGGGCAATTTCGCCTGTGATTGATTTACAGAGCGGGCAAAGCTAAAGCAACGCAACTCATAAGTGGCGCACGTTGCGTATGCGCAATATTTCTTGCGGTACGAGAACAGCTGGCGTTTTTCGACTTCTTTCGTCTTTAGCACGGGCATAAATCAGCAGATGACTTTATTGTATGTCCATTAAGTCATAATTATAATATGTCCATTAATATTTTCGATTAGCCCCTGTCGGATGAATTTTTGAAGAATTAATTGGAAATTTGATATAAACGATGAAGAAGCCGCTCGTTGAGAATTTTGCCCTCGGGTAATATACAATTTTTTTTTGTCGCTGCTTTCATATTTAGAATGATTTAATATTTATACTCGCATTTACATTTGCGTGTTCGCTTGATGGAGGCATCAGAATATTAATAGCTTGTTTGGGAAATTTACACCCGGATGGAATCGAAGGGAATTAGAATCGTCATCGGAGCAGCAGAGCAACATCTGCGAAATTAGCCGGGTCAGCAGGTGACTCGCATGAACTTCTGTTTGTTTTTTTTTTTCGGGGGAGCCTTTTTGGGCCCATTTGTACTGCCATAATTTCCATCGCATAATTATCGAAGCGCGGCAAACAATGCGTGGCGAATCTCTTGTCATGCCCAATCTTTTCAAGTGCCGTGCCGCAATCATAAATCACGCAAAAAGTTAAGTCTAAGTGCAGCTGCAGATCCGATGCTGATGCCTGACAACATAAATCACACCCAAGCCGCTCGTTAAGACGTTAATCAAATGGCTCAGATCGGCCGAGAGTGAGACTTAGGGCGCCCGTGTCCAGCGAAATTGAAGGCCGTTTGACGTATGTGCTTATGTAATTAGTGGCAAAGTACCCACGCTCGCCCTCCCCTCCTTTCGAAAACGTAAACGTCGAAAAAAACCCTATTGGAAAATCATTGCACAACCGCAGTGGCCGTTGCAGTGGCAGTTGCAGTTGCAGTTGCAGTTTTTTCATGTTTATCTTTATTTTTGGGCAACCTAATGAAGTTGCCACGGCTAACTCAATTTATTGACTGAGCCAACTGGCATATTGACCAAATGACTGATGAACCTGGCTGACTGACTGACTAAGCGACTGGCGACAGCCGGTGGGAATATTGAGTCGTCGATCCCGCGCTTGATCGCCGCCGATTGCCGATCATCGATCGACTCGGTCATATTTATTTTGGCTCCGCCGGCACCTTGAGTGTCCCATGTATGGATGCAATGTCTGTGGCTATGCCGACTGCAATCGTTATGGGCTCTCACCGATGCATATATACCTCTATACTATATAGATATGGTCGTTAGGGGTTTATAGATATTGCCAGCATCGCCGGCCTGAGAATCGTTCACGGCTGCTTGAGGCTCTCGGAATTTCCGCCTCTGATTTATGGCGCCCCCAAGTATGATTGATTTGACCTACCAACTGACCACCGTGCAAAACTGGGTGTTTTCTGGCGACTGCACTTGAACCCCTGGTATTTCGGCTAGGCCGTTTGCAAGCACTGCAAAAAACATTAAGAAGATCTAACTGAATATTAACAAATCTCAAATCCAAAATGTTATTTTACTTCTGTAAAAAGTTTTAGGTTGTGACTTCCAAAAGATTTAATTTCTTTTAAATAAATAACTTAATTTTTTTAAATTGAAGAACTAAAACTCGATATAATTTTTTTCCCTGTTCTAGCTGTCAAAAGTGAAGCTTCAGAAGGTTGCAGTTTAAGCTTTTTTAAGGCATTGACCCACCAGCGAGCGAATCCCCCGAGTGATTGACACATCCAGCTTTGACTTTGGCTTTTGAGATTTGTTTTTATTTGGAAAAATATTTGAGTGGCAGGGGCTGTGGGTCCAATGCTGGTGGTTCAAAGGACTTGAGTGGTTCTAAGTGGTTCACTTCTCTAGAAGGTAAAGGGCTTGGCAGGCTTGTTGTAGTTGTAGCCATCGGGTCCCAGGGATCCCGCTTCTTCGCCACCGCTGGTGGGTGGTGGTCCGTACTCCTGGGTGGGTGCAGGTGGTGCTGGTGGACGGGGCTGGTAGGTGGGTCCTGGGGCAGGAGCTGGTGGTGCTGGTGCTGGTGGACGGGGCTGGTAGGTGGGTCCTGGAGCAGGTGCTGGTGGTGCAGGTGGGCGTGGCTGGTAAGTGGGTGCTGGTGGTGCAGGAGGACTTGGTGGGCGTGGCTGATAGGTGGGTCCTGGAGCAGGAGCTGGTGGTGCAGGTGCAGGCGGGCGTGGCTGGTAGGTGGGTGCCGGAGGAGCAGGTGGCGCTGGTGGGCGTGGCTGGTAGGTGGGTCCCGGTGGCGGTGCCGGCGGTGGAGGTCCGTACTCTGGCGCCGGAGCTGTTGGCTGCGGCTGAGGAGGCGTCACCTCGTTCTCTCCCGGAGGCGGCAGGTACTCAGCTCCTGGCTGTGGGCGTGGCGGCGGAGGAGGCGGTGGCTGTGGGCGGGTTGGCTGGGGCCTTGGTGGCGGTGGTGCCGGCGGAGCAGGTCCTGGCGGCGGGGGTGGTCCGTATCCGGGAGTGGGCTGCGGCCTTGGCGGAGGAGGTGGTGGTGGGGGACCGTATCCGGGCGTGGGTTGCGGCCTGGATGGCGGTGGTGGTGGTGGCGGCGGCTGGGGACGCGAGGGAGTGGGTCTCGGCTTGGGTTGATCGGGAGGCAGGTACTCCGGTCCCGGTTGCGGCGCTGGAGGCTGTGGTGCCGGCGGCTGAGGTTGCGGTGGTCCGTAGGACGGGGCAGGAGCCGAGGGAGTTGGCTGCGGCGGAGGACGAGGTGGCGGCGTTTGGGGAGGTCCATAAGAAGGAGCGGGAGCTGGGGCCGAAGGAGTCGGCGCTGGTGGAGGACGTGGTGGCTGCGTCTGCGGTGGTCCATAGGATGGAGATGGAGCTGGAGCCGAGGGTGTGGGCTGTGGTGGTGGCCGCGGTGGCTGCGTCTGCGGGGGTCCGTAGGAAGGACGGGGAGCAGGAGGAGGAGCAGGAGCCGAGGGAGTCGGCTGCGGCGGAGGACGAGGTGGCTGCGTCTGCGGAGGTCCGTACGAGGGAGCCGGAGCCGAGGGAGCAGGTCCTGGGCCTAAGCCCGAGTCCTCAATGCCGTTACCCGATCCCGGGGGCGGGAAGGGCACCGAGGGCTGCTTGTAGTGGTAGCCATCCTCCTGGAGATCCGTGTCCAGGTGGGAGACGTCCGCGTGGACACCTGCTGCCAGGAGCAGGGCCACCAGAGGCAGGAAGCAGCGCTGGAAAACACAAGACACAAAACACGGATGAAACCGGTGGCGCTTTCCAACGGCCAGCGAACTCACCATTTTCGCTTAAAGCTGAGCAAGCGCGGTTTTTCCGAGTTTTCCTCGCAACGCGACAGAGAAAAGACAGCGAATCGAATTATTACCGGTTTCGCAGACGAGCCGCACACGATATTTATTTATTTGCCACGGGAACTTTTGGCTCGGCCGATGCGACGTCTTCGTTGCAAAATCAGAAATCGAATGATGCCCAAATGTTCTCCCTTGGCGCATTTATACCGGCCTGGCCCAGAGCAGCCCCTAAGTTCGCCAAGTTGGCCAAGTCGCCGCTCGCTCGCCAGATGCCGAAGTTTTGAGTCAGCCAGCGAGACGAGTTCGAGTTTGGCTCAATCGCCGCTCAAACCGGGCTCAGTCGTCATCGCCGGCGTCGTCGTCGTCGTGATGCTGCAACCTTTGATGTGTAGCCACAGGTGAGGACGGAGATACAGTATCTCTATCTATATCTGTATCTGGTAGTCCGGCAATCGGCGACGGCAACGGTTGTAAGTCAATAACAGCGCGTACTAGTTAGTTTTTGTGCGGCAACCAGGAACCAAATGGGGGGATTTCTGACCGTTTATGTGTTTGGCTAATTAGGTCCGATGGGAGACGACGACAGAAATCACAGCAAGCGCGCTGAATTCCGTGGGCGGATGATTAATGTGCGAACATCCGACTGAGAAGAGACATTTCGAAAACACATATGGCCAATATCTGTTAGAATCGTGCTTACATAATTGGCCCCCGTCCATCGCACTGCGATGTTTATTGACTTTGCATGCCCAACAATCGATGCGATCGATGCGATCGATGCGATCGATGCTCATGTGAATCGACATTCTCCAGTCGGCCCATAAAATATTATGCCCATATCAATTAGCTAATAAGCCAAGTGACCGAGCGCGTAACACGCGGCGTATGCGCGATGCGGCGACGAATTTAACAGCCGGGTGGTGGTTGTTTAATTAACTTTGCATTTTTATTGATTTCATGTTGGCTCCGGTTGGGAGCCTCCGCTTGAGTCGATCTCTATGCTAGATGCGATCGGTCGAGAAGCATTTACAAATTGATTGGGGGCGATTCCATTCTTAAATCTCATGCGTAAAACTGGATACTTATGATTAAGTTCGGCACAACATAACAAGGTTCTGTTTATTGCACTTAAACTAAACTTCTTCTATACGACTATATTAGCTACGCGATTCGTTTTAAAAATTATAAAGTTACTCACAATTCCACTAGGTTGTTTTGATTTATTCGTTTAACATTTGTTGCTGGTGAATTATTTGCTTATTAGGTTTACTTGTCGACTGTTCAGTGTGTGTGTGTGTGTTCAGTGTTCCAATTCGTGTGTTTACCAAAAAGAGTTAATATTAGTTAGTTATTTTAGGTGTTAATGCTGCTCAAGCAAGTATCGTTTAGTGTTTCATTAATTGTTAAAATCTAAAAATCCGCAGTAATTGTTGCAATTTTTCATTGTTTTCCTCTGACCCAATACCTCGTTTGCCTATTATTGTTGCGTTTGCAATGCTGTTAACCATTTCAATCAGCCCCTGGCTGCTCCAATTTCTCTCTCTTTTCTACCCGCTTACTTTCCCCTGTAAATCTCGATGATGCGGTCCTGATCCACGTACTCGAAGATGTGCGGGGCATCCATCAGAATTCCCACCGTTCCGGCCGTGGTCACAATGAAGAAGATGTACAGCTGCAAGCGATCGATGACCATGGCCACGTATTTCCAATCCTCGCGCGTCTAATAGAATACAATAAAAAATATTGGTTAATACTTGGAATTTTCCTATATTTTAATGACTAATTAATTTAAGTTAATTCTATTTATTAGCCCTAAAAGGTGTAATTACTAATGATTAGCAGGGGCTACTAATTTTGTTGCAAAGACTAAACCGTTAAGCTGTATATAGTCAAGTTTTTTATTTTAATGATTTTTTTTAACACCGCATTATCAACATTTCTTCACGATCCATTGATTTTTATGAGAAATCGTTTTGTCGTTTTTATCTCCATGAATAGATTAATTTTTATTAATATCTGAATACAATAAGTAGGTATAAAAAAAAACTATTTAACCATTAATATGCATTTAATTGAATTTATACGTTTAAAGAGATTTTGAAGTGTATATTTTCCCACCTGAATGTAGAGATCCTCATTCCGCAAGTGCTCGGCGATGAACTCGACCGCCTCGGTGGCCTTGCTGGCCTCCGGGGAGAGGAGGATGGAGTCGGAGGACTCGCTCTCCCGGCGACACCCGTCGCCCAGGCCCAGCTCGCCGCCGCTGTTGACCTTGCGGTTGATCTTGCAGTTGGGGTGGTGCAGGTCGGAGAGCTCCATGACCTCCATCTTGGACTGCTTGCCCCCGATGGCGCTGATGTGCTTGGGCAGCTCCGCCGGCGAGCCGTAGGAGGGGTGGGGGTGGGCGGGCATGCTCATGCCGGGCATCTCCATCATCCAGCGCAGGCGGGTCTTCCGCGGACGCTTCATGAAGAGGAAGGCGGGCAGGTAGTGCAGGAAGATCGAGCGGATGTACATGGGCATGCGGTGGGTGCGCGGACCCCGGAAGTTCCAGTTGATGATGATCACGGTCACCAGGATGGACACCGTGTTCATGATGAAGGTGAACAGCAGATACTTGGCGATCAGCGGCAGCACCAGCGACGTCGGCGGCAGAATCTTCGACACCAGCAACAGGAACACAACCAGTGACAGCAGAATGCTAATTCCGAGCGTTACCTGGGGACACAAATCGTTAGTAGCCGATCAGGTTATTTCTGTGACCTAGAACCCATCCGGAAAAAGGGCCAAAATGTGGCCCAACTGCTTGTTTAAGAACAATAAAAACGCAATAATAAAATTAACTATGGAATATAAAGCATAAAGCTTTCAAAAAGAAAATTCAATTTAACATAATTCTTTTGGTTAGTTATTTCTATTTTCGGGACTTTCGTCAAAATTCCAAATTTATTTTAGATTCAAATTAAGTTCTAGGAAGCGAGAATCGAAGTATTGTTTTTCCCAGCACGACTTAATTAAAAACATATTTTTATATATTCGTCAAAATCTTAATCACCACTGCGTAGCGAATTGAAACTGATCAATCTTGTGTTTGGGAATTAGTTTAATTAAAAACCTGATGTTGTTTATCAAATTATGTTTACGTTCGACAAGATTCCCTGATCATTAATTAAATCTAAATACGTGGTTTGACAAAACGTATAGGCGTATTAATTATGATAAAGACATCTTTAGTGTGTAATCACGAACCCATCCCCTGACCAGATGTGACCCTCTAAAGGCCAGATTTGATCGCCGATCGGCGATCGCTATCTTACCTTCTCGCCGGCTTCGGCTGGCAGATAAAATACCAAAACGCAGAGGAACGAAATGAGCACAGTGGGCAGAATCAAATTCACAGTGTAGAAGAGGGTCTTCCGGCGAATGATGATGTAGAATGTGATGTCCGTTTCCGTGGGATGGTTGCTGTCGCCCTCGTAGACGTTCAGATAGGCGGGCACCTCGATGATGTCCCAGGTGCCCGACTTCCAGTAATCTGACAGGTCCACGAAGTTCTTGTTGTTGTAGAGGGCCAGCGAGACCTGATCCCCGTTGAAGGTCCACGAGCCGAACTTCATGATGCAGGTCTGTTGGTCGAAGGGGAAGTAGGTGACGTCGATGGTGCAGGAGCTCTGGTAAATGGCCGGCGGCACCCAGAGGACCTCGCCAGTGGGATAGATCAGCACGTTGGACTTGTAGCGCACCTCGTAGTTGCCATCGGCACTGTTGGCGGAAAATGCATAATATTAGTTTCAGATTCAAAAGAGATATTTGCAAGGAAAGCTCCGACTTTCGCCTACGATTTTTCTTTTTTGATTGTCTTAGTGTTCTGAGTTTGGAGTTGAGATGGGTTAGCTAGAAAATGGCCATTTACTCACTTATTGAAGAGCACAATGTCCGGCTTCCAAACCTTGTCGGGGGGCAGACGCAACACCCCGATGCCGCCGTAGTCGGCCTCATCCCACTGCAGCTGGTAGTCGTACCAAACCAAACGTAACCAAACGTTTGATTTCATAATTTGATTTTTCTCATTCTTGATCGGTTTCGATTTGTTTTCGGTTTTTTTTCGGGAATTCGTTTTGTTTTTTCGGTTTTGATTGTGATCAGATGGTGGTGGTTTGGTGGTTGGTTGGTTGGTTGGTTGGTGGTTTGGTTGGTTGGTTAGTTGGTTGGTTGGTTGGTTGGTTGGTTGGTGGTGTGAGAGAACGGTACGAAGTACGGAGTACGGGTACGATTTGCATTTGAGATTCGAAACGAATCAAAATCGAATCGAATTTGGCGTACACAATCGAGATATCGAGAAATCGAGAGAGAGCGGGTGGGAAGGTAGTTAAGACATTATTTCGCATGTGGCTTTACTTTGGTTAGTTAGTTGCTTAGTTAGTTGGTTAGTTTGTTTTGCTTGTTTAATCTTAATGGTTTAGGGTTAGTATTTGTATTTTGTATTTGATTTACTAGCATCAAGTTCACTACAAACATACAAAGTCAAGACAACGTGTACGTAATTATTTACAAAGCATAACCGAAACTGAAAACTTTGAATGCGCCCCTCCTCCTTCCGCCCCTATTCCGACCATCTGGGGGCGTGGCCGAGGGGGCAGTTAGTGCATGTTAGTGTGTGTGTGTGTGGGTGTTACTGACTGTTAATGGGCGTGTGTGTGTATGTGTGTGAGGGTGTGTGTATGTTTTTCTTTTCAATGAACGATTATGACAGCAACGAAACTGAAGAATTTGTTAGGAACAGAACTCGAAAACACATTTACACTCTACGGAATGTTAGTTATTGTTTTTGTTTTTTTTTATTAGCATAATCTTATTGTTATTATTCAGGTTGTTTTTGTTGTTTGACAAATTTAATTTTGAGAACACTTACGACATTGATTAGCTGTACGAACGCCAAACCAAATCTTACTCCAACTTTTTGTGTCATATTCTGTACGGGTCGTATGAGTTTATTGTAGCCTCGAAAGAGGTCACGCACCAGGCGCTCTTCATCTTCGGATGCACTGACTAAAAAACACAACGGAAACGGAAGCGAAACGCAAAAAAAACAGAGAAGGGTACACAAACATTCGGGGATCGGGGATGGGGATGTGGATTCGGATTCGGTTTCGGGTTTAATCAGAACAAATCGGTGGCCACAAATTACATATAGGGTTTTAAAGACAAAATAAGAGAAAATACAGAGAAACAAAGAAACGAACGGATGAGCAAAGTTGTTGTATTCTTTGTTTAAGTTTTTCTTGTTGTTCTTTTTTCATAATTTTTTTTGGAATGGTCTTGGGATGATTTAGCTTATAGACAGATAGAGTTAGACAGAGACAGAGCGAGAGAGAGAGAGAGGCAGGAAGAGTGAAAGAGAGAGAGAGAGAGAGACTGAGATATAGGCAGATAGGACAGAGACATTTTCAGACTTTATACCGATTCATCGTCTTCGACTTCAGCATCATTTTAGAATTTTGATTGGGAAAGTTAAACAAAAATGGACGACACATGAGAACCGCTCGATTGTGGTAATTTTATTCTGTTACTGTTTCTTTTTGGTGGTGCAGGTGGGTGTCTGTTGTGGTGGTGGTGCTGGTTTATACTGGTGGCTTGTTGATGTTGTTGCTGTTGTTCTGGCCTACGTTGAGTATACGCCGCATGGGAGGCACTTCCATTGAACAAGAACTATGAGCGGGGGAAGTGGTTTTTCAAGGTTTCGGGACAACCCCAACCCCCGCATAGTGGATGGTTTAATGCAAGTGCCTCGTGGTTCTTACAGTCCTAGAGTCCTGGCTTAAACAAGTGACTAAGTTAACGCAGCTAGCTATTCAGTAATTTGTGCTTGCAAGGTGCAACGCTTTTCGTAGAGCCCCGTTAAGGACATTCTAGGAAGTTCGTTCTGCTAAGTTCTACGAGGGACTGAGATGGCTAGATACCCTGGTTGCAAATGTTTTCCTTTCTGCCTGACAGCTGAGCGAACTTTATCCGGAAAAAGCTCCACGCGATATCCTTCCAGAGAGAGAGAGAGAGTGAGAGAGAGAGAGCGAGAGCGGGAGATAGAAAGCTCAGGGATGCTGGGGCCCACACTCTCAGCCGCTTGTGTGTGTGACCGGGTTATCCTTGCTATTTGAGTGTGTTTGTGTGCATATGTGGTCTCGTATATGGAGCACGAACTTTGCTAAAGTGTGGGTGCGTGAAACGCGAAACTCGTTTTTGGAGTTGCACTTTTCTCTAGGTGAACGATATGATTTTTCAGGGTGGGTATATATGATGATACTAAGCGAATGTATGTGTGAGTGTGTCGGTATGCGAGTGAGTGAATTTTCTAATTTGTATTTAATATGTTTATCATATATTCCTAAGATAGATCTATGCCTGTTTGGGGGGTTCTGTCTATACGATCTTCGACTACAATTTCTATTTGCTTTTCTTTTCGTTACTTCTTGGACTGCTCAGAAGAGAAGGAGTATGAATTAAGATTCGGCAGTTGATACAGAAATCTTTATATACACGTTTGCATATATGTATATATATATACGTTTGCATTGTTTGTTCAGTTCATTGCATTTTCGTTTGGTGTGCATTTTCTGTTTCTTTTCGGTTGCTGTTCATTTCGGTTGCGGTGGTCGGTCGGGATGCTGTACGCCACCACCCATCCTGCGGGTCCTTCAAGGACCTTGGCTACCACGCTTTTCGTAGATACACAGTCAGGGGTTTTCTTTTTTGTTTTGTACTTTTTTTTTTTTGAGGGGGTGGACAGAGACAGAGAGTTAGAGAGAGTCAAAGAGAGAGAGCGAGCGAGAGAGATGCAGAGGGGACTCTGGAGAAAGGTTTAATTACAAAAGCGATAATAGCTGGGGATTTATATTTATATATATATAATATTGATAGAGTAGACGAGTATGCAGGTGTACTGGAAGTATAGTTTTTGGTTCAGGTACGGAAGTATATAGTTTTCGAGCATTGGAGAGAGTCGTAGAGCGGGAGCGAAAGAGAGAGAGAGCGAGAAACAGAGAGCGAGAGAGAGATAGCTAGAGCTAAGCTAGGGTTAAGATTGAATCTGTATAGAGATATAGAGCTATGGCAGAAGATCTATTCTGTGGGGCGGCACTGAGCTGAGTGCGGGGTGTGCTATGAGGAGTTCTACTTGAGATTACGGAATATACATATATAGTTTACATAGAGTTGATGACTAGCGCAGTTGTGATTCGGTTATAATTTTTGGTATTTTTTTTTTTTTTTTCGTTTGCAGCGCTGCAGCAGCGACGCTTTGGCAGATTCTCCAAGTCTCATTTTTTGCGGGCAATCGCAAGTCGAGATTGTCGGTGGTTGTGTGGCGGTTGTTGTTTTTGCTGGTCTACTGGATATAGTTGCTATATACTTTATTGTTGTTGTTCTGGTTCTGGTACTGGTTGTTGTTCTTTGGGGGTAGTGTGGCTAAGCTATATACACAAAACGTTGGATGCCAGGAGCTGGAGGGCCGGTGGTAGTTGGTTCTTGGTGGTTGGCAATGAGAGCTTGGAGAACTTGTTAAGGCGGCGCTGCCAGCGCAAAGCGTAAATTTAAGAAAAAAATCAAATCATTGCTGTAAAATCGTAAGCTAGCTAAGAGAAAAGAAATTAGAGAGATAGTTGGCTTTTTTTCGGGGACTAAGAAACGGTTAGCAGAGTTAACAGAGTTTTAAAAGGCCTCCTCTCGATTATTTTATTACATAACCGCCCAGCCCGAAAGTGGGCGGGGCTGGACGCTCCCAGTCCTTCCCTTCGCAGCCCAAAGTACGTACCCAAAGAAACGGCCAGGAGCACCAGGATGCTGCACAGCAGCCAGGATTTGCTGGAAGACTGCATGATTTTTCCGCTTTCCACTTTTCACTTACTCCAGGGACATGGCTAATTTGGAGTATCTGCTTTGCTCGGGCCCACGCCCCAAAACTGTAGACACACGAAAAGATGGCCTTAAGCCCCAAAAAACATCTTGAAATTATCACACTTCACCTTAACTCAAGCTTTTCTTGATTTTGGATATTTCTTTTCCAATTTATTGCTTAATTTTCACTGGTTTTTGGCGATTTTTCTTTCCGAACTTTTCGTCTTGAACTGGAGCCGTCAGTTTGGGTGCGGATTAAGAACTCTACTTCGGGATTCTGGATAAAAATCAATGGGATTCTGGCTTTCTAGAGCGCAGCAGCCAAATCTGAGATGACAAGCAATGGGCATGCGTGAAAAACCCGGATAACTAGGAGGAAAATGGAAAAGCTTTCTCTTTTCGAGAGGAGGATTTTCCGAAACCCACCCTACCACTAATGTTTAGTTTGTAAACAAAAGCAGTTGGCCTTATCAGCTGTTGATATTTTTGCTTTACCATGTGCTTGGCCTCCAGGGTTGCCGCCCCCTACAAAAAGTTTCCACCACAGTGGTTGCGAAAATTAAATGGAAGAATGCTTCCGCTATCAGATAATCTCGCTTTGTTGTGTTATAAAAATGTTTAATTATGACACAACACTTGGGCCTATAAATTAAGCAAGCACCTACAAAATAACGAACAAAGGCAACGCCTCAAAAGGTCATGTGGGCGTGGCACTTAATTAGTTTTTATACTGCGCCTAATCGCTGGTGGGTATCATTAGCAAAGCGCAGTTCCTCATGGCGCATAAGCGACTTAAATAAATTTGCACTAAATGCTAAGCGACTACAAAAAACAAAAACCTACAAACTCAGTGATTTTTGGTTTCCATCTGGAATTTGTTAAAGTTATCTGGAACACAAAGCCATTCTTCTTTTGCTCTTTTATAGTAAGGCAATAATTTTGACCTTTTCGTTTTCCAACTCTCATTCAGCTGTCGACACTTGTCTCAGCCTTTAATTACATTTTGAGTTACATTACCAAATTGCTGGAGGCAATGTAAACTTCCGTGAGTTGATTGATAGCCGCACAATTTATTTAATCTATAAGGGTGGGGGAAAAACGAGTACAATGAAAACTTAAAAGCCTTTAAAGATTCTCTGCACAGGAAAACCTGAAATAAGGCAACGATGAGTTGCCCAGAGCAAAACATTATACATGCCATATGTGTTATACAGCGCGCGAGACGTTTGGTAATGAAAGCATATTTTTACATTACTGATTTTTACCAAGTTACTGAAGTTGCCTATGATGCACTAGGAAAAATGCAATCGATTCGCACAAATAAATTTAAATAACAGGTAATACAAAACTTTTATTGAGAGGAACCATTGCATTAAATATATTGGTTGTCTGCTTGTGCATAATACAGATTTGCTTAAAATAAGTCAGAGATAAGAACCCCATTATTTCTCAGCCAAAACAATTGCTTATCTTAAACGTTGCAGTTTAAAGCTTTGTTTTCTGTAAAATAGATTAGTGTGTTTGTAAAATATTGAAATACATTTTAAGGAAACCTTTTGTTCGTAGTAAATTAAGAGCTTAGAAGTACTTTGAACTGCTTCCACCTACAAAATTATTAAGACATTTTGACCTGACTACTTGCAGTGAAAAACGTTCGCTTCTTTCGGTGTGGTTTTTCTTCGGCGATGGGCTGCCTGGCCTGCTGATGATGATTTTCATGTGCGCATGACAGCGCAATACAATGTATCGAAAGACGAAAAACTCAGGCCACGAACGTGCAAGTTATGAGACATGCGGCTGCGCTGGGCAAAAACTCTAAGGTCGCCGTGGAGTGCATAAAAAGCACAGCTTTGGAGCCTTTGTGCGGCTCTGTTGGCGCAATTTGGGTGCCATTTTGGTGTCACCAGCAGCTAGCAGCCAGCAGCCAGCGGCAATTTTTTTCCCCGCCGCTCGGAGAGCGATAAAATCAATGGCAACGCCAACGCAAATTACATCAAATTAATTTCTGTATCTTCATAAGTTTTTAGTTAATCATTTCGCTGCATTCAATTGAAACACTTTGCCCAAGGTCGCCTCGAAAATAGCGAGCCGCAGATCTACGTGCGCGAGATGGCCTAGAAAAGGTGGAGAAATCACCTAAAAACCCACTGGGCGGGGTCGTTGTGCAAAGAAAGAGCCAAGGTATGCCGCCGCATCTTAAGTTTGGCGAGAGCCACTTCCACCTTATGATTCAATTAGTGTGTTGCGCCCACTGGCTTCTTAAACTGTCATTAATCATAAATGAGCAAAAAAGCCAGCTAGCAAGCATTGTATGCAAAACTGTGTGCGAAAAAAACTGCCATTCTGCGCATAAGTGTAATGTGATATCATAAACATTTAGATTGTTTACTGTGTGGATTCTTTTGTTTGTTTTCGCACAGTCAAATAAATTAATTAGCCGTTGGCTCCGGCCGATTCCGTGTTAATTTTTACACCCAAGAACAGACGATGAGCGTTTGCCAAAACAATAATAGAGGCGAAATGAGCAGGCCATCGAAAATTGCACAATTAGCAGTGTATTTCTGTGGCCGCCGAATGCTGCTAATGCAGCAGTTGCACTGCCGGTTGGGCAATATTAAAAGTCCTCAACCATATTAACACTTTGGGCAATGTTTTGCGGCGCGCCGCAGTCGAAAATTTGTGTCAAACCCCAGCGTCTTGGAAGCGGCAACAAGCGAAAATCATGCGGCTAGGTGCACGACCGTAAAAAAAAAGTCAGTCAAAATACATAAATCTCCGCGGATCGGTGACAAGCTCTCAAAACACCAAATGTGAATGTGTCAATGGCTGAGGACACAGCCAGTCGCATGAGGAAGTGCTACAGGTGGCACGAGTCACCTTCGACTTCCTTATACCTGCCACTCGGAGCAGCATAAGCAGTAACTCAACAACTCGCCTCCAAAGGCCAGACTTACCCACTTTTCAACTTAGGCACATTAAAGTGAATTTAAGGGGAGAGCCCAAAAGCAATCAGGCATTTTGTAAATAAATGTTTCTGCAGCCTATAAGCTGGCTACAGATTTAATCGGAACTTGGATACACGTAGGTAAAAATATTACTAGTGTAAAAAATACAATTGGTAAATGTTCAGTAGAAGTAAAAAAAATCTTCAGAATACAAATACATTTTTTAACTTCTCTTCTACATTTTTTTCTTTATTATGAAACGAAGTATTTAAAATGTTTATAATTTTTGAAACCATGGTTTTCCACCCACGATTTTTGTTGGCAAAATCAAAACTTAAACTAGCACGCAAAACCTAAAAAAAGACTACAGCAAACTTAACTCTAACTAAAACAGAATGTTGTGGACCATAAACTATATACACAATGTGCTCAGAACAAAGCCAAAATTTGGGCATCATCAATCGATTTGACCTTTGTGTGCTATATAGGAGTCGTACAGTGAGGATTCCTTCCGGCGTTTTAGTCTGGAACAGGCGATGAATAGCGTTACAGTGAGCACACACAATGCCGCCGAACAGCCAGCGGTCAGTGCCGAAAACGTGGAGGTCTTTAGACATGTCTGGTGTCGTGATAATGGTTTAGTCTGCCGATGGGCGTATACATCGTCCCCATCGGTTTCACCTTCCTGCAGAACTCGCAGCGACTGGAAAAGATTCACGTTCTCGGAAAGTGAATTTGCAGGTGGATTCTCGGTGGTGAAACCCTCGCCATCTGCGGAAAGTGGAGGAATGGAAAGATTCGTGGCCGTCATATTTGAGGTGTCCCTCTTGGTCACCGCTTTCAGATTTCTCCAGTGACACGGTTGGCTCTGTAAAAATTAAGTTCTTATCGTTAATAACAAGATTTAAATAGCATCTCAGTTTTCTATAAATGAAACTTAAATGTTGTAGAATTTTTTTTATAAGTCTGTTTTGTTGGAACATATTTTTAGCGAAAAATTTCAACAATTATAGGTGTGAACGCTATCGGATTTAAAATTTTATTAAGAATTCAATGATGTATGTCATTCCATATTTGCAAGAGGACTTCCTCAGATATTGCAAAAAATGGGATTTTTAGTGATTTTATGAGATTTTTAGCAAAATAAACATATTTTATCGGTAATTTGTCTTTCAGTCGGGCAAAGAATAAGCTACAGCCGAAAAAAAGGTCATTTTGAAAACTAAAAGAGCTAAACTAATGAGTTTTATTTGCTTATTTTAAAATAATTGATTGATTTTAAATGTAAACCCCAATCGATTTTTCATATTCGGACCAGTTTTTCATATTTTTGGATAAAATAACTTACTTTTGGCCAACAAACCTATAAGGAATCTATTGTAAACTTGTGAAATGAATTTTGCAGGGGCTTAAAACTGATTTATTAAATATATCACTTACTGGACACCGCCCATGACACATCCGCACATCGCACTCAATGTAGAGCGCCGGGGAGCCAGTGAACCGGAAGGTCTTCATGTAGGCGTACACCTGGGTCTCGTACACTCCGGAGTCCGACCAGGAGCCCCTGAAGCGTGAGATGAGCTTGTCATCCACCGGACAGCCGTGCTGATCGATGAGCTGTATCCGCTTGTTGGCGCCATTGTGTGCATAGCAATCGTTGACCACGATGTCGAAGCCGTCTACGCATCGCAAGAACGCCATTAATAGATCAGTTGTGATGCGGAGATTAAATCCATTTACCATATTTGCTCCTCATGTAGATGATCAAGGTCAGGGGATCGCCCACCCGCACTGGACCCGTCACTCTCGGACCTCCGATGCCATAACCATTCTGGATCTCCATATAACACTCGGGGGGACTTAAGGTGAAGACCACAGGATTCCCAGTTGCCACTCTGGTGGAAATAAGTTATTAACTACTGAATCTAAAGAAAAAATTAAAAGCTTACTCTACATCCAGAAAGGGAAAGGTCACGGTCTTCCAGAAATCGTAGCCATATTCGCAGGTGACCTTGAAGTGTTCATCGTACTCCTCCTCAATCAGTGGGTTATACTGCACTGTTACGGTGTTCCACATAAAGTTCTATAGTACAAACATATTACAATGCATTTAGTTCCATTCGTATCATATATTAATCATACGCACCGTGGGATTTTTCCGACTCTCTTCTTGCAAAGAATTCTTTCCCAAAGTGCCACAGCGATTTAGTTGTATGTAGAATTCATAGTAATCCCGACCAGATCCATTTATGTACATGCAATCCGGATCATAAGCATAGCCAGCTGAGTAAAGCAAACCACTAAAGGAGCCATTGAAACCAATCCGAATTTTCATGTAGTCATCCTGACATTCTGCTTCAATGTCTGTTTAGAAAAGTTAAAGGAAGTATTTTAAACTTTTAAATAAAATGAAGTTGCTAGTAGGAAATACACCATCCCTTTATTAAGTGTGAAGATTATAAAATTGTGTGAAATTCTTACGCTGAACTCTGGTTCCATTGTGTTGGTGCTGATGTCCTGCGTATTCCTGATCCCAGTACTCCTCCTGCCACTTGCTGTTTTCATAGGGAGCCGCATGATAACCTCCGCTTCCTGTGGGAGCTCCACTTGAATCCACTCCCGTGGAACCATAATCCAAATGCACAGGAGGACCAATGCGGTGGGGAATATAGCCAGAGGAATCCGGTACATGATCAGGCTATTACAACAACAAAATTTTTTTCTATATTCCATAAAATTAAATTTTGAACTCACCACTTCATGTTGCAGTTTGTTGCGTTCCACAGCATTGCTGCTGCGATTGCGCACATCTTTGGGGAACTTTTTTGGGTCCGGCTAGTCCAGCTCTTTTGGACAACTTCGAGGGTTGTGTAGTGGGTCCAGAAATATACGATTTCGAGGAGAGGCCAACCAGCTCCTGCTGAGCTTCACCTCCTGCGGCCAAAGGACGACTGCCAGAAGAAGTTCTCGAGGAAGGAGTTGTGGTCTGAATGCGTCCTTTGAAAATACGCAGTGGTGGCACCAACGTGGGTGGTGCAGAGGTGGTGGTGGCCACACCTGCCGTTTTGCTGACCACCGAGTAGTCCGTGCTCTGCTCCAATCCGCTGATGGGCTGCTGCGAAAAAATAGAGAAGCGTTTACAAAAGTGCGTAGGGCGCGTGGGGCGTATACGCAATGCCATAAATCACTCGGTCGAGTTTGTGTCTCAAGTCTTTGGTTTTATGAGCCCGCCAAATGAGAAACAGTAAAAGTGCTGCATCAGCAACAAAGCCACATAATTTTGGCCAGACAAAGCTTCTTCCGCTCGCGGTCGATACGCAATCTGCATTAGAGCAGAGCATATCCGTTAGACGGGCTAGCTGGCTATTGGCCAACCAGCGATCGGCCACGGTTCATGTGGCCTAATCAGGAAGTTCATGCTAAGAACTGTTAAGTAGATTAGATTCCCATCGGCCGGCACTTGAGCAATGCACTTCGTTGGGCAATCAGTCGGAGGTGAAAGGTTCCTTACCTGCACTTCTATCAGCAGAACGATGAGGAAAACCGGCCTCAGGAGCCCCATCTTCTTGGGCAATCTGCTCATCTCCATGCTCGTCTCGCGACTGGCAGCTGCAAAGATAAAGACGTCGTCCCATAGGGGATCAGTCAATACTATCGGATCGCGAATCGGTATCATAATTATCGTCATGCTTGGTGCTGCCAAAGCGATGCTGACCTTGCTAGTGGTCACTCAAGTGTTCTCCGCCGCCGGTTACACCAATGCGTGCTGGCAGGAAGGAAGTTTGTGCTTCATAAATTAATTGTGGCCAATGTGCATGGGCAGAAGATCTCGGAACAGGGAGACAAGATGCCCTTAACTTGATTTATTACAGATCATAAAGATAGAGGCCATTATTCTATGGCTTCCATCTTTTGCTTTTATCTACTCATGTGCGTTAATTATTATACTACAACATATAAATTTAAACGGTATTTAAATATAATTCTGCTATGAAAATCATCAAGAACTACTATTAAATCGTTTAGGTTAAATAATCATTCTTGAATTTTAATAACTGATTTATCTTGATATTTTATCTCTGTCTATTAAACACACATAATGTAACTTCCGTTGAACTCTTCGGCTTGTTAGTTCTCCCCACTATCAATGTCGTTAGGAAGTTATAGCCAGAACAATGACAACTGCAGATACATCATCTTCTAACTCCGTTCGTCTGGCGTTAAGGTCAAAGCCATAAAACTGTCACCCGTTGCGATGGTTTAATTATGGCCCACGCAGAACTCCGACGTCTCAGACTTTAGTCTGCGCTTAAACTTGGATTACAATTTAATGAATGATGTGCACCGCCCCACGCATTACCCCTCGCCCATCAAAATGCTTGGCTGCCTTTTCGCTTAGCTGTAAAAACGCACGCCGTTTGCTTAATTGTTGTTATAATTACTTCAACTTCTTGTTGGTGTTCGTTTCATGTTTGTTTATTGTTTTTTGTTTTTTTTTCGCTTTGCTTTGTTATGCAATAGTTGATGTTGTTGCCGCCTCTTCTTCTTGGGTTTTTGGTTTCGGTTTTTGGCTTTCATTATTTGCCACTCTTGTTGCTGTTGTTCTTCTGCCTTTGCTCCTACACTTGGCTTTTATAATTATAGTTAATCGCATTTAACTGACCTTGAGCCGTTTTCCTTTAACTGCATTAATTGCAGACACCTAACGGTTCCAAAAACGTTATAGGTAGGTGGTTAAACCGGTTAAATCCGTAGATAGTTTTTATTCACTAAATTTTTGGTGAAGGTTGTGGATTGATAAAAAGTTTTTTAAGGACATTACTTCTATGAAAAGCTTTATCTACCATAAAGAATCATTTCTATTATAAAAAAATCTATCAAGTCTGGGGATAACAACAAGAAGATGGTTTTTTATTTAATCTCATAAGATCCTTTATCTCCTTTTTTCTTGTAATAATGATCCTAAACATCCTCTTACCTTGTCAGTAATGTTCCTTTGATTCAAGTCTCTTCACCTTCTGGTTTTCACAATCCTCCAGTAGTTTCACCACTGACCCGCTCAACTTTTTCTGGTTTACCCCAAGCGCTTTTCTTCACACCCACAACCGATAATCACGGTTCACAGTTCACAGCTCGGCACGCACTTTGACCAACTGACACCGAACAACTTGGCCCATTTCGGGGGCTTAGCAAATCCTCGCGACGTTGGCCATAAAAGTTGACGATCCGGATCCGATGTTGGTCTCAAAATGCTGCAAAACGGTAGGCACTTTTTTGTTTTTTTTTTCTTGTCGAGGTTTTGTCTCACTTTCGATAATGGTTTTTGATATTGCGCGATCTTTGGTTGGCAGCCTTTGTCGGGTTTTCTTGGCTACGTCATTTGGGCCGCTTTACATATTGCACGAATGTTCAAAGGTTTGTTGGTTTTCCGTTTTTTGGAAGCCCGAAAAATCACTCAAGTGCAACTTGCCAAATAGAATCAGCCGCAAAGTGGGGGAGTTGGGCGAGTATGTAAGTGGATGTGTGTTCGCAGATTGCCTAATCTTACATAATGGTCCGAACGGAGTTCCGAGTACCGTTGCCGGTTGAATTTTCGAGGCTTAAAGCTTCTGCGGACGCTGGCTTGCAGCTCTTCGCGATTCGAGCAGGTGTGAAGCCAAGCGCGGTTAGTGCGGATCTTATAAAGTTTCCTCCATCCATCCACACATCCAGCCGTCCAATGGGCTACACAGAGGAAAATGTACTTTATGATCGTTACTTTCAATAATTATAAAAATACTGATGTATAGTAATACTTATAATATTTGTATATGTCCTTTGTGATCATAAATGTTCTTTGCATATCATAAACACATTTGAAGATATCTTATGAGGCATGAATTTGACTCATTGTCTGGAGTAAAAGGTTCAGTTGCTTTACCAAAGAAGTATTTACTTTAAGAAATATCTACTTTATAGGGTTTTTCTCTATCTGTAAAAGAGCAAAGCCAGCCAACCGCATTCTAGTGGCAGTAGCTCTCAGGGCTCTCCATCTGTTGCAGGTTGTGAAAGAATTTCGAAGAGCCAGCCTCAGATGATTCCATTTGCTGATTTACTTTCGTTGCGATTCGCCGTTAGACTCGCTTTGCATCGCGGAAGTCGGAGGAAAGGAGGAAAAGAGGAGTCAGAGGAGCTATATAACCCCTTACCTTTTGGCCAAGGTCAACGGCACCTAACTGTCGAGTGCGGGTCTGCAGGTTGGGCTCGTTTAATTGCCACCGTTTGCCAAGCGTGTCTGCGTTAAAATACTAATCACTAATTAGTTACTTGGCACTTTAAGCGTTGTGAAAGGCTCATCCGCCTCCCGACCAATTGACCCTGGGATTACTGCCTCTCTATGGACAATGGCTTAAAATCCATATCCATGTCCAAGCAAGGGCAGCCCTTGTCCATCGAGCGTAACAACACGCTCCTTAGATCGCCATTACTGACCCACATTTCTCGAGATTAATTCAGTAAGTATTTTAATTATTTATAGCTAAATAATAAATATATAATTGATACAAGTTTCAGTGGTAAAAATCGTTAAATTGTGCCTCCTTTAAAAAGATTTTTTAAATCTTTGAAATTTTGTAAACGAATTGTATTCCCATTTTTCAAAAAAAGTGAAGGCATAAGTAATAAACATATCCTCCCATAAAAAGGCAATCATTTGTTTTAGCATAATCATTTTTTATTGTGGTTTTTTTCCGTCTGTTATATATATGTTTTATCTTTTTTTTTGTCCCCGTTTTTCACACATTTTTGTTTCATACATACGCACGCGCTTTTCCAACATAATCAGGCATACAATAGAACATTTTATCTGGTGCCAGGGGATTAATACAATACATCCTACTTGTCGATAAGCATACACTTTACACACAGAAATTCATACAAACTCAAACAAATCAAATTCAAGAGATTGCTCACGCAAATAAACATAAACTTTTTGCAAAACATACCATAAAGTAATCGTGTGTGTGTGTGTGGTTGATTGTTAAATAAATAAAATAGGTTTCTTAGCTACATTAACAAAATCGTTTCTGTTGCTTATGTTTATACATGTTTTTTTGTCATTTTTCATGTGTGTTTTTTTCCTTGTGGGTTTTTTTGCATATTCATTTTGAAAATTTTATTGCATTTTTTTTGGTATTTTTCATATAAGTTTTGAAATTGAAACGGCAAACGTTAAACCTACGCATTTACACAGATAGTTAAATTTTTTTGTGGTTTTTGTTTTTCGTTTCTACACAATTAATTGTTAATTTTAATTAATTAAACATATGTGTTTTGTAGCTGCTAGATTTTGATATTTTTGTGGCATTTTTGTTGCGGGTTTTCTCGTTTCATTGTTGTTGGGGGTTAAGTTAAAATACTAATTAAAATCGGAACGCGTTGCCCTCGCGTCGCCTGCCATGATTGTAATGCTCCTCCTTCAGCGCTTTTGGGCGTGGGAGGCGTGTTGGTGGTGGTGGTGTTGGTGTTGGTGGTGGGTGGTGCGGGTGGTGCGCGCCTAGTAGCAGCACTTGCTGCGGTTGTTGTTAGCGCCGCTGACCAGCTTGCAGTGCTGCATCTCCGAGCGGCGCGGGCGGTTGGCCTTGGCCTGGAAGTCGCGCACCTTGTTGGCCCGCTTGATGGCACTGCGGCAGAGCTGCTGGTGCTGCTTCTTGTTGTTGCTCTGGAGATACAAAAATTATATAGATTAAATGCTAATCAATTTACCAAACAGTTAAATAATTTTTGGAAATATTTATAAGTGGAAGTTCTTCGCGATTTATTCGATGATTGTTTAATAAAGGGTAACGCTCATACGATATTTCTTCTGTAGATAATGTTCTTTTAAATATAAAAAAAATGTTATATTTAAGATAAGAGTTTAAAATGTTTGAACTTATTCAAGTGTGTGTGTTTCAAGATCCTTAGTCTGATGTATACCTTCGGAACAAAGCGATTCAAAACAAATATATTTTTTATTTTTAAAGACTCGCAAATGAAATTATGTATCAAGAAAAACAATAGAGGTTTCTGTTTGTCCTATGCATTCCCAAATTAAATTAAATTAATTATAAACAAGAAAGGAAGCTAGCTTCGGCAGGCCGAAGCTTATATACCCTTGCAGTTATTAAATATGTCTAACAAAATACAAAAAGGCTAAACAGCATCTAATCTATGACGATTTTTCTATTAATTTTCCATATTGTTCATATGACAGCTATATGACATAGTCGTCCGATTTTGATAAAATTTAATTTGTAACTCAAGACTCATAAGAAAACTCTATATTCCAAAAATCATGATTGTCTGATGAAAAACATCGAGGTAATAATTTTATTTCCGTTATTTCTATATAGATTTTTCGATCTTTCCTATGGCAGCTATATGATATATTACTCCGATTTTTATGAAATTTTTTTCTCGATTTAAGAGTATTAGAAAAGCCTGATGTTCCAAAAATCATGCTCGCGGGATTAAAAACAACGACGTTATAATTTTTTTCCATTATTTATATATATATTTTCTGATCTCTCCTATGGCAGCTATATGATAGAGTTATCCGATTTTGATAAAATTTAATCCGAAATTCAATAGTGGTTAGAAAACGCCATCTGGAAGGAATCAAGTCGATCTGATCAAAAACAACGGAGTAAGAATTTTTAATTTCATTCTCTCGTATGGGAGCTATCCGATATAGTCGGCCGATCCGGCTCGTTCCGACCTATATACTGCGTGCAACAACTAGACAACTTTTGGGAAAGTTTCAGCCAGATAGCTTTAAAACTGAGAGACTAGTTTACATAGAAACCGACAGGAGGACAGACGGACAGACAGACAGACGGACAGACGGACAGACGGACAGACGTACAGACGGAGTTGGATTCAGATGGTGATGCTGATCAAGAATATATATACTTTATGGGGTCTGAGGTGTCTCCTTCACTGCGTTGCAAACTTCTGACTGAAATTATAATACCCTTTTGCTCTGCAAGGGTATAAAAACATCGAACAGATCGCACATCTCCAAATATTTCCATTATTATATAGATACCCGATCCTTACCTTCTGGCTCTGACGAGCCAGCGACTGCTGCTTCAGCTGGGCGGCCGCATGGCGATCGAAGCGAGCGTTGGGGGAGCGCTGCTCCTGGAGAGCCTGGCGCTGGTCCTGCGGCTCAGCCTCCGGCTCCGGATCCTCCTGCGGCACCTCCGCCGACACCCCGAGATCAAGATTAACAAAACTTTCGGTGCCCTCCTGGGTGGACCTAATACTACGATAGACGGACATGCTGCAAGGCAAAAAGAAACCACAAATTAATTCGAGTTACAAAATTCGAGGGGGGATAACTATAATTTGGCGTGCGATTTGGCTGTAAGTTGTGTTTTTTTTTGGATCGGAGGTAGGGTGGGGGGTCGAGGAGTCGTATTGTGTACTATAAAGATCACCAACCTTGGATGCTCAATCAATAGATTCTCAAATGGTGATGTTTCCATATTGATTGGCCCAATCGAGGTGAAGCATGGTGGCGGTGTTACGTACCAGGACTCCTCCATCAGCACGTTAGCACCCTGCTGCCCGTGACCTTGACCCTGACCCTGACCCAGACCCTGACCCAGACCCTGATCGCTGCCGCTGGGCGAGGCCACGTAGAGCGACTGGCTGAGGGTGTCAGGGTCCGCCGATCCCAGGGCGGGCACACTTCTGGGCGGGCTGAGGGTGCTGATGCTCAGCGGTCGGGCGACGCGCGAGCGTTGCAGATAGTTGCGCTGCTGCTGCGGCCGCGGACCGCTGTACAGGGAATGCGAGTTGAGGTGCTGCCGCCGGCGGCTGGAGCCCGCTGGGCCATGGCCAGCGGCAGAGGAGCCCGACGGCGAGGAGCCGCTGCTGGCGGTGGCGCCACGCGACTGCGACACCTCCACCACGGAGAGCTCCTCCTCGGAGTCGCTGCGCGGCAGGGAGTCGTCCTCCTCTTCTGGAAAACGAATGGAGAATAGAGTAAGTATTGCTTAATTTAATACAAATTTTTGATATTCTAAAAATGTGTAATTATACTAGCTAAAGTGTACAATCCATAAGTAGGTTTTAAAAGTGAAAAATATTTTTAAATAAATATATGTATATATGAATATATTAATATATTTCCATATGTTTATATATATATACATATATAAGTTTTTTTATTACCCACGATATTAGCTATATATTCTTGAATAAACTTCCCGGATTTGTGATTCAACTCACCTTCCTTCTCGACAATGTACCATTCGTCCTCGTCAAAGTCCTCGTCGATGGTTTCGCCCGAGGGCGTCAGCAACTTGGTGATGGCCGGCTGCTTCCGCTGCTGCTGCTGCTGGTGCTGCTGTTGCTGGATCCGCTGCTGCTTGCCGCGCCTGTTCTTGCCCCGCTTGCCGTTGGAGGCGCGCACCGCCCCCCGAGTGTTGCCCGCTACCGAGGGCGTCGACGAGGTGACCTCAATTACATCGCCCGCCGAGGGATCGCTCGGTGGAACGGGACTCGTCGAGTGGCTGGGGTTCTGGGCGGGAGCTTCGTCTTGGTTGGTGGAATCGGGTGTTGCTGGCGATCCAAAGAGATACGAGGCGAGGCTGCTTAACATTATACGGGGTTAATGCGGCTGATCCGGCGGTAAAAGGCGCTGGCTTTTCGTTATTGCTTCTTGTTTTGTTTTGCGGTTGCTGAGATCAATGTTACGCTTTTCCACTCGGATTTTCCTTTTCTAGGGGCCTAGTTTCACAGTTAGAGAGTCAAATGTGTGTGGGAGATTGCTTATGTTGCTGTTGGTTTTGTTCCTTGGATTTTTGCTTGAACGTTGCTCAGTCTTTTATTTAATTCTTTTGTATTTGTTTCTGTTACTTGTTTGTACGCTGTTTTCTTGTCTTGTTCTTTTTCTTCGTAGCGTAGAAGCTGCAGAAACGGAAAAAAGAGAGAGAGTGCGGAAGAATGTGAGAAATGAGCTTAGCAAATTGTGTGCACGTTGCGTAATCACCACCCCCCTGGAGACCGCCTCTTTTCAGTAAGCCGCTTGTTTGCGTGGGCGCACGCGGTTCAATGGGGCGGCTACTTAATTTCATTTAATTGCAATTCCCATACTCTGCTAAGTGACGAGGAGGATTTTTTGCGTGCATTGATCGAGTGCTTGGGTAACAGGGAATATTTCAAATAATTCCACAACACAATAATGGTGGAATATTTGAGATATTTAAAGAATTTCCGACTATTCATGTTTTTAAAATTAATGAAATTAAGTTTGAAAACAATAAGCACTTTTTAGTGTATCTAATATGCGTCATTGGAGCTATCCTTGTTTTCCATAACAATTAATTTAATTGCTTATGGTTGGAAGTCAGTTACTTTACTTAATTTTAATGGATGTGCGAATCCGAATGTGAGCTCGAAACACACAAAAAAGTTTCCTACCCAAAATAGCTATTAATGTTTATTGCATCACTTGGATGCTATTGAATATATAGCGCGAGCGAAATCAATGCAAATGGGGTTCGGAATTCGATTGCGAAAGTGAAATTTTCTCAACGCAAATTAACCAAAGGCGGCAATTACGTGTGATTACATTAATCAGATCTTTTCTCTCTGTAGCACTGTGCTGACAACTGTGTAATAGACGGACCGCTGCCATAAAGTATCGCTGCACTGGCCATTAAGTTTCCCAGTTGATAGCTCCCCTCCCCCTCCTCCTTCTCCCTTCGAACTCGAGCGGTGTGCATGCGCCGAGCTTATGATCGAGGCAATTATATATGGCACACACAATCGCCGAGCGGTTTGCCTGAATACTGTGTGCATACTGCACAAATGCAATTTGAATCGGGCTCACGTCATGACAATAGGAAAGTGTGTGCTCGAACTATACCCGCATATATCTCTGGAGCAGATGAATTGAACTAAATCGGCGGTGCACTCAAAGAAATATATCTATTTCAACTGCGCAGAAGTTTATTTATATGAGTATTGCTGGCTGAAACTATTAAAGTGCAAACAGAAATAGTTTTATGGCACTTTCTAATGCCCGAATGAAAAGCGAATGGGAAAAGCGAACATAAATTATGCAGAACTCAATCTAAAACGCTTTTCCTTGTGCATTTCTTGGAGCTGATTATCGCATTCGTCATAAAGATGCCAGCCATCCGAGTGGCTTATTTTTGTCGATCAAACTGCGCACGGAAAACGGAAAACTCAAAGCGAAAAGCAGTGGAAATGGAGCTGGACTCGCAGAGACAATTGCCGGGGCAATTTGCAATTTGACCGCAAAACAAAAACGTGAAAAGTCACAAACTAGCAAAGTGAAATCTCCTGCAGCAGAGACACAAAACACAAAAGCATACGAAAATTGGGTTTGATGAGGCAGTCCGAGTCGAAATGTTAGCGAAAGTTTGACAATCAAATTTGATGGGGGGCCATTGACTTGGCCAGCCGAAATAAATTCTGATAATTGCCCCGAGATGGTAATGAAGCCAACACAGCGATGCAGTTAAGGACTGCATCTATGATTGGAATGGGAATATTGTGAGCATTTGCGAAGAGCCCCTCGACAGCTTGACCTCAAAATGCCTTGCCATATTTTTGCACATTGAAGAGTGCACACACGTTTGCACATCCCACCGAAATAGAGGCGAAATATTTTGCAGTCGAAATAAATTTTCATTGCACAACAGCGATTGCAGCGTTTGCGGGTCCGTGCAGGCATTTTAAAAATAAACACGTAGGGGGGACACCGATCGGGGGCTTACTTTTATGGCCGACAGCTTACAGCACCCTTGATAACCCGAAGGAACGGTTGGTCATGGACCCGAGATACAAAGCCTACTCTGCCCGAGCTGCAATTTCACTTTTGTCACATCTGCAGCCAAATAAACGCGACCTTGGAATGTGCCAATTCAATATGTGCTCTGCTCTACATTATACATTCTAGTCAGGTTGCATCGCTAGATACCATATCATCGCGTTTATTTTAGCTCAGATTTTTGGTTTGTTTGTTTGTTTTCCTTTGTCATCGACCTTGATCGCTAATTGATTATATAAGACTAGACGGGTGTATTGAGGAAATCGTTATCCACACAATGTTTTGGCAACGCTCGCTATCGAGTCAACAAACCAGCTCACCGATGGAATAAGTTTGGCTCTTTATCGGCGCGGAATAACAACATAGAATTCGCCAACTCATTTGGGGCCGATAAGCCGCACCCCAGACGCATTCGCCAGACAGCGTCAACTATGCTAATAATTTCTATTTGTATACTATTGTTTACTATATAGTCTAGGTCCGACTGAACAGCGCAGAGTCTGGCGTGTGCAGCAAACGAGCCGCCGGTCGAAAGTTCGGGCTTTGTTCAATTGATTGTACCATATAGTTAGTTCCAGATAGTGCGGATAGTTAGTGAGAATGGGGGCAGGAGGGGGCTTTCAAATGGGGCTGGGCTAATGAACTTGAACTAATTTAGTTGAGCCGACAGCTCCAGCGATCGGGGAGTACAAAGCAGAGATTTATGGAGCAAAAGGGGGCTCCCACAGAACTGGAATATCTGGACTATAAAGTCCAAACATCTCTCCCGAATTTATTTACACCACCACAAGTGTTTCAAACAAAGAACCATATCTAAAGCTTTCTGGTTAAGTACTAACCAATAGCCAATCTATATACAGAACATATACGGACTGGTATCTATATGTGGGCATATATTCATATCAGTCAAATCGTATCTGATTAGCTTTAAGCTCTGCCCCAGTCAAAGTGCAAAAGTTCCTTTGTTTTGAAGGAATTTCGTGTTTTCGTTTGTTACTTTTTCTGTTGTTTTTTTTTTTGTTCTTTTGGGATAACAAAAAACACTCGAGTGCGAAGTGGTGGGTATAGAATTCTCCCTTTATGGCATAATGCGGAATTATGCAAGCCAGCCAAATGACGTCAGTGGAGGCCTTGGCAGTGGCTGAACTTCTGCCAATTATATACACTAATTGGAACACACAGAATTGGAAACAAATGTGTCTACTGATGGATGATGCTCACCTTATGGATGTGGAGAAGATTGCAAAGAAAACACAAGTAAAATTCACTAAAATCACGTAAATTCAAGAGATACACAGCCACAAAAACGGGTAGAGAAACGGATATTCGGACTTGGATGCGGATGCCACTGCAGACGGTACAGCCTAGTCGACACTCGATTGCCAACTGAAGCGACGGAAGCGCATTTGAATTTCAAAAGCGGTCGCAAGAACAAAAGCTACACTGCGAGCGCTATTTGTATCTGCGAGTACCTGTATCTGAATCCGAAGCGAGTGTGTGCGTACCTGTATCTTTGAGTGTGTTCTATTGTTTGTCCGCTGCAGTTCTTACTCTATTATTTTTTTGGGCGCGTTTCTCGCCGAGTTCACACTTGTTCACACTCTTGTTTATTTACCTAATATCTTCTTGGGGGATTTTCACTTTTCTTCTGCTGCACTCGATTTACGGTGCTGCTGCTGTTGTGTCTTCTTTCAAATATCAATGGCGAATGCCAGCAGCAGCGATCGCTGTAAAGGCTGGAAAGTATCTCAGTATTTCAGTTTTGAAAAGAGAGCGAGAACTAAACCGCGGAGAGCCACACGCTCGCGAGCGTATCTAAGCCCATAATTATGTATTTTTTTAAAACGCAAAAAGCCCCGATCGCAGCCGTCAACAAAAGCCAGCGCCAAAATTATGCTCCAACCAGCTGGGCAGCGCTAAAAAAAAGAGAGCTCGATCATACGTGTTGTTCGTGATTTTTTGTTTACCAACAAAGCGATCGCGGCTCTCGCGCTCTCTTTGAATACTATTACTAACGTTTTCGCTCTCCGATCAGCTGCTCTGACGTTTGCGCATTGACACACTTTCCCGCTCCCGCCCCCACCGCCGCCCCCTTCCTGCCCACAGTGCCCCAACAACTGTATCTGTTAGATACTTTTCTATAGCCGCCAGACCAAGTGGCTCTTCGCTGCCAACTGGTCACGGGCCGCCCGAGTGACTAAGCTGCCTGCGAGGGGGGTGGTGGAAAACGCTAGGTACACTTCAAGAAAAATGTTTAATTTTTAAATTAGTTTTAATACAATAAAATACGGATCTATACAAAAAAGTGTAAGTTTGTACACTTTTAAGATAGTATATCTTATCCCAAACTATTTTTCTTAACTATTTATCCTATTTAACCTATGTGGTTAAGGTTAAATATTGAACAAACACTAAATACAGAAAGAGAAACTCGCTCGGTATGAATTTCGTTAGAAAAAATAACAATCTTGTTATTATTATTTCGCTACCCTCCCTTCGCCCTTTCCGATATGAGTAATACGTGTTTATGTTTTTCTTCTAATCGTTACCACTTTATCAAGACTAGTAAATTAAATTACTACTTGATTAAAACATAAGGAATATTTTTGTTTACTTGTAATATTCCAACAAAAGGGGGAAAACATTCTTCAAGTGCATGGGTGTGGGGTACTCGCATTGGCAAAGTAGTTGGCAGCTGGCAGCTCCAAAGTTCATGCTGAACTACAGTTTCTCTGCTTAATAATTTCAGATTTTAATGCCGAGTCACGGCTGAGGCAGAGGCAGCCAAGCAATAAGTTGTCGGACATTCGGAACGCATAAAAATGCTAATGAAACGCTGGGAACTATTTGCAAACTGTCATTCTCAGCCGAACAGAGAACCCTCACGCATCCAAATAAGTTTTGACTTAATTTCGCTGCTGTTTGCCAATCATCGCATTATGCAATTTGAAATCAATTCGAGTAATAAGCAAGTGTCGGCTACTGCTCGTTCAGATATAAAGTACTATATAAGATAAAGCTAATGGCCGCATTTACAATAATTTTTATGTGTTGGCTCGGCAATTGCTTTGTAGATACTATACTTATGTATATAGGACAAGTCGTGAAT